AGTAAAATTAAATTAGTTTCGTAAAATTTCCTATAACCACATTTCGCTCCGGAATTACGGAAAAGATATATAATTTTCGTTGAACATATCTCTCCGTGCACATAAAACTGAATTGAGAATAGCATATACTTGATTCAAGGATATTATTCTTGATTCGTGTATATCATATTGTTAAGGAATCAAATGGCTTGATTTATCCTCTTCCCATCTTTCGTAAAATAATAAAAAGAGATTGATTTCTTTTCATTTTCTGTTGTTGAAGTTTGCCTTGAAGTATGATGATACTTTTGTTTGATTAATTGATTTGAAGAACAGTCAATAAAAACGCGCCTTTGATTAATCTCTGAATTATTATTTCTTTGAATACAACAATATATAACAACAACAGTATATTATTCTTGATTCGAGTATAAAATATACTTGATTCAAGTATATTTTATACTCAATTGGGGGATGGATATTTCAATTCGACGATGATTTTTTTGTATAAACTCCACTATTTGACCTTTACATTCTGACATTTTGTGCCTGACCCTTATATTTTTTTTATTTATTGCCATATGTACCCTATTCGGATTTTTGCATGTTTTGCGGTTTCATGGGTCGACTTCCTCTCCAACCGTGTCGCATTATTCAGGGAGTGTCGTGTACCCCACGTACAGACTCTCCTGGTGACCAAGGGAAACCATGGAAAACCTTGATCGACACGGGTGTCCATCGACCGAGCTTCATCGGAGAATGTTTTCCTAACACTTCTCCGATGATTCTCGGTGTCTAGACTTCCGTTCAACGGTTTCCGAAAGTTTAAAAATCGCAATTGTCGAGCGATTTAACCGCTTCGGCCACCGTTGCCGCATGACTAGGGATGTGAGTGACAAAAATGACCGGTCAAATGACGGTTAATTACCGCGTTCATGACGGGTAATTACCATGTCCATAAATCTGACGCTTCGGTCAGGGATTCAAAAAATGACCAATTCAATTTTGACGGTCAATTCTCATCTATATAGATGACACAGAAATTTTTATTCGGTTACTCGGTGTCGGCAAAGTTACTGGCGGTCATAGGGACCCTACGTCGCCACTAGGGGTTTACGCGACACTAGATAACTAAATTCGTTCAGCAAGCAATTCAGGTGAAGAGCTGAGCGAGCTAGATGAGGGAGCCGGTGGCAATTATGAGAATTAAAGAGAGAAGGACTGAAGACGAGCCTCATCCAGCATCCTCCTAATTTAATATGAAGTTTTTGACCAAAAACATAGCATATACAGAGATATATATTTAATTAATTTTGTTGACGTTTATTAAGTTCATGAGTTTATCATGAATGATCTCGAGTATCGAATTTATGATTGTTTTGTAATTCGTTCCAATAAACATTAACTTTAAATTATGAAATACGATTCAATTCCTAACTAATGAAATAAAATAACCAAAAATCTGACCGAAAACATTACCAAAAATAAAATGACCGTCAATTTGCATCTATATAGAGGAATTTTGGTCATTTTTTCAAATTTTTGACGCTGGTTGTTCATGACGGTCATTTTGCATGGGGAATTATCTCGGTGTCAGAAAACGGTCAATTTTGCCTGACCTGACCGAATTGAAAAATGACGGTCATTTCACATCCCTACGCCTGACCCTTATATTACACTTGAGAGGGTTTGCTGCACCCCTGGCTGATACGAAATAATCATCCTCGAATTGAAACACTATCCTCCATTCGAGTATAAAATATACTTTAATCAAGTATATTGTATTCTAGATTCAGGTTTATGCATATACTTGATTCCGGTATAAAATATACTCAATTCAGGTATATTTTTTTCCGTGAACTTTTAATTCAATTCAATCGCTAGTGAAAATTGATTTGTAAAATTTCCTTTTGTACGTGGTTACTGATTGATTCAATCACGGTTCACAAGTCCTCATTGAAAACTTCGATGAAATTTCGCGGAAGTTTCATCCATAATGTATAATCATCCATCCATTCATCATTTCTTCAAGGGTCTTTTGTTGATAGAGATGTATGTTTCATTGTTTACAGCTCAGATTTCTGGCAGAGATGTCAACTTACATACGATTACCCACAATGATGTTAACATCACGATTTAACGTGAAGTGTGAAACTTCGGGATTTCTCCCAATCATTTTTCTGATTTTTTTTAAGAATGTAAATCTCCCCCAAAAATGATCTGTAAACAACGAAACATTCATCTCTATCAATTTTTTTCTCCTTCGTATACCCTTTCGGGTTTTCACCATTTGTTCTCTTCCCACCTTCCAACCCCTTGTGCTTTCAAATCCGTACATTCGCCGAAGGCCGAGGGAAAAGCTCAATTGAGGGAAGAACCTGAGTAGGTACATCAGCCGACCCTCGAGAGACTCCCGGACAATGGAATTGTGAGAATTAGAGTGGTATAAAATTCGGCCTCCATATGGGGAAGATTAAACCCCACGTCCTTCGCGTGCCAACCCCTGCGCGCTAATCACACAGCCACTCCCGTCGGTATGAAATATCTCTCTCATTTTTTCTCCTTATCATTACAGAGAATATAATTATACCACCATAATAACTCGTTTTGTGAGAGTGTAACAAAATAATTTTTTCTGAGAGCCTCTTCATTAAATGTTCTGATTATCAGGAGAAATTGGTTCAGTCACTGGTGACGAAATCTAATTTGAAAGCCCGATGAAAATTTTCTCAAAATGTGAGGCATCTGTGATTTGTAGTGATGCGAGACGCGAGAGAAACGAAACGAGACGAGACGAGAGACATGACGAGACGAGGAGAGAAAAGCCGATCGAGAACGAGAGAAACGAGACGAGACGAGACGAGAGACATGACGAGACGAGACAAGAAAAGCCAATCGAGAACGAGAGAAACGAAAGGCAAGACGAGAGTCGAGAGAGCCGCCACCTTTCCGACCCTCTGTGTATTTTTTTTCCGTGCAAATTGGATTATAAGGCGAGTCGAAACGAGACGAGAGAAGAAATTGCTCTCGTATTTCGATACGAGGCGAGACGAGAGAATGGTTTCCTGACAACGAGACGAGACGAGAAGATGCAGTTTTTGTCTCGTCTCGTCTCGTCTCGCGGCATCACTGATGATTTGGTAGATTTTCATACACAGTAGAAGGAAATTCGCTGTTAATGTCTCCAGTGTGCGGGGTTAAATATTTCGCTAAGGGCTAGCAGAAGGCTATCGTTCTTTAGAATTTTCCAAACAAGAGAATTTATGTTAAATCCTTTATTGTATACAATTTTATAGAATACAGGAAACACGTAATGTTTCAGGACCTTTTGCCCAATTTACTTAGTTTCATCTGATTCCCTCTCTCAAATCTCTGTTAAGGAGAGACTACTATGAGTTTTAAAAGTCGCGGGTGAGTAGAGTGAGATTTCTCATGCATTGAGAATCGATTATATAGGTCTAAAAACGAATAAAAAAATTAATTTTTTTGCACCAACTATTCGTTTTTAGACATATATATAATCGATTTTCAATATATGATAAATTTAATTCCAATAGCCCGTAACTTTTGAAATAGTAGTCTCCCCTTAAAATTTTTTGGTTGAATTTTCCGGTACACTTCTTGGAAATTTTAATATTACATTGAAATTTCAAGGAGTTTGGTCATTGAAAGTTCACAATTTGATGAAAGAATCAATGGAAACAGCGAAGTTTAGTTCAATTATTATTACTCTATAAAAATGAATATAAATCAGGACAATTCACGTTCATGTATTCTTGAATCCTCGATTATTTGAAAATTCGCGTAATTTGTTACTGAATATTCACGTTGCCATTGGAAATACAAGTAAGTCGGGCAATTCCGCGTATGAAAAAATCGTATAGAAATTTTCTATACGGATTGTGTACAGAATTTCTATCGGATTTTCGTATATGATATTCGGATATTTCTATACGGATATTTTTTATACAAATTATTTCTATACGATTTCTATAGGTTTGATCCTATACGACCCACTGCCACATGTATAGAAACATTCCGTATGGAGTTGCGACATTTCTCTACGTTTTTCTCGGGAGTGTTTAGACATCTTTCGTATGAAAAAAAAAAATTATGTAAAAATTTATGTATAGAAATAATTCGTATAGAAAATATTCGTATGGACATATCCGAATATCATATACGGAAATCCTATAGAATTTCTGTACGCAATCATTATTAGTATATTTCAGTACATGTGGGGCAATTTCGTCTTTAACGTGTGTGGGGTTTACAGCATGAGCCGAAGGCGAGTGATGTAACCACACACGTTAAGGACGAAATTTCCCAACAAGTACTGAACAAAATTTTATGTCACGAAGCCTGAAACCGGCTGAATGAGACACGAGACGCGAAGCGTCGAGTGTGTAATCCAGCCGGTTTCAGGCATGAGTGGCATAAAGAAAATTTCTATACGAGTTCCTCATACGTGTCTCGTCTTCCTGCTGTTAAAAAATTGTAATCCCATTGAATGTTCAGTGAAATTTCAAATTCCATCTCTTTTCTCCTCTAGTTCAAATTCAATGTTCGTCTCCATGCACGAAAAAATTTAATAGAAAAACCTATCGAATTCCTTAGAAAATTCTATTGAATTTCTATTAAACTTTCTATTAGTTTTTGGCTGATTCTATTGACATGTTCAATGGAAAACATTCAATAGAAAAAGTCAACAGAATTCGATTTTTCTATATAACTTATTCATTTCATATATTTTCTATAGAATTTGCTCGACTCACATTTTCTAATTTTTTTTCATTCTATTTTTCTTTTCTTCTCATCAAGAAAATCAAACGAAAAAACTTGGAAAATTTGACCCGAGAAAATTCTATAGAAAATATCTCGATAGAATAAGTTATATAGAAAAATTGAATTCTATTGACTTTTTCGGTCCGTGTCCCGAAAAATCACTGCGAAACTGTCAATGAAATTTCAATTTTCTTCTAACAATGTGTTTTCATCAATTTCTCTATTTACATTTACAGGAGGATATGGTATGCTTATCCTGCACGGCCACAGGAGAAAGAGTATGCCTCGCTGCCGAAGGTTTTGGTAATCGTCACTGCTTCCTGGAGAACATAGCCGACAAGGTAACCTATTAATTCCCATCACCGGCAGTCCACTTCTCCATACCGAAAATAAATAACAAAAGCATTTTGAATCTTCAGAATATACCTCCCGACCTTTCACAATGTGTCTTCGTGATAGAGCAGGCCCTGTCAGTACGTGCCCTGCAGGAGTTGGTCACGGCCGCTGGCTCCGAGACGGTAACGTAAACGAAAAACATTCCTAGCCCCCTAATTGCACTATATTTCTCCCAGAAACGTGAATAAAAAAATCCATTATAAATGAGTAGATTTTTTTCTTTTTTCTGTGTACGCAGTCTGTATATGAGGCTTCGGGATGTGGCCATTTTCCACTGAATTGAACAGTTAAAAAATTCATCATCGTTGCATTGAGTCTATGATTAATTCTGTATTAAAGTGGTAAAAATATAATAAGTCAAAACCCCGTATCGTTAATCACGAGATTATCTCCCGCATGAGGGGCTTCAGGAGAAATAATTACTCTTATGGATAATTTCTTCAATTGAAAAAAATGTCTTTGAATGATTTCTCTCAAAACCTCTCACTCCTGAGATGATTGCATAATTCAGAACGATATATTTGCCTCATTACGTTTTACCATTTCACTACCGAAGTCGTAAAACGATTCAAGTTGATTTTGACTATCGGCCAGTTTTCAATGGATATCTCGAAATCTAGAGATGGCAAAATTTTTGTGACGACCTTTTTGTAGCCTTCAGTTCACTCTACAAAAGAACAAAAAGTACAAAAGAGTGTAGAGTGAATTGAAGGCCACAAAAAGGTCATTATGAAAAATTCGTTATTTCCCTTAGATTTGGAGATATTCGAACCGTTTTAGCGCTTCGCTACTGATTTCAATCCAGAATTAAGACGAAAAGTCAAAAGGAGTGAGGAGACTATTCCACCATTTTCTTACAATAATATCTCCCATTAATAATTGACAAAAATATTACTAAACAATTAAGAATCAATTATTTAATTGCATCAATGAAATTGTAATCGACAGAATCACGCATGAGAAGACATGATAGAAAACCTCCGAGAATTCGCTGAAAAATTCCATTGATCTTCTATTGGAAGTTCTATTAGTTTTTCGTTGATTTTATTTAAAAATTCCTTTATGGCGCATTTTTTTAGGAAAAATGTGCTTAGGAAAAATATTTTTTTATTTTATAGAGAAAATCAGTAGAATTTGGTCTTTCTATATAACTTTTTCTATATTCCTCACCATAAATTTTTTCATTTTTTCGCACTCTGTTTATTTTTTCTTGTTATTAAAAACACAAGCAAAAAAATTTTGAGCCGAGGAATTGATATAGAAAGAATCTTAATAGAATAAATTACATAAAAAAATCAAATTCTATTAATTTTTTCTAAAAAATAATTTTAATTGGACATTTCTATTGAAGAAAAACGCACAAAAATAGGAGGTAATTTTCGGTAGAATCGGCGAGGAGCTAATGCAATTTCCAATAGAAGTTCAATAGAAATCCAATAGAATTTTCTAGCGAATTGGCCGGGATTTTTTGTAATGAAATTTAATTTCTGATGTTCTCCTCATTCCACTCACAACATCAATTGAAAATGCATGTTGTCCAATTGCGATAAAAAGGAGACGAACAGGAATACGAGACAGTTCTAAATGCATCTGCGTGTTGCATCCATCCCTCCAAACTATCGCATGTGTCAATGTCACCCTTGAATAGGTCAATGAGACGCACACAAATGTTCACACTCCCTCATCAGTCATTGCTACATAGATCGCTCCATCAAAGAACATCAACGAAAAATCTTCAAAGAGAATCCCCCTCATTAATCACCATTCATATAATTACTTTACAAAATAGAAGATATTCTCATCTGTCAGTAATTCATCTCGTTCTGTGTTTTTTTCATTTCCAGCAAGAAGATACCCTAGTAAGTACTTCGTTTCAAGCATGCGTTATGAATTTCCTTAATTAATAAAACGTAACACTAATGTTTTTCCCTGTGCTCTGAGGCTTACTTTTGTTCCATTATTCATGCAAGTCGGACAAACATATTCCCACGTTACTCCTCGATAGCTGCATGCCCCTTGTAGATGATATAGTGCACACAAATAAATGAATAAATTAATTTCTCACTGTTGGAGAGAACTTTTGTAATAAAATACCATTATATTTGAAATTATTTCATGTATTCATTGAAGTATCATATTTTGTTGTTACTTATTCAATGAAATGTAGATTATATTGAGTTTCTAATTGACGAAAAAGGTTTTTTGAGAGGCGAGTCTTTATTTCAACCAAGAAGCTTACACAGTCGAGCACGAAAGTTCGTAAACAGAATACATAGAATGCAAGTTCAGGCTGTTCACGAACTTTAGTACTCGACTGCACAGTTAAGGCTGTATATAAGATACCTTAGGGACAGTAAGAGACTGGAATTCCGGGAATCCGTATACATCCACTACGCGCGCTTATAAAGAGGAGAACACGGAGAGAAATTTTTGATAAAAATTATCCTAACGTTCTATAAAAGTGTATCATGAGTCATCGTTTCCTCATTTCTATCCCGAAATTTAGTGACAATTAATATATGATGGTCAAATTTTATTCTACGGTAGAGAAATTTTATCCTGATAAAAATAAAAATTACCAGCCATTCTAGAATTTTCGTTGTTATCTACATAAAAATTATTGGACCTAAAGGGTAAAATTCATTATGCGTCAGGATAAAATTTCTCTAATGTAGAATGAAATTTGATCATCATATATTAATTTTTACTAAATTTCGGGATAGAAATGAGGAAACGATGACTCATGATACACTTTTATAGAACGGTAGGACAATTTTTATAAAAAATTTCTCTCCGTGTAGGGATTAGTGGTTTGAAATAAAATACCTCGTTCGTTGCGTCCGAATTCTATGGAATATTCATTGTTACTGAATGACTATTGACAACTAATCAATTTGTGCGAGAGATTTTACGAGACATCACGAGACAATACTTTGGAGGGATTGTCTCAGTCTCAGTGAACGCGGAGATTTTTGGTCTCGTCTCAGTCTCGAAATACGGTATCGACTCCTGTCGTGATGACTCCGAGTCAATTTATCTCACCACGGTTTCCGGTTTTTTGTGTTTTTTATGTGTAGAAAATCGAGGCGAGATAAAGCGAGACAAAAACCGGAATTTTACATTAAAAATCCGAAAAACTTGAGACTAAGATGAGATAAATTGACTCAGAATTATCACGAGAGGAGTCGATACTGCGTATTTCGAGACTGAGACGAGACCAAAGATTTCCATGTTCATTGAGACCGAGACCATCTCTCCAAAGTATTGTCTCGTAAAGTCTCTCGCGGCATCACTATAGCCCGCGTTCCCATTTCTCTCTAAACATAACTCCGCGTGATTGAATGGCAGCTGATGTTGGGGGACTGTTGGGAAACTTTAGAATAATCACTTGTAGACAACTGAAGTTCAAATTATTAAAAGTACGTAAATTAATTGAATTTCAATTAGGCTTTATTCTATTAAGATAATTCTGCGTCATCATTTCAATAACTATAGCGGCGAAAGAAAGAGGTGACCCTTGGGATCGTTTAACCCTTATGATTACACTTCACTTGACTCTCACGTTTGAACTTTTGACCCTTATGATCACTTCGTTCGTTCCTCCGGTTTGACCCTTAACTCCGTTTGATCCTTATAATCATTCTTTCCCGTTGAAAAATGATCGAGGCCATAGGTATCTTATAAGAAGCCCACGCAACTAAACATTCAGGAGGCACTAAAAGTGCCGAGAGTGGGGGTAGGCCTCGAGCGTGCGGAACTCGAGGTATCTTATGTAAAACCTCGAGTGTAGCTTGAAATTTTTCAAGAGTAAACTATTTGACATTGAAAAAAAACTCAAAAAATTTTAGTAGATTCTGTACTTTTCCGAAAGACAAGGGCAATAGGGATATAGAACTTGCATGATTTTAAAAAAATTTTCAGTGTAAAGTTTCGGCCTTGAATGATTAATTCTTCATTTATAAACATCAGAAATATTGCTTGTTAAGGGGGACCCAGATGAAATTCGGAAGTCTTCGATTGATGAAAATAACTATCGAACGACTTTTTATATATCAAGGGGTAGCTAAAAAACTAAAACTTCATACCTAACCCATTATACCCCGTACGTCAGGCGAAAACATCGTTTTTCCTGTTTTTGGCTTTGAAATGCTCCTCGCACCACAATTTTCATCAGATTCAAACTTTTTTTTGTTGTCCGGTGGCTTGGCGCAGTGCACGGAGAGAAATTTTTTTAGGAAAATTCTAGTGCTAGCACGGGAAAAGAGGCACAAAGTGACGGCCAGGAAAAAATTCCAGTGCCGACACTAGAAATTTTATTGAGGAAAACGTAAATTTTTCCCCGTATTTCGGTGAAAGTTTCACAGAAATCCCCAGAAATTTTACCAGAAATACCAATAAATTTTACCTTAACAGCACTAGAATTTTTCACAGCCGGTGGATTGTGATTTTTTCCAGTACTCGTACTAGAATTTTTCTAGAAAATTTCTCTCCGTGTGGGTAAGTTCGTTGCCTCACATGCGAAAGGTTCCGAGTTCAGATCCTGGCCGGGTAGAATGGTGCGATCTAACCATTTAAAGTCTTGATCATCATCGCAGTATACCTTAACCGGGTCGAAGCGAGGTAAAATAACGATAAAAAAAATTCAAACTCTTGTCTTTCAAAATGTTCGTTGAATTCCACAGAATAAAGCTAGGTATTTTTTCGATTAACTCAATCAAGTCGAGTCGATTTGAGGATAAAAAACTATTGAATAGATTAATTCAAATAGTCTTGGGTTGAGAAATCATTTTCATAAACAAATTGTTCTCGTCTTTGGGACAGGTATAAAATCTTTTGACGGGAGTTTTTTCATCCCAGTGTAAGATGTGTCGCTCTTGAAAATTTTCAAGCGATACGTCTCTCGATTGAAGTGAAGACATACTTCTCTGAAAAATTTTTCTTTCTCAGTGTATAAGTTGATACAGAAGTGGGATGATTCAAGGAGGTGAGCCAACATTCGAACCAATGAGTTTTTGATCAATATGTTCAAACGTAAGGGATACAGACAGATGCCAGGGATGCCTATAAAAGATGTCTCCATAGACATTCTACTGTGATATCTTACTTGGGTTGTGAACAGGGATGGCCATCAATCTTCCGATTCTTCAATATTAAAAGAATTTCCAACTTACATTGATTAAGGCTTAAATATACTCAACAAAATTTTAAAATAGTAAAATAATTGATAATCTAAATTTCCAATTGATGATTATTTAAATATTTGATGATATGGAACTGTAAATTTTTCTATTAAGGCCCGGGTGGATGATCTTTCGAAAGTTATTTCGATTGTTTTTCCATCTTCATAATCTAGAATGTATCACATTCCTATTGGATTTTACATCACGCAGGAGTCCCTAAAAATGATGAGTGTACAATCAAAAATAGTAGAAAAAAAACTGAACATATTCAGAGAGCGTTTTTAATAAAGATTAAGAAATAAATCCGATAGAGATGAAATAGTGAATGGATAATTTATCATGGTACCTAACGATCTGACAGCCATTAGATACATCAAATTTTTAATTTGCAATTTCCTCCCTATTGAGTTTGTTTCCCAATATTATTCAAAAACGCTCTTTGAAAATGTTCAGCTTTTTTTCAACGTTTTTTTTAATTGTATAATCATAATTTTGGGAGACTCCAGGGCTATGTAAAACTGAATAGCAATTAGAGATCATTTCAGATTATCAAAATAAAAAACAACAACCAAGATCACAGTTGAAAGATAGCCCACTCGGCCCTTAAATAATAATATTAATCGGTACCTTCTTAACTAAATTATTGATTAATAAAATAATTCGGAATTTGAAGATTTAAATTGATGATTACTTCAACAATTAAAAATTTATGAGTAATATTAACGAATTGACTACTTCAAAATTTAACGGTAATTATAATTTATGAATATGGCTATCCCTGTTTGTGAAATATTTTTCAAAAACTGATGTCAAGTGAAATTGACTCTTTTACTCCACTGAATTCACTGTGTTGAGAATATTGATCAATGAATATGTGCTTTCTGATGATATTTATTATCGTAAGATTATCGGAAATTTGCGCATTTTAGGGGAAAGGTACGGGATCAGGACACAGAACTCTATTATATGGAAATGCTATTCTCCTCAGGCATCAAAACAGTGATATGGTAACTATGATTTTATATAAAAGTAAAATAACATCTGTTTTCTACTTTGTAATTTTTGGAATGTTGATTATGACTTCAGTACCTAGCATGTCTATCAACAAGTTCATCCAATGACAAATTGGCGTTTGATGTAGGTCTTCAAGAGCACTCACACGGTGAGTAAAATGATAATTATCGCACGGAGAACATTCTTTAATTAAGAATTTTTCTCCTCTTCGACGACAAAGAATACTTTTCTCTTTGAAAACTTCGCGAGATCAGAGGATGTATGTGAGGCAATTGAAAGTCAATGTCTAGAAAATTATAGGAATTAGTTCCGTCCGATGAGAGTTTTATCAGAATTTAAAAAATTACTCGGGCAAAACAGGTAGTTCTTTTCTATTTCAGGGTGATGCTCTCTCATCTTTTCGACGAAATCACAAAATCTTAATGAAATCATACATAACTTCCAATTTCATCAAGCTTTCAAATTCAAATAAGAAAAATTGTCACTATTTTCTACGATAAGATCAACATTCACTGAGGAAAAAGTCTCAGTTTTTAAGGATATAGGAGTCAGTGGGGCGAAACGGACTTTTTTGCCTTTTTGTTTCCATGGAATAAAAGCTTTGTAATCCTTCAAAATTAAGGGTGCCAAGTGAATTTGAAAAAAGATTCAAAAAAAATTTTTTCTTTATTTCTTGTCTATAAAACCCCTGTAACGGTTACGATCCAAGAAACTTACTTTTAATTCCACACATTCAGCATTCTTGATTTGAAGGAAAGGAAAGTAACAAAAATTACTAATTTTTTGTCAGTGGTCCGTTTTGCCCTGCGGTCCGTTTTGCCCTACCCTCCCCTAATCGATTTTCAATGTCTGAGAAATCTTATTCCAATAGCCCGCGACTTTTAAAACTCATAGTAGTCTCCCCTTAGGGGTGTCTAATTTGCCCCATCCTCCCCTATCCATAATTTATCCGTTTGATTTTGTGATTTCTCACTCATTGAATTTCAGAATGCCGTGTAACCCTGAAAGCTATCACTTTTTTTCCTGTGTTTTTAGTTTAAGGATGATATTTTCCTTATGCACTCAATATCCTTCGTTTAACTTGAAAACTCATAATCATTAGGTGAGGCTTGTTGGTGGACTGTGCATCCAGCATCGAAACAGAGGTCTGAGGGTGAAAAAGTTCGCGTCGGTGATGACCTTATTCTCGTATCAGTTGCCACTGAGAGATACTTGGTAAAGAGTTTCGATCCACATTGAACGAATTTCAACTTCTGCATTAAGTTTAAGCATTCATGGTAGTTGTCCTTGTGTTGAATAGCACACGACCAAGGAGGATGATCTCTCTGTGGTGAATGCATCGTTTCATGTTACACACTGGTCGGTGCAACCCTACGGAACTGGAATAAGTAAGATGAAATACGTTGGATATGTATTCGGTGGGGATGTATTGAGGTTCTTTCATGGGGGCGATGAGTGTCTGACTATACCGTCGAGCTGGACTCCTGCGCCAAGTCAAAAGTAAGAGTTTCGGAAACTTGATCAACAACACAGTAATTCTGTGTTGTTAATTAAAACGAGTCCCATATGATCTCGCAGTCATCAAGACATCAAATTAAGGCGCGGGTATACTATGTTTCGAATGTTATCTGGATTTTTTTTATCTTTCGTAATCCGAAATTGTCAACTGAGTGGTACATCATGTAGAAATTCCCAAAAATTATGATAGAATGATAAAAAAAATAGAAAAATTCTGAACTTTTGCAAAGAGCGTTTTTAATTGAGATTCAGAATGAGTTGAAAAAAGTGCAAATTACAAAATTTCTGATTCGCTGTGGCAAATTATCTATTAGTTGTCATTTTCCATGGTGAATAACAAAACACTAACTCCCCATGGGAAGTGACAGCTAGGTATCTCAATTTTCAAAACAGTGTTATGTAGTCATCTGGCATTTTTATGTGATAAAAGTGTGATTAAAAAATTCTCCAAAATATTACAACTTTTTTCAGAGAGCCTTTTCCGTAATAAATGTCTCTGTGCAGTGTGGGAAAAGATTTACGAAATCAGTCTTCCCCCTGCATGATATTGGGTGACGTAAATCAGATACATTTTTCAATTTCTTGTTATTCAACTTATTCTGAATATAAATTAAAAATGCTCTTTGAAAAAATTAAGAATTTTTTCTACATTTTTTGTATTATTCATTCATAATTTTTCAAAACTTCTGCATGATGCAGGACTTAATTGACAATTTCAGATGACCAAAGATAAAAAAAAACAATCGAGATAACGTTTGAAAGATAATACACTCGGGCCTTAAATTAAAAATTAATTTAATGAGCGACGGATTTTTGAAAATAAAAATAAAGTTTTTGCTGTAGCGATTATTTTTATTCAGTTGAGATTTTTTGACCGTTGTAGTATTGAATTTTGGAAAGATGTGGAGGAAACTGTGTGATAGCCTCTGCGGTCTTCAGTAATTTGATAATTAAGATGAAATCATAAATAAAGAAATTCTTGTCGATGAACGTTTGTATTTATTTTGTGTTTTTTAGTACTTTGAAAGAATAAACAAATCCCTGATGAGGCCCCTGAAACCCCTGGAAGCCGAAACATTGGGTCATCGACAAGAATTTCTTTCTTTATGATTACATTTTAATTATCAAATTGCTAAAGACCGCAGGGGGCGTCACAGTCATTTTTTCAAAATAAAATTATTTTTGTAGTAAACTATGATCATCAACGTTAATTCTAAAAAGTTATCAGTTATTTTTAGTTTGAATTACACTGAAGAACAAGAGATCGAATACCACAATAGTATATTTCGTCATTAGGCCGAAAAAAACTTTTCTGGCGAATATGAAGTTTGCAGCACGAGCCGAAGGCGAGGGCTGCAATTATATTTGTCAGAAAAGTTTTTAGGTCGCGCCGTGCAATAAGTCGAGTTTATCGCACGCTGCGCTTCGCGCAGCCTGCTCAAGACTCGACTTCTGCACGACTTGACATAAAATATAGAGCATTCGGTAATAAATTTCGTTTTCAACGAATGTGTAGTTTACAGGCCGAGCCGAAGGCGAGGTCTGTACACACATTTGTTGAAAACGAAATTTGTGTCCTTGTACTCTAATGTACTATTTTTGGCCGTATGACGAACAATATTTTTCATCACGCTGTGACGAAAAGTGAACTTTTCGGCACGCTCCGCGTGCCTAAAAGTCCCATTTCCGCCACAGCGTGATGAAAAATATTGTTCGTAACTCGTGAAAAAATGTTTTTTAGCTCGTGGGATTATATCACTCGCCTTCAGCTCATGATATAAACCTCCCACTCGCCAAAAAACACTTTTTTGCACTCGTTACGAAATATACTATTTTGTCATGACGGCCGTAGGCAGAGATTCAAGGACGCGGAGCGAAGCGGAGCGTCCGTGAAATGCTGCCTTACGGCCGGAATGACAAAAAAATAATTTCTGCAGCCAAATATAAGGGCTAATGGGGCAAATCGACACTTTTGTTCTACTTTAATTTAGTAGCAAAGTGGTAAAACGGTTCAAGTCGACTTATCTCCCAGTTGAGTTTTTGAGGAATATTTCCGAATCTAAGGGAGATAGCAAAATTTTCATAATTACATTTGTTGTCGCACTCAATCGGCTCTACAAAAAAGGTTGTAACACAAATTTTGCTATCTCCTTTAGATTCCGAGATATTCATTGAAATTGACTTGTAGTGGTTTACCACTTCGCTACTGAATTATTCTAGAATTCAGTATACATTACCGAGTGTTACGTCGTTTTTCTCTGAATTTAAGGGGAAATTTTCTTAGCATTAGTGAAAATTTCACATTCTAGGATCTTTTGATCGCTCTAAATGAAGAGAACAGGGAAACTCTTCTTCTTTGTGCACTTCACGTCGAGGGATGAAAAGATCCTAGAATGTGAAATTTCAATTTATGTTTAGATAATTTCCCCTGAAAATCAGAGAAAAACGATCTAATCCTGTAATTTACACTAAATTCTAGGATAATTAAACTAGAACAAAAGTGTCGATTCGCCCCATTGACCCTTATATTTGTCTGAAGAAAAAATCCAATATCACAAACCTAATTTTAAAAAAATGTTTTTAATTTCATAGTTCGTTTAATAAATAAACTAATTTCTTAAAAAAATAAATGTAAATTTCACATTCTAGGATGTGTTTATAACTCGAAAGGAAGTGCGCAGAAACACTCTTTTTCTCTGTGCACTTCATTTTCCCTAGCCAAAATTCTTTTTCTTGAAAATACCATCTCTTAACATTCGGGTTTTCAGTTACTCATTATCAATCATACACTGTGAGAGAAACAAACATGTTATCAAACAAGTTTTGTTTGGCCCAACAAAATCGCTAGTTGAAAATTGCCAAAAAAGAATTTGTTTGGTTCGAATTTGAAAGTCTCAAACATGAATAATTGCTGTTTTCGACAGCAACGAAATATTTGGATCAAGAAGCAGATAATTCCCACCAGACGGTGCCTTTTCAGGATGAAAATATCTCATATAGAGGAAAATTTATCAACAAATATTTTATCCCTAAGTTACAAGACTGCTATCATATCATTATTATTGTTTCATTTAAGGGTTCATTTCTCGTCTGTGATTATTAGACAGTCGAAACGAAAAACTACTATCCCTTGTTTCGCAAAAAACAAAGATTTTTCAGGAGCAAAATACGTATGGAAGTATCGAATAACGAAGGAGTAGTGCTAGAAGTGACATTTCTCGCGTGTACAGAGAAAGCAATTTTTTTTAACTACTAAATCTATTTTTGCGTCAAAAATTTTTCATTCCGGCGCACTCTCTGCATGTTTGGCACAAAAAATCCTTTTTTGATAATTTTCAAAAAACTATTTTCTTAGCACAAGTAAGGCTTGTTTGAGAACTTTGTCGTTTTTCTCTCAGTGTATCATTAGGTAGTCAACATACTTACGTTTTATCCTTCCATTGTCCTAGTATCGTCATCTACGAAGGTGGTAGTGTAATGAGTCAAGCAAGATCTCTATGGAGGCTCGAATTAGCACGAACAAAATGGGCCGGTGGTTTCATAAATTGGCTCCATCCAATGAGAATAAGACATCTGACAACTGGGCGATATCTCGGCGTCAAAGAAAATAACGAGCTCTACCTGGTCGATAGGTGAGTTACACATTTGAATAAGTTCTCGGTTCACGTTTTTTTTCGAAAATCCAATTGCCTGATCTTCCTGCTACCGTGTCGATAATCGTTTATCACGATTTCACCAGTTCAAACTTGGAATATTTCCCAACTCTCTTTTATTCATTATTTTTATTCCCATTCTCTATTTGGATAGAAACGACGCTACGATCGAGACTTCGACTTTCTGGCTGCGTCAGGAGAAAGACGACCAGAAGATTATACTTGAGGATAAGGATCTTGAAGTCATTGGCCTGCCGATTATCAAGTATGGAGACTCAACTGTCATCATGCAGCATTCTACGACGTGCCTTTGGGTCTCTTACAAGGTAATAATTGATGTTTGGACACACCTTCGCTAGGAAATTTTATTGGGTTTTTTCACGCACGAACAAATTTAATAGAAAAACCTAGCGAATTCGTGAGAAAATTCTATTGGATTTCTATTGATCTTCCTATTAGCTTTGGCCGATTCTATTAAAATGTTCAATAGAAAATATTCAATAGAAAACGTCAGAATTCGATTTTTTTATATAATTATTCTCTTCAGATATTTTCTATAAAATTTCCTCCTTCCTGATTCAACGAAGACTTTGAAATGTCCCCGCGGTATCCCCGTAATTGTTCACCGATTTTATTGAAAAAATCTGATGCTTTACTGTATTGTTTCTTCAATAAGAAATGTTGAATAGACACACTTTATACAACAGTCACCAGAAGTTGATTTTTGTATACAAATTATTCTATTAAGATATTTTCTATAGAAGTTTATCTGCCTAAATTTTACTTTTGTTTCTTTGCTTGACTTTTTTAATGAGAAGAAAAATTGGGGAGAAGTCTTGTAAACTATATATCGTAGAATTTCTGTTGGAAAAACACATGGAAGACCCGCGGAACGTTTCAAAAGAATTGGTAAAAGACTAATCAAATTTTCAAAACAAGTTGAATAGAAATCTAATAGAATTTTCTAGCGAAATAGCTAGGTTTTTCCATTAACTTTTTTCATGTGTGAAAGCCCTTTTAAAAAAATCATAAATTATGCCAGAAGAATATTTCTATCAGGAGATTCTCCGCTATAATACCCCAAGAACTTCAAAATTATCAAATACTTCCCGAATGTTTTGTTGCATAGCAAGGCGAGGGATTTTATTGCAAAACTGATCCCGATCGTTGATATGCAGGAAAACTTGAGGGAAATATCCGATGAATTTTGTAGGTCGAGGGGTATTCGGAGGAGAATTTCTTCAATTCTGTTCGGGGTTACGGGACACATTTCACCAAAATGTGAGGAATATCTGTCAAATTCGTAGAAAACAATTGATAGGGATTCGGGGAAATTATCAGTGTGAAACGTGTCACGTGACCCCGAATACCGCACTCTGATTGGTCAAAATCAGAATTGAGGAAATTGTCAGTGTGAAACGCGTCACGTGACTCCGAATACTTCACTCTGATTGGTCAAAATCAGAATTGAGGAAATTGTCAGTGTGAAACGCGTCACGTGACTCCGAATACTTCACTCTGATTGGTCAAAATCAGAATTGAGGAAATTGTCAGTGTGAAACGCGTCACGTGACTCCGAATACTTCACTCTGATTGGTCAAAATCAGAATTGAGGAAATTGTCAGTGTGAAACGCGTCACGTGACTCCGAATACTTCACTCTGATTGGTCAAAATCAGAATTGAGGAAATTGTCAGTGTGAAACGCGTCACGTGACTCCGAATACTTCACTCTGATTGGTCAAAATCAGAATTGAGGAAATTGTCAATAGAATACGTTCTATGAAAAATGGTCCGAATCTATTGAACATCTCCAAAAAAAAAAAATTAATTAAATCCTTTAGCGTTATAATTGTATTGAATTTCCTAGAGCTCTCTATTTCCAGTTGGTCTTTCACGTATGAAAAAATCGTATAGAAATTTTCTATACGGATTGCGTATAGAAATTCTATAGGATTTCCGTATGTGAAATTCGGATATTTCTAAACGAATATTTTCTATACAAATTATTTATATTATTTCTAGAAATTTTTACATAAATTTTTGTTTTCACACGAAAGATGTCTAAACACTCCAGAGAAAAGCGTAGAGAAATGTCGCAACTCCATACGAAATGTTTCTATACATGTGGTAGTGGATCGTATAGGATCAAACCTATAGAAATCGTATAGAAATAATTTGTATAAAAAATATTCGTATAGAGATATCCGAATATCATATACAAAAATCCTGTAGAAATTCTATGCGCAATCTGCATAGAAAATTTCTATACGATTTTTCATACGTGTTGTTCCTAGGAAAATTCTTTAAAATTCATGGCAAAAGCAATTTCGTAAAAAATAATGAGATAATTCGTTTTATGATGCAATTAGTCATACGAAACGAAGAAAAAGGGAGTGGGTAAAGTGGAGGAGAAGCAGGCGGTGCTTCACGAGGAAGGAAAGATGGACGACGGTCTTGATTTCTCAAGGTCCCAGGAGGAAGAGTCAAGGACTGCGAGAGTCATCAGGAAATGCAGCAGTTTATTCACTCAATTCATCACGTGAGTCAATTCCCAAATTCTCAACGTCCCCATTCCTACCCTCTCTAGCAATATACATAATTTATCCTCAAAACATTCTCCTTGGGAAAATTGATGTCAGAAAAAAAAAGTTAGAATTCATAAACTATTTTTAGAGGCCTAGAAAACCTACAGATCGATCGAAGGGCTTCCATGTTCTTCCAAAATGTTAATTTGAACGAGATGGTGATGTGCCTGGAGGACTTGATCAACTACTTTGCTCAGCCGGAGGATGATATGGGTAAGAAATAATTTTTATGCCACTCATGCCTGAAACCGGCTGGATTACACACTCGACGCTTCGCGTCTCGTGTCTAATTCAGCCGGTTTCAGGCTTCGTGACATAAAATTTTGTTCAGTACTTGTTGGGAAATTTCGTCCTTAACGTGTGTGGTTACATCACTCGCCTTCGGCTCATGCTGTAAACCCCACACACGTTAAAGACGAAATTGCCCCACACGTGCTGAAATATACTATTTTCTAGCCAAGTGGCGAATCGAAATGAAATTGATAATTGCTGTCACTTATTGTCTCCATACATCGCATTTCCCACAAATTATTTTGCCAATATCTCTGAAACTACTTTATTTGGGAAAAATAGCACATCTTTTTTGTTGGCCTTAACATTTTTTCCATCCAATTTTCCTACTGAAAATTCAATAATTAAATCCTTCATTTGTTCATTCATCAAAGAATTTTATTGATTTGTCTCTCTAATCTGATCTCGAGCAATCAGGGTGTGGTATTCGGGGTCACAGGCAAGGATCGGCATCAATCATTAGTTTAATAATATTATGAGGAGTTGCACCTTACAATAATTAAGGTTTACTTATCTGCATTGAAATCTGAAAAATAATAAAATAGTTGATGATTTCAATCTTTAATTCTGTAGCGAAGGGGTAAATTAGGATAAGTGCAAAAATGGAACGTTTTCAGGAGAATTAAAAAATTTGACCACCTTTGAGAGAACTTTCGATTCAAGCAATAGAAAAATTTTCAAAAAAATTGCACTTATCCTAGTTTACCAGTTCATCACTAGATTGACTAGTGAGTAAATAATTTCATAAAAAAATGTTCGATTAGCCAAATAATCGTCAATCTTCTGAACTTAATTATTAATTGATAAAACAATTCGGAATTGATGATTGATTTAATCATTAAAAAATTGTTCAGTGATTTTAACAACTGACTTATTTAAGATTTAACTTTATTTAAAATTTATGATTATATGCCGATGTCTCGTCACATTACACGTTTCACACTGATAATTTCCCGGCCGTCGAGCAAATTATCAGACTAAGGATTTCCGTGTAGCCTCTCAATTTTTTTCTACTGATTTGACAGATATTACTCACATTTTGGTGAAATGTGTCATGTAACCCCGAATACTAGAATCTGATCGGCCGAGATCAGAAGCGAAAAAATTATCCTTCGAGTACCCTTCAACGTTCAAAATTCATCGAATATTTCCCTCACGCTTTTCCGCATCGCAACGCTTGGAATTCGTTTTGTAATAAAACCCTACGCGCTACGCACTCGGGGTTTTAATGCGCAAAACTGATCTCGTTAAACTATCAAGAAAGGTCCAATAATTTTGAAGGTCTTGGGGTGGTATAGCTGACGATTTTGCTAAGCTTTCGACAATCTTCTTTACTGAAAATTCGGTAGCTTCTCCACGCATTTTTTAATAGAAAAAATTTTCAATTCTCCATTTTTCAATTCATATCAATGGTCAGATAACTATCAATACTTATCACTATAAAAATATTCAATATGTAAACAAAAATCTACCAATTTCTTTTTCGGTACAAATAGTTCGGCTGAATTGTTCCCTAAATGAATTTTTAGACACAAAATTTCAAGGTTTTTATAGTATATTTCTTCATAATTTATTCAAAGCTAAAAGAAAAAACATGACCAATTTATGCCGAGGCATTTCAATTCTGTAGCGAAGTAGTAAACACGAATAAGTGCAATTTTTTTGTCAATTTTTGTACTGCTTGAATCGAAAATTCTCTCGAACGTGGTAAGATTTTTTAACTCTCCATTTCGCTACAGAATTGAAAAACATGTCAACAGGACAAGTTCTACAAAAAAGAATTTATTGATTTTTTTCTACCGCAAAAAACGGTGAAAAACTCGCAAAAATCTCGATAGAAATTAATGGAAACCTCAGAATTTTGTACATAGAAAAAAAACTAATAAAAATTGTATGAGAAATATTAATCCTGATGTAAAATGCTCTTTTAGAGATTTTTCTCTTGAAATTCAGGGAATTTCACGTAAAAATACGGAAAAATTCCGTCGCGAGAGACTAACGTATCATCCTACACGTATGAAAAAATCGTACAGAAATTTTCTAGACGGATTGCGTATAGAATTTCTATAGGATTTTCGTATATGATATTTGGATACTTATATTTGGATACTTATACTTATATTTCTATACGGATATTTTTTATACAAATTATTTCGATACGATTCCTATAGGTTTGATGCTATATACGACCCACTGCCACATGTATAGAAACATTTCGTATGGAGTTGCGACATTTCTCTACGTTTTTCGCTGGAGCGTTCAGACATCTTTCGTATGACAACAAAAATTTATGTATAGAAATAATTCGTATAGAAATATCCGCATATTATAGACGGAAATCCTATAGAATTTCTATACGCAATCCGTATAGAAAGTTTCTATACGATTTTTTTGTCATTCCGGCCGTAAGGCAGCGTTTCACGGACGCTCCGCGTCCGTGAATCTCTGCCTCTGGCCGTCATGACAAAAAAAATATTGTTCGTCGTACGGCCAAAAAAAAATTTTCTGACGAATATGATTGCAGCCCTCGCCTTCGGCTCGTGCTGCAAACTTCATATTCGCCAGAAAAGTTTTTTTCGGCCTAATGACGAAATATACTATTTCATGCGTGTAGTTCTAGAATTTATTCAGTGATTTCTCCGATCCCACTATTATGCACCACGGTTTTAGAACTTTTTCTACTAAATGTCTCATGTTCTACTGAATTATTCTACACACGCATGAATTTTTCTATATCTCTCCCCGTCGACGATATTCGCAAAATAATCTGAAAATTACTTTTGACCTGATTCCCGTCTATCGCCACTTCTGCACATAATCCATTACCAACAATACCCGGATTACCAATTTAACCCCCTCAACTTCCATTTATAGAACACGAGGAGAAGCAAAACCGTTTCCGAGCCCTCCGCAACCGTCAAGATCTATTCCAGGAAGAGGGCATTCTCAATTTAATCCTCGAAGCAATCGACAAGATAAACGTTATTACATCCCAGGGTTTTCTGGTGGCCCTCTCGGGGGACGAGAGCGGCCAAGCATGGGATCAAATATCCGGCTACTTGTACCAACTCCTGGCAGCAATAATCAAAGGGAATCACACCAATTGTGCCCAATTTGCCAACAGCAACAGATTGAATTGGCTCTTCAGTAGGCTCGGCTCTCAGGCGTCCAGTGAGGGCACAGGGATGCTCGACGTACTCCACTGTGTCCTCATTGACTCGCCAGAGGCGTTGAACATGATGAGAGACGAGCACATCAAAGTCATCATCTCACTCTTGGAGAAACACGGCCGCGACCCCAAAGTCCTTGACGTCCTGTGCTCTCTGTGCGTGGGTAATGGTGTGGCCGTCAGATCCTCCCAGAACAACATCTGTGATTTCCTCTTGCCCGGCAAGAATCTCCTACTGCAAACCCAACTAGTGGACCACGTGGCCAGCATCAGGCCCAATATCTTTGTCGGTCGAGTCGAAGGATCGGCTGTTTACCAGAAGTGGTACTTCGAAGTGACGGTTGATCACATTGAGCAGACTAGCCACATGATGCCACACTTGAGAATCGGTTGGGCAAACACTACTGGTTACGTTCCATACCCGGGGGGTGGAGAGAAGTGGGGTGGCAATGGGGTGGGCGACGACTTATACTCATTCGGTTTTGATGGCGCATTTCTGTGGACCGGTGGGAGGAAAACTCCAGTCATGCAGAACGCCACTGCTCCCTACATCAGGAAGAGCGATGTAATTGGTTGTGCGTTGGATCTCACAGTTCCCGTCATCACATTTGCCTTCAATGGAGTGCCCATCTCAGGGTCATTCCGGAATTTCAATCTAGATGGTATGTTCTTCCCGGTTATCAGTTGCTCCTCGAAGCTATCCTGCAGGTTTCTGCTCGGTGGAGACCACGGAAAACTCAAGTTTCAGCCACCGGAGGAGTTCTCACCACTGGTTGAGAGTCTTTTGCCTCAGCAAATATTGTCTCTTGATCCTTGTTTCTATTTCGGAAATATGAATAAAGTGGTTTTGGCTGGGCCCTGGCTCATTGAAGACGATACGGCGTTCGTGCCAGACCCCATAGACACCAGCATGAGTAATCTTCCTTCGGCTGTTGAGGATATTAGGGATAAATTGGCTGAGAATATTCACGAGATGTGGGCCATGAATAAGATCGAGGCTGGCTGGGTCTTTGGGGAGCAGCGAGATGATCTGAGGAGGATACACCCCTGCATCGTCAAGTTCGAGCATCTGCCCCTTGCTGAGAAACGATACGACACGCAGCTGGCGGTGCAAACACTGAAGACAATCGTTGCGTTTGGATATCACATTTCCAAGGAACCACCTCGCTCGAGGATTAGAAACCTGAGACTTCCGAATGAACCCTTTCTGCAGAGTAATGGGTACAAACCAGTGCCTCTTGACCTCAGCGATGTGACACTGACGCCGAAGATGGAGGAGTTGGTGGATCAGTTGGCTGAGAATACTCATAATCTGTGGGCGAAGGAGAGAATCAGTCAAGGGTGGACGTATGGACTCAATGAGGATTCCGATATGAGGAGGAGCCCGCATTTGGTGCCTTATGCTAAAGTTGATGAGGCCATTAAAAAGGCTAATAGAGATACTGCAAGCGAAACTGTCAAGACACTGCTGGTTAATGGGTATATTTTGGATCCACCCACTGGTGATCAGCATGAAGGTAAATTTATTTGATTTTAGGAAGGAGTTTTAGATGAATTTAATAGCGAAGTGGTAAAATGAGATGAATCAACATGTTCTATCCAACGGTTCTTGATTGCAGTACCACGGTTCTGGATTTAACACTCCATTGGTCGCGCTATGAGCGCCGCGCCGCACTTGTTCCGATTTTTTAAATTACACTAGGGTAAAGCCTCAAAAAATTTGAAAAAATTTGAATCTCATTTTGAAGTGTCTGGAAGCCCTATCAATGAAAATATCCGCCAAAAATATCATAAGTAGTTGGATTTTCAAATTTTTATTCCGAAACTCCGGGCCGTCATGTATGAAAAAATTCAATAGAAAATCAGGCGAATTCGGTAGAAAATTCTATTGGAATTCTGTAGAAATCCTATGGGATTTCTATAGGATTTCTATTGGAATTCCATTTGGTTTTTTGTGCTGATTCTATTGGATATTCGATAAGAACAAGTCAATAGATTTCAAATTTCTGTTTAAATTTTTCGCTTGAAATTTTTTCTATAAGAATCCCTGGGCATCAATTTTCTAAGTTTTTGCCACGTGGACTCTACAATGCAAAACAAAACAAAATCCAGCGGAAAAAACTTAGAAAGCTTTGTGCCTTTTTCTTATTGAATATCCAGTAGAATCAGCGCAAAAAACAAATAGAATTTTTCAATAGAATTCCAATAGAAATAGTGAAGAAAACCCATAGAATTCCTATAGAATTCCAATAGAATTTTCTAGCGAATCCGCTAGCTTTTCTATAGAATTTTGTCCTGTGTGGTGTACCATGTATAAGGCAAATTTTCAGAAAAACATGGCAACTTTGAGCTTGAGTATATAATTAAGGGCAACATTGAACATAAAAAGTCTCACGGGACTTCTTCAAGTATACGAACTAGATCGCTCTTGATTTTTTTCAGATTTTTCCTAGATCTTTCAAATTTATCACTATGTCGATTTATGCTGGAGCGGCGCGGCGCTTACGGCGCGGCGCTTACGGCGCGACCAACGACGTTCGTAATTTTTTCGCGACCAAGGGAGTGTTAACCCTAGTCTGGTCACCAAGCGCGATTCTGCGACTTTGGTCAACCTCGCGGGGATTCGCCGCCGTGTTAATTTAGGCTTTAGCGTTGCCGAATTTACTCTATACTGCTCGGGCGCGTCTAGCGAGTTTCCAACAATGTCGCGCCATGAGCAATTTCATTTAGCATGGGAAAAAATAATTCATATGTCCGAAATATTTTGTTTTCTTTAAGAATTTTCAGAAGTATGTTGTTCTAAAAACTACTATAATATTTCAGATACTTCAATTGACAAAGTCAATTTTTATTTTTATTTTTCCGGTTAGCCAGTCAATTGTAATTAAAGAAAAACGACACACGGTGGGGTTTCCCTGATAGGGTGACCAATCTAGGGTTAGGGACTTTTTTCACTGGAACGTAGTACGTTTTTAGGACAGATTTTCAGTGATCTTTGCCCTGAAACTAAATAATCATTTTCCGCATCTCAGTACACAGAGAAAAATGTTGGAGAAAAATTACTAAACAAGTTAAGTAATCGTGGAGCAAAATCCGCTTTTAGATCTTTTTTATTCAATATCGTGGCGAAGAATGCGAGATGAATAGTTAATTTTTCTCCGCTGACTCGGGACATTTTACTAAACGTGAGGGTAATTTGTGCCGAAACTGTCAAATTCACCATTTATCCCATGAATATGAATAATTGCTCAATATTGCATAATCATTCACACATGTGTATGATGAGAGAACGATTTTTTTCACCAAAAGGGGTATGGTAAAATTTCACTTTTGTCCACCCCCATGTTCTTCAGATCGGAGCCTTCACTATACAGGGAACTGTAATTTTTGCATCCATAGATGTTTTTTTCTATCAAACAAATCAAAAGATATCCTCCAATTTCACACTCGTGAAAATTCCGTCTCACTCTTATCGAAATACAGTAGAGGCTCCGTATACCTTAGGGACAGTAGGAGAATGGAATTCCGGGAACCCCTATGCCCCCACTACGCGCTTCCATAGAGAGGAGAAAAATAGGGATCAGCGGGTTTCAAATAAGATACCTCGCTCGTTGCGCTCGAATTCAATGAAATTTTCATTTTTACTGAATGAATATCGATAACTAATCAATTTATATGTGTTTAATGTTTTGAATTTGTATCGCCCGCGTTCCCTTTTCTCTCTAAACATAACTCCGCGTGATAGAATGGCAGCTGATGTTGGGGGATTGTTGGTGGACTCGAGAATAATCACAGACGAAAAATTACGACTTTTCGATGGGAAAAGTGAACAAAAAATCGATGTATATTTCCATTATTTGAAAAAAGTGGTATGACCCCCCCTTAAGGTGATTAGACCCTCATAAACACTTCGTTCGTCCCTCCCATTTGACCCTTAACACCGTTTGATCCTTATAACTACTCTCTTCCTGTTGAAAAATAACCGGAGTCATAGGTATCTTATAAGAAGCCCACGGAACATAAACATTCGAAAGGCGATAAAAGTGCCGAGAGTGGGGGTAGGCCTCGAGTGTGAGGTATCTTATAGAGAGTATCTTATACGAAGCTGTATACTATTTTCTGTACTGCTTCTCACGATTTCTCGTCTGGGAATTGGTATTACATACTTCCCAAACTCGAAAACTTGAAAATCACTACAGAAAAATATTGTTCCTGGGCTGTTGTGATGGGGTTTTTTTACTCGTGTGGTTGGCCAGTCCTCGCCTAGGCTCGGAGGCCAACGCCACATGAGTAAATAACCCCATCGCAACGGGCCGGAAAAATACTATTCTTCACGTTGTCCGTGAACGGCCGTTGACGGACGGGAAGTATCCGTAAAACGACGTTTTACAGACAGTGTGATGAAATAGCGATTTTTGTTACAACACCGAAAACAACTTTTCTGACGAGTCAGGGTTGCAGACCGAGGCGAAGCCGAGGAATGCATTCACACAAGTCAGAAAAGTTGTTTTCAGCCGAGTGACGAACACAATTTTTCTTCACAATGTCCGTAAACGGCGTTTGACGTTACTACACTATTTTTCTCTCTGCCCATAAATAATATCAATTGAGATAAAAAAAATCTCAGCAAGATGATTACTGAGAAATTACTCTAATGCATTTGTAATTTTCCATTCAGCTCAACTCCTCGAAGCGAACAAACTCCGACAACAATATTTCCGAACATACAGAGTAGAGAAACACTACGCAGTGAGCACTGGCAAATGGTACTTCGAATTTGAAGTATTAACAGCTGGACCAATGCGAGTGGGCTGGGCGAAATCAGACTGCGCCCCTGGGAACATGATAGGAAACGACGAGAACACCTGGGCCTTCGACGGGTACAACGTACGTCCCAAACCAATACTCCAAAGCTATATGAATTCATTATCAATCATTCACTATGTTCACCATTCCATAGTATCACCATATCTATTAGTAATTATTCTAATATTAAGGAACAAGATAGGATGTCCGGTTGATCAGATAAATGTGAATTACGTAAATGTAGAATGATCGATTTTTCGAAATTGTTAATCAATACTTTGCTTAATTACAACGTGAAATGTCAGGTGACCAAAGTACACGGAGGTGTCTGCGAGTCTTTTGGTCACAGATATCAAGTGGGTGACGTAGTTGGCTGTTTCATTGACGTCACGGATGGAACAATCAGTAAGAGTCCACTAAGAATGTCCAATAGACGAGTTTCCACTTTAATTTTCTCTGGAAGAAGCAAAAAACCAATAATGAGTTTTAATTCTTCTCTTGAGTGATTTATTTTATGTTCACCAGTCACTACTCTGTCTTTGTCTCGCTCTATGTTTACATTATATGTTGATTTGGTTTTTGCATCCTAGTTCATCCCCCCCCCCCTCCCCCAATGAAACGATCTATTATTCCGAATGAATAGATAAACGAAGAGCTGATGAATACCCATGATTCAGTCACTGCCTCATTACAAAGTGAATCAATAAATCATGATCATCAGAGATATGATCGAGGCAATTGTTAATCGATGCGTCAGTGTTTTTGAAATTGCTTTGAAATTTTTATTTTAAAGGAGGAAAAAGTATACTCGGGCAACGCCGAAACGTTCGGCAAGCAATGGCAGGTTGGAGACGTTGTCGGTGTATTCCTGGATCTTATTGACCGAACAATTAGTAAGACGGAATCTTTAAACGAACGCTTCGGCTGCCAATTTAAAAAAACAAATTATATTTATTGAAGCTATATCTATAATCTGAGTGTAGAGATAGATTACTGGATATCGGCTAAGTTTATTTTCTTGTTTTAGTATTAGTATTTTAGTTTCATTCCATTGGCTTCAACCATTTTATTCAGATTGGACAAAATTATCATTCTTCTCTGACTCAATTAATTGAATTTTTGAATTTCTTTACAGTGATTTTCTTCTCAGTATCAATTGGGTGCCCTGTAAATACACCAATACTACTAACGCATAACACAATCTGCATGCTTTCATATGAAATTCGCATTTTCATCTGTAAATTACTAGAGACAAACGACTTAATATCACAAAATTAATTTCTTTCAGCCAAATGTATCATTTCTTGAGTACTAACGGCTTGTATAAAGTCCGTGAGGTATTCACGACATAAACATGAACATTTCACGAGTTCACGGTGAAGGGACAATTTTTTAATTCAAGGAATCGTTTTTCTCGTGTCGGGAGATGAGAAAATGACTTAAAATACTAAAAACTTCAGTGGCTGTAGTGATCACGCGGGGAGTGTGTGGCTCCGGCGGTCATTCAAGCTAAGCAGCGTTCAGTCTGCCCAGTACTTGGATGGGTGTCTGCTTAGGCACACCTAAAACCGCGTGAGACTACAGTCGCTAGGCACGAATGTAGAGAACCCACTGTGCCCATTGAGTCAGTATGACCAATGGACACAGTGCAATCCCTGCATTATCGGCCGGCTGCACGACTGAGGTTTTCCATGGTTTCCCTGGCAGTCCAATCCCGAATGGGGTGCAGTTGGGGATAAAGTAAGTCGGCCCATGGTAACGCAGATAGGGAAGGGAACAAAATGTAAAAACCCGAGAGGGTATACATATGGAACAAAAAAAAATACTAAAAACTTCAATCCGGTGAATAAATAAGATATAAAAGAAAAAGGATAGAAAAGCAAAAGCTGAAAGACCCACCTGAGTTGGAATCCTTCTGCCTCCGAATTTTTTAATTTGTGCATTGATAATTATTTGAATTGTTTCTCTCATATAAAAATCCGGAAAACCGAAGTATAGTATATAGCATCCCACTTTTCATGTAATTTACACCTTAAACACATCTTAGGTTTCACCGAGTCGATAGTCCGGGGATAGTACAGAATATAAAAGTTAGAGAGTAGAAAGAGTAGAGAGGTTCAGAAATAAATGAGGAAAATAATAAGGAAAAAGTTCTCGATGCGGCTCAAAGAACTAGAGGTAATTCGTGAGGTACGCACGCATGGTCATTTCAAAAGAAGAAATAGAAAGGACGTCCCAACAAAAGGGAGATCTCTTTTTGGAAGCAGTAATAAAAAATCCTTTCTGGGCCTAATGATGAAATCTACTATTGTGATATTCAGTGGTTTTTCCTCTCAGTGTAAATTCTTCACTGGAGATTTTTATTTAAAAGGAACTATAGCTTTGAAAACTCGCAAATGAACGAGATTACTCACACTGAGAAAAAAAATTATTTTGCCAAATATCAATTTACTTCAGAGAACTATTTATTTTTTCAATACCGTATTTCTCCAGTCGAGTCATTCCCAGGCAATTCTTATTAGGTTTCAATTATGACAATTATATTGCTCTAGAAGATGATCATGTTAGTTATCACCTGCAGTAAACTCCCTCAGTAATTGTAACCATTAAAAACTTAATCGAAATTCTTTCCTCTAGAAAATAAGCAATTTAGGAAAACTGAATAATCATTGGAGGAGTTCCTGAGGTCATGTGCAACATACTCATCCTCTAGAGTAATATGATTGTCATAATTGAAACCTAACCAGACTCGCCTGGGATCGACTCGATTGGAGAAACAAGATTTTGAAAAAATAAATACTTCTCCCAAGTAAATGAATATTTGGCAAATTATTTTTTTTCTGAGTGCATAGTCACCAACGTAGTTTTGTTATAATCTCGTCGTTTATCGAGCAGAAACAACTGTACACCTGATATCCAGTATTCTACTCAATCTAATAATGTCAATAAAACACGTGAAATAAATTTATTACCCATTACAACTAACCACAGAAGAATGATGATTAACGTTTCATGTATTATCACGGCAATAATAATAAAACGGAACCAAGAAACACTGGTCATGATCATCTACGAGCTCATACTCCATTGCATGATTCATTTTTTATCCGCAATTGGCAATGTCGTTTTAAACAGCACTTGGAACTTTATGGGACGTAGTATCTGGGCCACATTATTCCCATCTCTACTGTTTTTATTGCGCTGTTCTAGCTTAATTGTGCTGTCCTCCCCAGTCTGTCTTTTACAAAAAAAAAATTTAACATTTTATAGTTTGCTCTGAATAGACAATTTTCCCTGAATGAAATATTGATTTCTTTAATCAGACCTGCGGGTTTGGATTGAAGAGTTAATTGAAGATACTGTGTCACAGGTTTTTCTCTGAATGGGGAGCTCCTTATGGATGCACTGGGTGGAGAAACATCTTTTGCTGATGTCCAGGGGGATTCATTTGTCCCTGCATTTACACTCGGTGTTGGACAGAAGGCGAAATTCACGTTTGGACAGGATGTTGATACTCTTCAGTATTTCACTACTTGTGGGCTTCAAGAAGGATATGAACCTTTCTGTGTGTAAGTGAAAGAGATATTATGAAATATGTGGACTTAAGAGCTTGTTCTATCGGCCAACGTCCATATGTCACATAGACCCTTGCCATGATTAATAAAAATTTATTATCCTTCGTACTATTGTAGATATCGAAATTCTACAAATTTCTCCATGAAAGAGTTAAAATTATTAACACTACGTGATTCGATTTCTTTTAAAGTTATTTTTTATATTTTTCTTCAATACGAAAAGGCTTCGTAAAACATATCTTAGGGACAGTAGGAAAGTGGAATTCCGAGAACCCCTGTGGGTTTCAAATAAGATACCTCGCTCGTTGCGCCCGAATTCAATGCAATTTTCATTTTTACTGAATGAATATCGATAACTAATCAATTTATATGTGTTTAATGTTTCGAATTTGTATCGCCCGCGTTCCCTTTTCTCTCTAAACATAACTCCGCGTGATAGAATGGCAGCTGATGTTGGGGGATTGCTGGTGGACTCGAGAATAATCGCAGGCGAAAAATTACGATTTTTCGATGGGAAAAGTGAAAAAAAATCGATATATATTTCCATTACTTGAAAAAAGTGGTGTTACCCCCCCTTAAGGTCATTAGACCCTCATGATCACTTCGTTCGTCGCTCTCGTTTGACCCTTAACACCGTCATAACTGCTTAACCTCATAACTGCTCTCTTCCCGTTGAAAAATGACCGGAACCATAGGTATCTTATAAGAAGCCCACGGAACATAAACATTCGGGAGGCGATAAAAGTGTCGAGAGTGGGGGTAGGGCTCGAGCGCTCGGAACGCTAAGTATCTTATAGAGAGGTATCTTATACGAAGCCTCTACTGTAAATAAAGATTAGGGAACTGAAGTCAATGTCGGATGCATATTCAAACCTCTCGTTTATTGGGATAATTTTTATCCAAAATTGTAAAATTTTTACCGAACATACACTGTCCGTTTTCACATTCTTCTATTTTACCCCACCCATTAGATTTTAATTCATGTCATGATGCTTGGCTCAAGTATTGAACCATTCTGCCCTACATCACCCCACCTGTACTCATTTTACATTATGGCCCTATTTTTCACTCCGTTTAATTTTGTCACATTGGTGTTTTTGCCACATAGTACCCTTTTCGACAATTAGACCCAATATTCATCTCGTCGCATTTAACTTGATCTTTACTGCTTGACCCACATGATTTCATGGATGCAATTCCATACGATATTCGATAATGAATGACAATTTTTTCCACTTCCGGCACTCATTAATTCATTAATAGACTAACTTTTCGTTACGATTAGTGATTAAATGAACAGTGAAAATTGATATTATTATCAGTACTCGAGAACAAAGTGATTAAAATCAATTTTTTCCCCCAATCATCAATACGGTAGTGAAAACTGTATTCCACTCCATTATTCATGATAAAAGTAATGAGAATCTATCGATCTCTGCTCGTAAAAATTGAGATGATAATGGGGAATGAATTTTCATCGATAATTCATTAAACGAGTGAGCGGAATTTCATTTTGTCCATTAACCATCAATAGGGTAATAAAGTATTACTAGCGAACGGGGGCTACGCGTCTGTCACTGGGTGAGATTGCCCTAAATTATATCGTTCTATTAGTTCCCCTTCAATAATTCCAATGATCTCTAACTATTATGCACAGAGGGAATAATAGTTAGATGATGGCAACCCCAGTCATCTCTTCAAAAATTAGTAAGCTACACTGAGAAAAGAATTACTTTTCCCAAGTATATTTACTGACTGCAAGAAAACTTACACATGTCTTATGTAAATATTTACATACATTTACTTGTAGCAAGTAAATACACTTGGCAAAAGCAACTTTCTTTCTCAGGGGACCCACTAGCCGTGGGACCGAACAGGGGTCACCAAAAAATTCGGATGCGCCACTCTAATTTGTTAAGATCTCACGAAACTTCTCCATGGAATAAGGAGGCCACATCCAAATTTTTCGGTCACCACGGTTTGGTTTCATGGATTGGTGAATAGCGCACTAATTTTCGTCAGAATTTTCTCTCCCTGTAGTTATTGAAATATTGATAGTAGTTGTAATCCCTCCTTCTCTCCCGATAAGGACGCTATCCTATGGACTGTATTTGGTCCCAGAACTACACTGTTAACAATTTTTGTCTCTATTTTCGGTGCCGAATTCCGGAAATTTTTGTCGTGTTCCAATTCCATTGACATTTCAGGAAATCTTGTCATTGAAAATTCAGGATTTCGTGGAAAAATGAAACAGAACTGTAAATTTCCGTTCTATTTTTCCCTGAAAATGAATAGAAAACCAGAAAATTTTGGTAAATATATTCTTGAATTTTCAGGACAGTGACACTGAATGCGATTTAGGGGGGAAAAAAATGATGAAATTTCAGATTTCACGAAAATTCAATGCCATTTGACACTGAATATTCTAATATCACAAATAAATGAAGGAATTCTCGTCTTCATGCCCCTTCAAATTCTGGAATTTTACTGAATTTTCAGTGAAACCTGAAATTTCATTGATTTTTTTCCCACTAATTCGCATTCAGTGTCACTGTCCTGAAAATTGGTAGTCAATTGTCAGCTATAATACCCCAAGACCTTCAAAATTATCGGATATTTCCCGGATATGTTTTGTTGCATAGCAACGAGAGGAATCAGTTTTGCAGATTAAAATCCCGAGCGCGCACACGGAAAGAAATATTCAAGAAAAATTACGGAACATTTCACATAATCCGCAAGCGAGAATCATTTTCAGTGAATTTCTATAGGAATATAAGAAAATAAATCTGAAACGTTCAGTAAATTTTCGGGTCTGTCACCGAAAAAATACGAAAAAGTCACGTAATTTTTCTGGAAGTTGTAAAATCTAACAGAAACTTCAAGACTTATTATGCCTCAGAATATGAAAATTCTTGGATGTTTAAGAATTTTTACGAAAAGTTCCAGAAAAATTACGGAACGTGTTGTTAGCCGTGAGGCGTCGGACGGATGAGTAATTTTTACGGAACAGATCGTAGAATTTACATGACGATTGACACTTTTTATTGAATTTTACTTCGCTCTCAGATTACGTTTCGAAACGTAATTTTTGCTGGTAATTTTTATTGAGTATTTCTCTCCGTGCAGCGCGAGGAATTTTCCTGCAAAGCTGATCCCGATCGTTGATACGCAGGAAAACTTGAGGGAAATATCCGATGAATTTTGAAGGTCGAGGGGTATTCGGAGGACAATTTCTTCAATTCTGATTTTGGCCGATCAGGGTGTAGTGTTCCGGGTCAGACTGATATTTTCCCTGCAGCCGGGGAAATTATCAGTGTCAAACGCGTCACGTGACTCCGACNAGTGTTCCGGGTCAGACTGATATTTTCCCTGCAGCCGGGGAAATTATCAGTGTGAAACGCGTCACGTGACTCCGACTACTGCACTCTGATTGGTCAAAATCAGAATTGAGGAAATTGTCAGTAGTAATACCACGAGACCTCCAAAATTATCGGATATTTCCCGATTGTTTTGTTGCGTAGCAACGAGAGGGAGAAGTTTTAGGGACAAGTTTTCCCTGGAGCGCGCAGCGCGAGGGATTTTTGTGCAAAACTTATCGATCGTTAATACGCAGAAAAACATGAGGGAAATGTCCGATTGATTTTGGAGGTCGAGCGGTATTCGACTGATTTTTTTTGGTAATCGGATCCTTCCCAAACCGACTCATTTTGACTTTGATCATGACTTTCTTTCACTCCACAGGATAATATTTGACAGTTATTTGATTAGAAAAGCAATTGCAGAGCTAGAGGAAAATTATCAAAAGCTACAGGGAAATTATCAAAAGCTAGGGGGAAATAACCGCTCTAATTTTAATTGGGTACTTCATGTTATTGAATACTGAACTCTGATTGGCCCAGGGAAGGCCAGATCCGATTACCAAAAATAATCAGTTATAACACCCCGAGACCTTCAAAATTATCGGAATATTTCCCGATAACTTCATTGCAAACAAATGAAAGTGTCAAGTTGTGCAGGCTAAAAATATTTTTCTGCAAAATTTGACACTTTTGTTTGTTAGCAGGGAAGCTTGAGGGAAATATCCGATGAATTTTGAAGGTCAAGGGGTATTCGGAGGACAATTTCTTCAATTCTGATTTTGGCCGATCAGGGTGCAGTGTTCGGGGTTCACATTTCACCAAAATGTGAAGAATATCTCTCAAATTCGTAGAAAACAATTGACAGGCTACAGGGAAATTATCAGACTGATAATTTCCCTGCAGCCGGAGAAATTATCAGTGTGAAACGTGTCACGTGATTGCGAATACCGCACTCTGATTGGTTAAAATCAGAATTGAGGAAATTGTCTATGAAATTGTTTTTTTCTCTATTTCGTTTATTTAAAATATTTTTCTATTATAGTATATTTTAGTTCCAGAAGTGTAATACATTCCTAACGTTTCTACCCACTACCTTTTAGAGGACTTGAAACGTTTTTCTGAAATCGGAAACCTCTCTGGTTTGCCGATAAGCGAATACCCTTCAACCATCATAGTTTCCAAGATATATCGACGGAGATAAGAATTCCCCCCACCCCCCCCTCTACCCACGGATGTATTTGCTCCCACAAGTACTTAGGATATTGAGGATTACGGGAGGTTTACATCACTCGTTGTGTTCGACATGTCCCTGGGTTTCCAAATAAAATTTAGATTAATTCTTCTCTCCAAATAATGAATGTACACTGAGAAAAAAAATTTCTAAGAAATAGAAATTCTATGATTGATCCAAATCGTTCATCGATTGAATAGTCGCAAAAGAAAATGCTATTGTAAGACACAAATATCGATTTGAACGAAACCAAAATTGGATTGTATGAAATCGATTTTGTTATAGTATAGTATATTTTGTTTATTCTATCGAATTTAGAAAATACTTGTTTTTGCGACAAAATCGATTTCATACAATTCAATTTTGGTTTAGTTCAAACGCTTCGGATTTGGCGCAAATAATTTTTTTTTCACAATTGCAATGGAAAAATAATCAGTTCAAATGATGAAGAATTGCGTTTGTCGTAAACAAGAAACTGCGCTTCGCGAAAGTCTCGCATCACTGAGTATCCAACAATATGTTCCTCATAGGCCAAATGAATATTTTATTTCATCTATGAATTCTGCTTTCAATCGAATAGATATTCTTTTGCGGGATATCGTGACGCTGATAAATTGGATAGACCCTTACCGGTGGGGGTCTTGGAAATTTCTAATAGGAGCAAAAGTAACACCGCTCCAAAAGGAAAATTTGATTTCGAAAACTTTGGAAGAACTCCTCACGCCCATGGTACATGAGGAAAAAACTACCCAAGGAACTTGTATTATGGGTAAATAGAGCGCGTCCCGACCATTATCATCTGAACAAATCTCTATACCGAATAGCAATAGCCGAAAGCCCGAGATGCGACTGTGGTGCTGAGGAACAAAACATCAATCATATCTTACGGGAATGCCCAGGTTACTCAAATGGTCGATACAAGATGATTAATGAAATAATAAAGATAAAGGCGCCCAGACCCTACACCATAGCCGCATTCTTAGCCGAGATGAAACTGAATTATCTGAAAATTATTCACGAATACATAAGTAAAAACTACATTCGAATCTGAAAACCCTGCATAATACGAAACTTTGTAATTTTATGTTTAAATGTATATAATAATCATGTGTGTAAATAACCCAATAACAGGGTTAAAGTAGTATGGTCACTCCAAAATGATCATTGAGTGTCCATCAAGAAAATCTAAACAAATTAATCAAAAAACTATGATTTATAATTGAAAACTCTCTTTGTGAATTATAAAATTTATGAATATAAGAATTAATCGATTATTTTTATTATTTTTCACTTATTAGTCGAATAATATACCTCCTTTGACTAGCGTCGTTTTATGTGTGGTAACGCTGTAACTTAACAGCGTAGGGAAAACGAGATTTGAAACGCCCGCTTGTACCCACTCCACTAACGCGTTGTTGCCGCATCTACTCGACACGCAATTTGCGAACACCGAGGAGCAGAAATTATTTATTACTAAAGTCCCAAATGGTCAAAAATTTTTATCGATGGTCGTAAATTTTTGTTTTTTCCCATTTTTTGGTATTTTTTTTTATAATTTAATCTTGGATTTATCATAAAAACCACCCAAAAATGTGATTTGCCCATAAGACTCTGTGTAAAAATCTAGTTTTTCATTAATTCTTATCAACCATACTAAACGATCAATGTACCACAAATTGCACCAGGAGGTTTCTATTGATATTAACTTTCATTAAAAAATTATTTCATATTTTAATCTTGAAAATCGATCCGTGACCATACTACTTTAATACTTATTAATAATAAAAAAAGAGCAAAAGTAACGGTCACACGCTTTCTGTCGGTTAGGCTCGAACCCCTGCTTGTTTATTTTTTAATCTCACGTTTTAGCCTTAAATGATTAATTTTTCATTTATAAATATTACAATTAATAATTGATTGTCTAAAGTTGAAAGAGTTCTCCATTTCATTGAACCATTTTGGGACGAAATAATTCATCTGTTGAAAGAAATTTCTTTTCTTTATGAATTTCGAGAATTGTCGTGTTCTAAAAACCACTGTAATTTTTTAGACTCTTCAATTAAAAAAGTCAAACTTGTTTTAATTTTTCCGGTTAGCCAGCCAAAGGCAACTAATGAAAAACAACGCGATGCGGCGTTTCCGCCATACGATGACCAATCTAGGGGTAATTAATTATTTCAGGAATATGAATCGCCATGTGACCTTCTGGTATACCAAAGATCAACCGATTTTCGAGAATACCGATGACATGGCGGACACCAGAATCGATGTTGCTAGGATCCCAGCAGGTTCAGACAGTCCTCCCTGTCTCAAAATTTCTCACAACACGTTTGAGACGATGGAGAAAGCTAATTGGGAATTCCTCAGATTATCACTACCAGTTATCTGCCAATCGAGTTTCATTACGGAGAGCGAGAAGATTCGCCGCGGGCAGGAGATCAAAATGAGGCAGAGTCGATTGCTCGCCGAGCAGAATGAGCAGGCGCAACAAGCTGCACAACCGTCTGCTCATATGGAACAGATTATGAAATCTGGGTTTAGCATGAGCGATATCAAAGGTCAGTTGAGTGATGAGAAATAAGTAGGTGATTGCTCTTTTTTATAACTCGTTTTAGTAATTTTTGCGATTTCACGTATGAAAAATTTGAATAGAAAAACCTAGGGAATTCGCTAGACAATGTCATTGGATTTCTATTGAACTCAATAGATCGGCATCAATCATTAATTTAGTTGCACCTTATAATAATTAAGATTTACTCATCTTCATTGAAATTCGAAAATTAATATAATAATTGGTAATTACAATCTTTTCACTGGACTATTAGCTAAATAATTGACAATATGGAATTGTCAATTAACTATTGAGTAAATATTTCTTAACGTCATAAAAGTATTTTTTGATTAGCCAAATAATCGTCAATCTTCTGAACTCAATTATTGATTGACAAAATAATTCGGAATTTGAATATTTAAATTGATGATTAATTTAATAATTTAAAAAATTGGTGAGTAATATTAGCAATTGGCTTATTCAAAATTTAACTTTAATTAAAATTCATGATTATGCCGCCTTCTGTTTAACTTTATATTAGTTTTCGGCCGATTCTGTTGAAGTATTCGAAAGAAAGTATTCTATAGAAAAAGTCAATAGAATTCGTTTTTTCTATACACCTTACTACAATAACTATCTGATATAAATCGGGAAATTGAAAATGTTTGAATCTCAAAAACTAGGTACGTTCACCAATTAAGTTTCAATTGGTACTAAACGATAGCGCCCATTAAACTTTACACACCATGAAAAAATGCGTGCAATTTCATTAATTGATGATCAAAAAAAATGCAAAAGAAAGACTTCAAAAGAAGATATAAAAATGCATGATCATTTTTCGCGGATTTTCAGGACTGCAAAGAAATTATTCTGATGATGCAGCAGAAGACATGCCAATGAGCGAATCCCCAATGCCAATGAGAAATAGACCATCCAGGCCACCAAGGAGAAATTCCCTTTACGGGTCTCGTACTTTGAATAATGCAAACAGTGAAGGAGAGATGGTGAATGGATATGAGGAGATGAACGGAGATGTCAAAGACGATAAAAAATCCAAACGTGGAAAATCACCGTTTCGGTATGTGAAGTCGCAATCGTAAATCCTAAAATTTATGACGATAGTGTTTTTAAAGGGAGAAATATTTTCTGCCAGCAAGCTTAGCAAAGAGATGGAAGATATTGAGTAAGATAAATTATTTCCTAGTTTTTTTTTTTTATGAATGAAGAATTTTCGATCTCTCATGCACGGCCAAGTTCAGGAGGTTTTTGCACTGATTTTTTTACACCCCGGAAAAAATCTCCGCAAAACATTCCTCTGGAAACAAATTCCCGGAATTATTTCCTCTTGCGATTGTAAAAAACAATTACACAAACACACATTACCAACGGCAATTTTATTTATTACATCCTTCAATCTTCGAAGACACGCCAGATGAGAATTCAACTTTTTCAATAGATCAATAATAAATAAATTACGTTACTGAAATAAATTAATTGTTAACATGTTCGAACCAATTCCCCCAAATAATTCGAATTAATCGCTTGCCCCAATAATCAATGAATCTTCATTAACAAGCATTCTCGTCCTACAAAGTGGCAGATTGATAAAAAAAACATTAAATCATTCAACAAAACATCATCTTACACTACCAAAACAATCCATTTCAACAGAAACATATTTCCAAACAACTATGCCTATGCTATAACCATGAATGAATAAATTACACCGTCATTATCATGTGTAACTTGGAGGAGTAACGAGAATACTTTCCAACATTAACAATAAAGTTAACAATCATAATATGTTTATTTTTCATTTTTGTCAGAGATTTTTTTTCGGTGATTTTCAGGAGAAAATATTCCAGGAAAATAATTCCGGGGGAATATTTAGACGAGGGATTTTTTTCCACGGGGATTTTGATGGAATTTTTTCCGGGAGAAAAAAAATCCGGTCAGCCATTAGTTTTATTGTTTTTTTTCGATCCTCATCGAAAAGAAATAGAAGAGTTCGGGAGAAGGCAAACTATGAAAGGGTCTCTTCGCAGTCACTAGATCCCGATAATTTCTATGGATTTCGATCTATACCCATTTTTAAATGGAAATCACTGGGTATAATTCTTCAAGGTTTTCTCTCGGATTTTACTGAAGAAAAAATTTTATAAAAAAAAAAATTGACAAATTCGCTGCGAAATTCTATTGGATTACTTTTAAACTTCTATTGAAAATTAAAGCAATTTCATAGAAAAAAATCACTAGAATTTAATTTTTCTATTCAATTTATTCTATTCAGATATTTTTTATAGAAAACCTTTGGTTCAAATTTCCTAAATTGTTTTGTTTGATGTGTCCAATTACAAAAGAAAAAAAAAGAGTGAAAAACTTAAAAATTCATGTCAAAGAATTTCTATAGAAAATGTCTCAATAGAAAAAGTTGTATAGAAAGATCCATTCTATTGATTCTGTTGATTGTTTCTGCAAAATTATTTCCATTGGAAATTGTCAATTCAAAAATAAATCTATCATGAAGCCGCGGAATTTTTCGATTGAATCGGCGTAAAATTAATCGATTTTTTAAATAGAAGTTTAATAGAAATTCGCTAAATTTTTTAAAGATATGCTTTCTAAAGAATTTCTAGTAACGAATTCCAGAAGAATTAAGTTTTTGTGGAAAGATCACAGGTCTCTTGATTTTGAGGAATTTGTTGTCAGTTTATTTTCTGTAGAACGTTTCTCATAAGACATTTTCTACTGCATTCACTATTTTAAATAGTAGTCAGTTAGGAATAGACAAATTTCCCAAGAAAAACTTTACAATTTCCTATCCCATTCATACCCACCATTGAGAGAAGACCATAATGAATATCTTTCAGGTTTTTTTCAAAGAAGAACAAGTCTCCTGAAGCAAAGGCTAAAACACCAGATCCCCTTGCCCGTTCAGATATGTCTGACAGAAGTGGAAAAGGAGTTTCTGTGGGCAGACTGTCGTCAAGACCACCTCCTCAAGTTCGTGTATCAAACGTAAGTATATTCTGATAAATAATATTCGAAGAAATCATCATAGTCTATTGTGACATAATTCTTCTCACATCTTTTCTATTCGTTGAAGACTGACTTGAAAGTAGTACCGCCCGCCATACCAGACCGCACTCCAACCGCCCCCAAAGCGATGTCTGTGAATTTGACAGGAACTGGAGTAGAAGCCATTGGAAATGAGCTCTACGATGCCGAATGTTTGAAGCTAATGAACGAATATTTCTACGGAGTGAGAATTTTCCCTGGTCAGGATCCCACTCATGTTTACATTGGCTGGGTCACATCGCAGTATCATCTCCACACGAAAGATTTTAATCTTAATCGTGTCAGGAAGGCTTCAGTAGTGATTGTTGATGATTATGATCGTCCAGTTGAACAGTATGTATTCAAAAATTATCATGATGAGAAGAGGCTATCAGGGATCGGCATCAATCATTATATTATTAATATTAACTTCTCACGTACGGCGTCGATACCATGCATCGACCCATTAACTTGTTCTATCGGCCGGGGTCAATGCCTGGTGAGCCTTTTCGTCAACAGTAAAAAATCATTTTCTCGAATTTTAAGAGACATATTGACATTTGGAAAAGATATTTGGAAAGTGAATGGAATTGCCTCTGCAGTGAACAATTTTTTTTTCAATGCATTTATAATATTTGTTTCTATGAACAAAAGTTGTAGATGAGAATTTTACATCCAACCGATTCAATCATATTAAATCATCTCGTTTATCGACAAAATTTCCCCCAAAAATTTTGAAATTTTTACTGAAAATACGTCAATGATCCTTCTATTGAATGGCAGAAGTGAAATTTCGAATAATTTGAATAATTTGAATTGTTGAATAATTTATTTGTTATAAATAAATTTAGCATGTCCGAAGATCTCAGCAAGCAATTGTCGGCAAACATTGAAATTGGTGTCAAAAATTAGGAAATTCTCTAGGAGTTCATTTCAAAGTTCAATACAGCCAATGCATTTTATTTCAATTTATTTCGTTCGACTTTTCAAGTTATCGTTCATTGAATAACGGAATTGACGCGCCGTAAGTCTACCGGCCGTTGGGACAATCCGCGTTATATGTGCGCCGTACGTGCGGGGTTAACCCTTAAGTAGTCGCATCGTGAGGGAATCCCCGCCATACCATATGCTACCTATAGGGCGCTACTGTAGAGCGAGTGAGATGGTAGAAAAACGCGATCACTTAAGGGTTAAGGGAAGTTGCATCTTAAAATAGTTAAGGTTCACTTATCTTTACTGAAATTTGAAAAACAATAAAATAATTGATAATCTAAATTTTCAACTGAATATAAATTCAATAATTGACAATATAATCTTGTCCATTGACTATGGAGTAAATAGTTCGGAATTTGAATATTCAATAGATGAATCTTAAATATAATAAATCTGTTGCCCATTCTTTGGCCGCGATTCCCACAAAAACGACTGAATAGATTTTAATGGTATTTTTATTATTACATAGTTTTTTTTTTTTTTTTTTTTTTTATGTATTAACCTACAATGGGTTATTTACAATCATTTGGGTGATGATTACATATCCATTTTACTTAGCTTGTTATATTACTTTAGTTACAGTAGTCTTTGGTCGTTTAGATTCTAATCTTGTTAGTTTTAATAAACTCGTGTATAATTTTAATAGGTTCTAGTCTTTTGAGAACGAGGAGTGAATCTATGGTAAAGGGCCTTGGACATTTGATTTTGATTAGCTGTTCAATCATTTTTTGTCTTCCCGTTGGAAATTGGGGACATTCCCAAAGTACATGATTGATGTCCTGAATTTCGGCTCCACAGGTGCACTCCTTGCTATTTACAATTCCAATTCGTTCTAGTGATTTGTTAAGGTGGTAATGATCTGATCTCGCTCTGTTAACCCAGACAACCAGATCTCTAGGAAGCTTTTTGCCTTGGTACCAGGGACGGCTATTATTTTTCCAGAAGTTCTTGAAATAATTTATTCCTTTTGCTTTCTTTTTCTTGTTTTTTTTGTCAGGTTCAGATTGAGACTTGATAAACTCATGTGTACTCTGATGTCCTTCTCGTTTAAAAAGGGCTTTGAAATCTGTGCTTGGGACGAGGAACTGTATAGCAGACTCTTCTTCAGCATTCCTTGCCAAAGAATCAGCCCTCTCATTACCCTCGATCCCTCTATGCGCAGGGATCCAGCGAAAATTTATTTTGGTTTTAAGTGGGTTATCATGGTAAAATTCCTGACATTTTCTTTTCACGTCTATGATATACGGGTTAATATAAGGGTTGAAACTAATAGACCCTAGACTTTGTAGAGCGCTGAGAGAGTCAGTGAGAATGAGGTGGCTGAGTTCTTTGTGACAATTTGCTAGATCGACCGCGAGGTTTAGAGCGATGCACTCTGATGTGAATACTGTGCAATTCGAATCCAGGATATGAGCAGTGTCGATGTTCAGAGCCGGACAGTGATAAGCTGCACCTACATATCCCTCATCTGGGTCTTTGCTACCATCTGTGTAAATTACATTCCAGTTTTCAAAGTTATTCAAAAGTTCCTGATTCAAGGCTTCATTAGGTGCTGGGAGAGATTGAAGGTTTCTTCCTAGTTCACAACTGGTTTCTATCGAGGAGATGAGTGTCTCATAGCTAAGGGAAAACACCGGAAAATTGGGTTCGCTACGAAGAGTGTTCTCGAGGCTTAGGACTTTTCTGATGCATTTTGTAATGAGTTTGTCCATGACCCGAATTTTCGTTCGCTTTTCCTTAAATATGAGAGAGATTGTGTCATATAGTTGGGTGGATTTGTTGGATAGGACTCTGGTAATGTATGATTTACAAAGGAATTGAGCACGGTCGCCGATCGACATCAACTTGGACTCTCCTAATAATATATTAGTTGGGGTACTGCGTCTGTAACCCAGTGCAAAACGTATGGCCGTGTACTGAATGGATTCGAGTTTGGCTAGGTATTTTTTTGTACTAGGAAAGTAGATTGATAGCCCATAGTCGATTATGGACCGTACGTAACTCTTATAGAGTCCTATGAGCGTTTCTGGATCTGTTCCCCACCAGGTTCTACGAAGAAACTTGATAACATTTAGAGCTTTCAGACATCTTTTCTGAAGTATAGTGATTTGGTGATTAAAGTTCAATTGTTGATCAAAGTGGATTCCTAAAAATTTCGCGGTAGAGGAAGAGACCGTGACGTGGTCGCCTATTCTGATACTGGTTCTCTCAGGGGGTGAGCCTTTTTTGCTGAAAAGTAAGGCAACTGTTTTTTCTGGGGCAATATGGAGGCCTAAGGCATTCATATTGGAGATTATCTGGTCAATGGATTGTTCTAGGATAAGTTTATCGGTTGCAAAATCAGAGGCGGTGATGAATAGGGCAATGTCGTCAGCGAAAAGAGAGGCATTGACCTTGGAGTTGAGTTTTCTTAAGATGTTTCTTGTGTAGATGGTGTATAAAAGTGGTGAGAGTACTCCCCCCTGAGGTAAACCTTTATGCACAGTTCTGGTATCGCTTCCTAGGATATCACAATGAAGAACTCTTTCATTAGTGAGGAATTTTATAAAACGAAGTAGAGGATTGGAGCAGCCTATTTCTGCGAGTATGTCGATCAGGATGTCGCCAACGACATTATCGAATGCGCTGGTGACATCCAGAAAGACGGCGAGGGTTTGTTGCTGATCGCGGAGAGAGTCTTCTACATGGAGTGTGAGGTTTGCCAAATTGTCTCTACAAGACATTCCGGGCCTGAATCCTGTTTGAGGGTCCGGGATCTTGTGATTACGTTCCACCCACCACTGTAATCGGTTCTTGATTATCGACTCATAGAGTTTAAGGACGCATGAGGTTAAGGCAATAGGCCTAACACCGGTGTTATTGGCCTTTGGTATAAAATGGAGGTAAGAATGTATCCATTCCGGGGGGTATTCCCCTGTACGATGAAATTCGTTGAATACGTCTAGTAGGATCAATTTCAATTGGACTGGTAGTTTCTTTAGGAGAGTGTAGTCGATGCCATCGAGACCCGGTGCTGATTTATTATTTCTGTGATGCAATGAATAGTTGAATTCATCAAATGAGAATGGTTGGTCTAGTAATGGATTGGGTTCAGTGGGTGGGATGGTGTAAGGATTTGGGGAGCGCCTTTCCAAGGTCAGCTTGTTCATAGCTTCTTTGATTTTATTTTGAATTTCAATATGATCTCTTGGAATACTTGATTGGTTATTTACCCATGAATTCTTCAATACCTTACAAGTGTTCCAGACATATGTTATATTTTTCCTAGCGTTTAAGCTCTCTGTAAATTCAATGAAACATTTCCTTTTTTTGCCTTTGAAAGTTTTTCTAGCTACTGCAATCGATTTTTTATACGCTATGAGATCACTAAACCTCTTGGTACATCTCCATTTTTTATAGCCTGCCGTGCGAAGCCTATCTACTTGAGAGCATTCCTCGTCCCACCATTTAACTGGGTTTTTGTGAATTTTGGGTGAGACTAGCCTCTTACGTGGAGTACATTTTGCTACGTTGGTTACGATGGTACCTATGAAGAATTGATATTTTTCTATCGGACTCAATTCATCGAAGGTAGAAGACAAGAAAGAAGGAAAAGCTGCTTTCAATAAGATTTCTAACGAGTCCCAGTTTGTTCTAACTGAGGTGATTTTAAATGATTTTTTGATATATTGACTTTTACGAACATTTAACGTAATGTTTAACGGAAAGTGGTCCGAGCCCCAAGCTTCGTTAAGTGCATTTACCTTGATAATGTCGGCAATTCCCGGACAACTAAATACTAGGTCTATATTGGATTTATTTCCCCTGTATAGGTCTAGGTGGGTTAACGTATCTGGGTTATGTAGAAAAATATTATTCTTTTCTATGCATTCATAGAGTCGGTGACCATCCGGTTTATTTAGCCTACAGTTCCACGCAACGTGGTGAGCGTTGAAATCGCCGAGTAGAATACAGTTTTATAATTCACGGTAAACATCTATGATTTTAATCCAGAATTCCATAGCCAAAGATTCTCCCGGGTTACGGTAACATGCTAGGATGTTTATTTTTGGTTTTATGTTGTTGATTTCTATTCCGGCGAGTTCAACACTCGGATGTGGGTTAGCGATATTTGCGTGAGGTTTGAAGGACAAATGGTTTTTTACGAAGAAAATAATACCTCCACCTGCATGATTTACTTGATCTACACGGTAGGTTCGAAATCCCGAAAATTTGTAGGGTTTCTGGTCTTCGATCTTCAGTTTGGTCTCCACGCCGATGAAAATGTCATAGTCTTGGAGAGCACGTTCTATGTCTTCGCGATGACTGTTGAATCCTCTGATATTCCAATAAATGATTTTCAGGTTGCACTGGATGACGGTTGGGTCGGGTTGCTGCTGTTGTTGTTGTTGATGTTGTTCATCCATGGTGGTATTTAATTTTGCGAGTTCGTGGAAGCGGCTGTCAGGTAGCCGTCTTCATCTGGATCAGTAAACACTTTGTCAAGTTTGTTGGCCAACTGCGTGACTCTACCTTTGAACTGTCGTTCGTCGATATACACAACAAGTGATCTTAGTGTAGTGGCCAGGTCCAGGGGATCTTTCCCCCACTTTTGGGCCAACTTACGAGCATCTTTAACTGCATATGAGTCATCAACGAACTGTATAAATTGTTCATAGGTAAACATGTTTTCTTCTGAGTCTCTGCGAAGTTCTCTTGACAGTCGGGGGGAGAAGATCCTCATGTTTTCAGGAGTTAGGAGACGATCTTTGGAGGTTTTTGCCTTTTTCTTCTTCTTTTGTTGCCCCTTCGGGATCTCAAAGGCATCTACGTCATTTATTTGCTCGTTCGGAATTATGTCTTTCTCTGGTTCTTCCGGTGTCTCGGATAAGGTTCGTTTAGCATTGTTTACACTTTCTGCGTCCATAGGCTCCACTGTTGTGTTTGTCGGATTAGCCTGTAGAATTGCATCAGTGTAATCCCCAGTTTCTGTTCCTTCAGCAAATTGACCTTGGGTATTGTTCTCTTGGAATGTTTCATTCGCGATGGCTGTTACTGGAAGATTTAAAGTGCCAGGAGGCGGGGTTTCACGTTGACGTGCAAGTCTGTGTGCAGCGCTCGTCTTTGTTGTTTGTGTAGTAACTTGGGGACAGTTTTTGGCTATGTGGCCTGTTTTATTGCATTTAAAACAGTTGTGATTGTCCACGGTGGTTGTGATCGTGTATATTTTGTTCTGGTGAACGACGTTTAGAGTTTCATTGAGGAGAACGACATCATCCTCTTTAATCGTCAATTGCCTCCTAGCAGTAGCTACCTTGTAGCCTTCTTGGTCTAGAGTTAAATACAGTGTGGTAATTTTCGTGACTGGATTGATCTTTTTCTCTCGCAGAGCCTCCGCAATTGCAGAGTTTGGTATCTTGGGGCTCACGTTGGATAGAACAACTTTCCGGGTTTTTGCTTTTTCCGGAATGATGTTCAACTTGTTGTTGCCTATTTTGATGATGGTGTCTGGTGAAGTGATTTGATCTACTAATTCGGGAGTTGACACATAGATTACTACTCGATTCCCCGTAAGTCTTTCGACTCCCTTAACATGCTCTCGTCCAACGAATTCTCCGATAGCATAAACGTATTCTTTAAATGGAGTGCCTTGGATTGCAGTGATTATGATGCCTTGTTCCTCGGTGGGAACAAATTCTTGATCTTGTTGGGTGCTGGCCACTTGCGCAAAAGAACGAGGGGTCTGGATAGACATCGTTTGAGAGATCTGAGTGTTTTGTGAACTTAAGGTATTGATTTCCATCACGTCGTTATTCTCCATAACGTTTGGGGAACAACTGATGGAATTAAAAAAGTTGTCGAAAGAGCCCAAATGGGCTAGTTTTGTTGTTCAATTTGCTGAGGTATAACTATCGCGTGAAACTTATCACACCGTGGCGCTCCGAGGAGCGATACCAAAACACGTCTTACCTCTACGGAGGTTGAGACGGAACTCCTATTACATAGTTTAGGGTTCCCAATCGGCTATAAGTTATTGCGCTGCGGTTCATAGTTTAGTATGCACCGTAGAAACTTCTAGAAAATTCTAGAGCTTTCTAGAAAATTCTGGAATTTTCTGGAAAATTCTAGAACATTCTCGAATTTTCAAGAAGATTTGTGAGATTCCGACAAAGTGAGGATATTCTTTGGTTGTATAGAACGTTCGAGAACATCCTTTGGTTTTACAGAAAATTCCAGCAAATTCTCGTGTTTTCTAACAAATTCGAAATTCAAAATTCTCTGGCTTTTGAAAAAATTCGAGAAAATTTTCGATTTTACACAAAATTCGAGAAAATTCTTTGATTTCACAGAAAATTCTAGGGAATTCTCGGATTTTCTATAAAATTCGAAGGAATTTTCCGGTTTTCTAAATTTTTTTTTGTTCTAATTGAGCAATTTTCGACTTTTCTAGAACGTCCGATAAGTGAAGAAAATTTAAGGGTTATCCAACGAAATTGAGAAAATTCTCAAGTGTTCTAGAAAAGTTGAAAACATTGAGCTGTTTTTTTAATTTCAGGAATTCTTAAAAATCTTGGTATTCAATTTCCTCTTATTCTGCCCAGGCAAACCCGGGCTATGCAGCTAGTAATTTAATAATTTAAAATGTTCGGTAATTATTGACCAATTGACTAATCCAAAATTCTCTATATTGAGCTTATTTTCCGATATTATTCAAAAACGCTTTTTGAAAATTTTCAATTTTTTTCAACGCTTTTTTGAGTGTACAATCATTGATAATGATTTTTAGTTTTGGAGACTCTATCACGTATGAAAACATCCTATAGAAATTTTCTATACGGATTGCGTATAGAATTTCTATAGGATTTTCGTATATGATATTCGAATATTTCTATACGGATCTTTTTTATACAAATTATTTCTATACGATTTCTACAGGTTTGATCCTATACGACCCCCTACCACATGTAGAGAAATATTTCGTATGGAGTTGCGACATTTGTCTACGTTTTTTCTGGAGCGTTTAGACATCTTTCGTATGGGAACAAAAATTTAAGTAAAAATTTATGTATAGAAATAATTCGTATAGAAAACTTCTATAGGATTTTTTCATACGTGTAGGACTATCTACAACTGAATAACAATCGGAGAACATTTCCCTTTATCAATATAAAAAAAACAAGATCACGTTCGAAAGATTATACATGCGAGCTTGAATATTTGTTTTTGTTCACAGGGTGGACAGACAAAGTTGCTACATGGTACGTGCAGACGATTTGTACAACCAAGTAACTCAAGACGCATCAGGAAAAGGTGCCTCCCAAGGAATGTTCGTAGGTTGTTTCGTCGACACAGCAACCGGACTGATCTATTTCACCTGCGAAGGAAAGGAGACAAGTCACAAATTCAAGATGGAGCCAGATACAAAGCTCTTCCCAGCGATTTTCGTCGAAGCAACGAGCAAAGAGATCCTGCAAATAGAACTTGGAAGGACCTCGACGACTCTGCCATTATCTGCAGCTGTCCTCCAAAACTCAGATCGTCATGTGATTCCTCAGTTCCCTCCGAGACTCAAAGTCCAATGTTTGAAGCCCCATCAGTGGGCTAGAGTGCCAAATCAATCCCTTCAAGTTCATGCTCTGAAGCTCTCCGATATCAGGGGATGGTCAATGCTCTGCGAAGACGCTATTTCCATGCTCGCACTTCATATTCCCGAGGAGGACAGGTGCATTGACATCCTCGAGCTCATCGAGATGGATAAACTCTTGAGGTAAATGTATCGCAGGTTCTATCCTCGTAAGTGTGATAATGATGTCCACCACGTCTAATCGACCTTATTATTCCAGTTTCCATGCACATACATTGACATTGTACGCAGCTCTCTGTTATCAATCGAATTATCGTGCAGCCCACGCGCTCTGCCTTCACGTCGATCAGAAACAATTGCTTTATGCTATTCGAGCTGAATACATGTCTGGCCCACTTCGTCAAGGTTTTTATGACCTTCTCATTGCTCTGCATCTCGAGTCCCATGCTACCACCATGGAAGTTTGCAAGAACGAGTATATAATCCCTCTAGGTAAACTGCTTTTCCGGATTTTCATAAATTTTGTACGCAAAGCGTTACACTGAGAGAAAAAACAAGTGGAAAATTGCTTTCGTCACAGCATAGTCAATATATTTTTGATAATAGCAAATTGCTTCGGTAGCAATTTGCTTCCAAATGGAATTTTTATGACAATGCATTTTTCATTGAGTTCAATGATTCACTGAATTCAATATTACCTCTTCGTAGTTCAAAATGCACGCACGAGAAAATTTAATAGGAAAGCCTAGCCAATTCGCCAAACAATTCTATTGGATTTCTATTGACCTTTCTATTAGTTTTTGGCTGATTCTAATGAAATGATCCGTAGAAAATATTTTATAGAAAAAGTAAATATAATTCGATTGTTCTATGCAAATATTTCTTATATAATTTCCTCGGCTCAAATGTTCCATGTTTTTTTCATTCTATTTTTCTTTTTTTTTCATCACGAAAATCAAACAAAAAAAACTTGGAAAATTTAAGCTGAAAAAATTCTATAGGAAATATCTTAATAGAATAAGTTGCTTAAAAAAATCAAATTTCATCAACTTTTTCTATTGAACATTTCAATAGAATCGGCTAAAAACTAATAGAAAGTTCAATAGAAATTCAATAGAATTGTCTAGCGAATTCACTCGGTTTTTCTGTTAATTTTTTTCGTACGTGAACGTGATTTTTTCCATAAGAATAATTGCACTATTGTATGATGTGAATGAAAAACGAAAAATGTTCGTCAAAAATAGTTCATTTACTCAGTAATTTCCCATGATTATAAAAGTTTTAAAGACATAACATAGACATAAGGAAGGGGGAGGGGAATAGATTTAAATTTTCCATGAAAATCCCGTGTTATTCTTATGAGAAAAACCGAGGCAAAAAGTAATTAGATAGAGAGCTGAAATTTTGAGAGGATTTAAAAAAAAATTATTTCGCATCTTTTGAGGGAGCGGCACGTCAGAACCTCCGGAACGGGTGCCATAATGTAATACCAACTCCCAGACAAAGAATCATGAGAATCAGTACAGAAAAAGGTTCTTTTTCCTCAGTTTAGTGAACCTTTTATAATAATTGTTATTTTTTGTTTGTGTAGGTCAAGGATTGAAGGACCTCTATGAGAATGTAGAAATGCGACATAGTTTACGATATTTGGAGACAGAATCCGTACGTCCACAGATGAAAATGACGGACATCAAGTAAGTATAAAAAGTCCCAATGTAGTGAAAACCCCTTACTAATCAGTCGACATCAAGGGTACTTCCTTCCAGTGAGAATCAGAGCATCGAGAATATCCGAAGTCTGTACAGCCCGTACTTCCCACTTGACATTGTTCGTGACTATGTGATGATGGCACTGAAGGAGGCTGTCGAAGTTAATCAGGTGCACAACCGCGATCCCATTGGTGGCAGTAACGAGAATCTCTTCCTGTATGTCTTACATTCACCAATCTCCGTAGCATCATCAGTTTATTTTTCATTTTATTTGTTCATTGCAATTATTCTTCAGACGAGTTTTTTATCATTGAATAACGAGAATTTGTTTCCAGGCCTTTAATAAAACTTGTAGATCGCCTGCTTCTGGTGGGGATGCTGAGGAACGAGGATATCGAGAAACTTTTGATTATGATTAATCCTGAAACTTGGGATCCAACATTTGACAAAGGTAATGAGGAAGTCTTGAACAGATCAATTTGCAAATATCTCTGAATAGGAAAAATTCAAAGGAATTCATTGGAGGATGTTATGGTGGATTGTCGATAATACGAAGACAATTCTGAGAAAAAATCAAGTTTGAAATTTTTTATATCTTGAAACGATCCATTAAATTCCAAATGGTTGATGGAATCGTTGATCGTTGACGAGATAATTCAATAGTAATTTTTAGAAGCAAACGTGGTTTTTAAAGGAAAATGCAATCACCCTTCCAAAATAGAGAGAAGACATTTTTGAAATTATCATTTGTTGAAATTGTGGTGAGTTTCGGTGAATTTCAGGATCGTCGTGGAGGGGAATTAAGTGCCGGTTGAAGGGCAGGTTTTAGGAATAAGAACTCTGGAATTAGGGCGGAGCCAAGTCAATTTATTGACTAAAATACTGTGCACGTTGATGTCACAAACAAATTAACCGATGAATTTCTCAATTCACGATAACTATCCGGTTGAATGTCTATTTCACACGCGTTGAATTTCGGAGAAGTTACAAAGATAATTGTCCAATAAACAAACAAAAATAAAAATGATATTCGATGACTCGACTATTAAATATTCGGCTAAAGTTTCCAAAAGTTGAATGACTCGATGATTGACAAGATAAATTTCCCAGAAAATTTACGATGATATTTTACACAGATGATTTCCCAACACATGATGTGTTCGACTGGTGACAAATAACTGACTGAAATTCGGGAGGCGAATTGACACTTAATCAACCAAAAATTGTCATTAACAAATTAACCAAGAGAGTAATCACTCATGAGATCTAATAGATCGATTATATTGAAATATCAGAAATACCATTGTTCGATGCCGGATCTGAGATCTGTGGAATTAGCGAGCGATGGGCGAGATATAAATGGATTTTAACGGGAGGAGCCCGAGGGTCAAAAAACACACGCGAAGCACTTTGGTCAAACTCAGTCAATTTAATTATAATCAGTCACTATAGTCAATATTTACACTTGTCTTAATGAACTTTAACTAACGAGATGGTCAAAAGAAATAGCGCGGCTCACAGTAGTCAATAACGCAGTTCAAAGCATTAAATAACGCAGGGCAATTAATACGCGGAACAATAGCAATTCGCAGGGCGGGATGTAAACACTACGATGTTCAAAATGCAAATGAGGGCGATTAAAGGATTGCAAGGTGGCAGGTGTCAATCATCGAAGATCCGAACGTGCCCCAATTTAAATGGGGGCGTTCACTGGACATCTGTCCATCAAGTGGCGCCTCAGGTGTCAGAGGTGAGAGGCCACTGGTCATCTGAGGTGAGAGAGCAGATCAGCTATGGGCAAAGCCATGCAAGCATGCGAGCGAAACTAATGTGTGTGCAAGCGTGTATATTTGCGTGTGCCTGAGCAATAATTCGGTGGAAAACCGAACAACCATGGAATCTCATGAAATCCCAAAAATTTTGTTGAAGATGTTTAAGAATTCCGTGAACTAAAATCCTAAATTTCGAATTTATCACAATATGCAGATAATGGAAATTTTGAAATTTCACGGCAATCCCTTGAACGTATATGAAATTTCTCAGAAAAATTTCTTTGAAATCCTCTGAATTATATAAAATTCCATGAAATCCTAAGATATTATGATGTCCCTGAGGGGATTACATCATATTTTTGAATCAAGTACCTTGCCATAACACCCTTAAATGATCACTTTCCTGAAAAGCCCCATGAACTGAGGCAAATTGATTTCATATTTTTCTTTGAACTTATGAACTACCTGAATAAGTTTCATAGTAAGTCGGCAAATTTCTGTAAGATTTTACTTCTTCGGGAAAAATTACGTGACAATTTCGTATTTTGTTCAGTGATTAACCTGAGAATTCACTGAACGTTTTAGATTTGTTCTCTTCCATTTCTATAAAAATTACCGGAAAACGATTCCCCATTGCAGATTACGTGAATTGTTCCATCATTTTTACTGAATATTTCTCTCCGTGTATCTGCCGAATAATCCTTAGATTACTGAAAAAGTATTAAAAAATGATTTTCAGAGGGTAAAGATGAGCACAGAAAGGGTCTCCTGCACATGAAAATGGCGGAAGGAGCAAAGCTCCAGATGTGCTACCTCCTGCAACACCTCTGCGACGTGCAGCTGCGTCACAGAGTCGAGTCAATAATCTCCTTCAGTCACGACTTCGTCGGCGAGCTACAATCCGATCAGTTGCGTCGTTACATCGAGATAAAGCAATCTGATCTGCCCTCGGCAGTGGCAGCAAAGAAGACCAAAGAGTTTCGTTGTCCCCCTCGAGAGCAGATGAACGCGATCCTAAGCTTCAAGAACCTGGAAGACGACGATCCAGACAACATGCCCTGTGGCGAGGAAATGATCACGAAGATGAACGACTTCCACAATGAACTCATGTCCTACGTTTCCCTACATGCTCTCCAAGAAGCTGCTGATGCCGCCAACGACGTGGAGGAGATTGAGAAGCCTGGAGCGATGAAAAGAGTCCTGCAGATGATCACAAGCTCCACGAAAGAACCGACTGATTCCGAGAGTGAGAAGCAACCTGTTGTTGAACCAGAGAAGAAAACACCTGAGGAGGTCTTCAGGAAGGTCCTCATCTCAACGATCACGAAATGGGCTGAGGAGACTCAGATAGAAACTCCGAAATTAGTTCGAGAGATGTTCAGCCTTCTTGTCAGACAATACGACACAGTGGGAGAATTAATTCGAGCGTTAGAGAAGACCTACGTAACGAACAGTAAAACTAGGGAGGATGTTGCGCAGATGTGGGTGGGATTGAGCCAAATACGAGCGTTGTTACCTGTCCAGATGTCCCAGGAAGAGGAGGAACTGGTGAGGGAACGACTCTGGAAACTAGTGAACAACCACACGTTCTTCCAGCATCCGGACTTGATCAGAGTTCTCAGGATCCACGAAAATGTGATGGCTATCATGATAAACACTCTTGGAAGGAGGTCCCAGGCTCAATCCGATGCTCAGGCCCAGGCTCAAGTGGCTGAGGGAGAGGCCCCTTCGAAGGAGAAGGACACTTCGCACGAGATGGTTGTTGCTTGTTGCAGATTTTTGTGCTATTTCTGCAGGACCTCGAGGCAGAATCAGAAGGCCATGTTCGATCATTTTGACTTTTTGTTGGAGAACAGTAATATTCTGCTGTCGAGACCATCACTGAGGGGCTCCACTCCTCTCGATGTTGCGTATTCCTCGCTGATGGAGAACACTGAGCTTGCCCTGGCGCTCAGAGAACATTATCTCGAGAAAATTGCAGTTTACTTGTCACGGTGCGGACTGCAGTCGAATTCGGAATTGGTGGAGAAGGGATATCCAGATCTTGGGTGGGATCCTGTGGAGGGAGAGAGATACCTCGACTTCTTGAGATTCTGTGTTTGGGTAAATGGTGAGTGATACTACAATTTATATTTTGCATGACTTCATGGATGGAAAACATCAATAGAAATATTGCATCAGAGTTCTATAGAACCTCAATTAAAGACTATGTCGACTATTTCGAGAAATTTCTATAGGAAATATTTCAATAGAATAATTCAGTAATGAATTGGTCAAACGGTTTAAGTCAATTCTATTCTAGCGCCACTTTCCGATGAATATCTTAAATTCTAAAAGAGTTAGCAAAATTTTTCCAACAATTTTGTTTACAACGCAGCAAATAAGTCATTATCCAAAGTTACCGAGCTCAACAGAAAATCTCGACCGACTTCGGGACCCTTCGGGTTCACGGGCAAACCACGAATCAAATCGTCAAATATGAAATTTCAGTAGTATCAATCTACTCCTCAAAGAGTATACATCGGTTAGTCAGACAGTCACCTATAGAGTACAGTATCAAAGTAACCGAGTATCGAGTACATGAGCACTCTGTGCAGCGTCTCTATTTGATTCAATTATCAATTAATTCTGAGTTCACTATCAATTATTTTGAGTCAATCATCAACTTTATTATTGAGAGATTATCTAGTGCAGTGTAAATACCATTATCAAAGTGACATTGAGACATTCACCAATTCGTGTATCTCTAAAATCAAGACACGTGGCTTGCGCCACAAATAAAGTACATCACCAGTATTTTTGTAATTCGCGTGTCTTCAATTTCACCGTTTCCATATCACGTGTCCCCAATCCGCCCTAATATTAGCCTCAATCTCTAACAAATCTTTTGTAAAGAAAAATGAAGACTATCGAACAAGTTTCTTAAATTTGAGTTTCTTAAAACTTTCTTAAATTCCGAATTATTCAACAAAATTGCAAGAGGCTGTACCTTCGATACAACTGTAATTGTACGTGGATACGTCCATGGTTTTTCCTTCTTTCTCGAATTTCCTAGAAACTCCTTGAATCCCCTCGAATTTTCTAGAAACTCCCTGAATTTCCTCGAAATTTCTAGAAACTCAGTCATTCTTTTCGAAATTTCACGAAACTTCTCGAATTACCTCGAAATCTCTAGAATTTTCTAGAATTCCGATAGATGGCGCTGCACATAAGGACCGTTTCCCAAAATGACCCCCCATATTGAAACCATAGACGTATCCACGTCAAAAACGCAACTGAGAACTAAGTCAACTTAAACCGATCGACCACTTCACTACTGAATTTGTATTAAAGCATCAAAGTTTACAAACTTTTTCTATGAAAGAGCTTCAATCGAACATTTCTTATTGAAAAAAACACGCAAAGAATGTGGGAAAAACTGCTAGAATTTCCAATAGAATTCCAGAGCGAATTCGCAAGTTATTTCTGCGCGTTTCTTCGGATTTTTATATTATCACCAATGAAAACAAAATTATAAATAAAGTTATTGTGGACGTCAGGCTGCGGTCTTTTGCAGTTGGCTGCAGGGGTTTTGATTTCATTTTTTTTTCAAAATGAAGAGAAAACGTATCGAATATTCTCCATCCTTTCCCAATGTTATATCATTCTTTTTTTCATCGATGAAATGATACAAAACTACAAATGGCGAGAAAATATTAGCAGATACCCTCGATGTGAAAAATACTGTGATAGATGGGCCCATTTCACGAATAATAACTTTATTGAATGATTTTGGGGCGAAATAAATAATGCAAAGAGAAATAAAAAGAAACGACATGTCCGCGGACTAACAACGAAGATAAAAGGATAACGAGTAAGAAGGAGACTATATCTCTTAAAACTGTCTGAAATTTTATTCTGGAACCACTTATGCGCGAATAAATTTCATAGAAAAACCTAGCGAATTCAGTAAAAAATTGATTGGACTTCGATTGTAATTATATAAATGGAAAATAATATTATAGATAAGATTTTTATAGAAATTCCACGACATATATTTTTCATGTTTTTTCAAAATTTTTGAAAATTCAAACAAGAAAATGTGAAAAATTCAAGCGGAGTAATTTATATAGAAACAGCCTCAACCCAATGAGTTGGATAGAAAGATCGAAATCGATTGATTTCGTCTGTGGAATATTTTCCATTGAAATCTTAGAAAGGCTACGAAATTTTCCAAGAGAATAACTGAAAAAGTAATAGAATTTTCTGGTAAATGCACAAAGCTCAATCCGAAAATGAATACATAATTAACCATGATTTCATCCGTATCATCAACGATGAATTCGTCTCTATGTTTAGGTGAGAGCGTTGAAGAAAACGCGAACTTAGTGATTCGTCTTCTCATCCGAAGACCCGAGTGTCTCGGCCCTGCTCTGCGTGGAGCTGGTGATGGTCTAATGAAAGCCATCGTCGATGCCAACAAAATGTCAGAGCGCATCGCAGATCGTCGAAAAGTAAGTTACATCGCTTCAAAAAATCGCAGAATTGATGAAACATTATCGATTTAAGGATTTAGTCGTAAGTAAGGGATTTTCCCCCCAAAATAATTCCCACAATTTTTCGTCGTGTGCTATAGATGAGAAACTATTAAAAAATGACTGTTGACATGATTCCTATTGAATGCATGTGGCCTGCATTCTACAAGTGAAGATCCCACTTTCCACCCCAAATTATCGTCACCTAAAAAAAATCCTTGCATCGATTTTGGTCAATTTGAATGTAAATCCGAGCATGTGTAAACTCCATGACTAATGAATCTTGAACTCAGCGTTTTAAACAGGTGCACGACCAACCCGAAGGTGACTTGGTTGGACAATTTGAGCATCCACTGCCGGAGTCGGATGACGATGAGGATTACATCGATACTGGCGCTGCTATTCTGAATTTCTACTGCACACTCGTTGATTTACTGGGCCGATGTGCACCGGACTCTTCAGTTATTGAACAGGGTGAGTCCTCAACACTCTCCACATCCACTTCATCCCCACTTCCAGAGGCCCTATTCGCCAATTTTATTGTTTGGGCTTCCGAATGAAAGCTTTGTAATCCTTCAAATTTAACGATATCCAAGTACTTCGGCTATTTTTGCTTCAGTAAAATGCTTTCCTACTTTTGTAGTCAAACATCAGAGCTTTCATTTGAGCCCCATTTCACGTATGAAAAAATCGTATAGAAATTTTTCATACGGATTACGTATAGAAATTCTATAGGATTTCCGTATATGATATTCGGATATTTCTATACGAATATTTTCTATACGAATATTTTCTATACGAATTATTTTTATACATAAATTTTTAGATAAATTTTTGTTTTCATACGAAAGATGTCTAAACGCTCCAGAGAAAAATGTAGAGAAATTGCGCAACTCCATACGAAATGTTTCTATACATGTGGCAGTGGGTCGTATAGGAACAAACCTATAGAAATCGTATAGAAATCATTTGTATAAAATCATACACGAAAATCCTACAGAAATTTTACACGCAATCCGTATAGAAAATTTCTATACGATTTTTTCGTACGAATTGACCCCAAGTTTCCGGAAATTTCACAATGTTTACAAAAAAATGCACTTATCCCAGTTTACCAATCCACGACCGAATAAAAAGTTGCGAAGAACATCTAAATTCCGCATAGAATTGTGTACCAAACGCGCTAGAATTTTCCATTGCTCCTCCTCACCCGTGTAAAACCAAATCACATGAATTTATGTTACTTCCTTCCCAGGAAAGAACGAGTCCCTTCGAGCCAGAGCAATTCTCCGTTCCCTGGTGCCCCTCGACGACCTCCAAGGAGTCCTCTCCCTCCGTTTCACTCTCCTAAACCCAGCGGTCGGCCAAGAACGGCCAAAAAGCGACACTCCCTCAGGTCTAATCCCCGGCCACAAACAAAGTATCGTCCTCTTCCTCGAGCGAGTCTACGGCATCGAAACGAAAGAACTCTTCTTCCGCCTCCTCGAGGAGGCCTTCCTCCCCGACCTGCGCGCAGCGACAATGCTCGACAGAAACGACGGCTACGAGTCCGACATGGCCCTAGCGATGAATCGATACATTGGCGTCAGCATTCTCCCCCTCCTCATAAAGCACTCGAAATTCTACAACGAGGCTGACAACTACGCAAGTCTCCTCGACGCCACACTCCACACAGTCTACCGCCTCAGCAAGAACCGAATGCTGACCAAGGGTCAGCGAGAAGCTGTCTCAGACTTCCTGGTGGCATTGACCAGCCAGATGCAACCCAGTATGCTCCTCAAACTCCTACGGAAACTCACGGTCGATGTCTCAAATTTATCAGAATACACAACAGTAGCCCTGCGTCTGCTCACTCTGCACTACGAACGTTGTGCCAAATACTACGGATCCACTGGAGTGGGTGCTCAAGGTGCTTACGGAGCCTCCAGTGACGAGGAAAAGCGTCTTACAATGGTCCTCTTCGACAACATCTTCGACTCCCTCTCAAAAATGGATTATGACCCTGAACTATTCGGGAAAGCCCTTCCCTGTCTCACCGCCATCGGTTGCGCACTACCCCCTGATTATACAATGCCCAAAACCTATGACGACGAGTGGTACAGCAGTAAAACGGCGTCAACTCAAGCCCCAGACGGCCCTTACAACCCTCAGCCCATCAATACTTCCAGCGTGGTTCTCACAAACGACTTGAACCAAATCGTTCAAAAGTTCTCAGAGCATTACCACGACGCCTGGGCTAGTAGAAAGTTGGAGAACGGCTGGACCTATGGGGAATCCTGGTCGGATACCAACAAAACTCACCCCAGATTGAAGCCCTACAACATGCTGAATGATTACGAGAAGGAACGCTACAAAGAGCCTGTCAGGGAGAGCTTGAAGGCATTGCTGGCCATTGGCTGGAGTGTTGAGCATGCAGAAGTGGACACTCCTTCCACAAACCGAAACTCCTTGAGAAGATCCTCCAAGAGCCAAGGAGATGCTGCTAATCCCTTCAACTACAATCCCCATCCTGTAGACATGACCAACTTGACTCTCAGCAGGGAGATGCAGAACATGGCTGAGAGACTTGCTGACAATGCCCACGATATCTGGGCGAAGAAGAAGAAAGAGGAGCTGAATACGTCCGGCGGCGGAATTCACACACAATTGGTTCCCTACGATCTCCTCACTGATAAAGAGAAGAGGAAGGACAGAGAGAGGTCCCAAGAGTTCTTGAAGTACCTCCAGTACCAAGGATATAAACTACACAAGCCAAATCGAGGTGGAGATGCAGAAGTCACGGGACCCAATGCATCGGCTGAAAGCAGATTTGCATTCACACTTCTTGTGAAGCTCATTGAATACTTGGATAAAGCGACCATCAACATGAAACTGCTGAAACCTTCGGACACGTACAGCAGACGAATTAGCTTCAAAACATCAACGAGAGACATCAAGTTCTTCAGTAAGGTTGTGCTGCCACTCGTTGAGAAGTACTTCAGCACTCACAGAAACTACTTCATTACTGTTGCAACACCTACGAATAACGTAGGAGCGGCTTCGTTGAAGGAGAAGGAAATGGTGGCTGCGTTGTTCTGCAAATTAGCAAGTCTCCTTCGGTCTAGATTAGCAGCGTTTGGTGCCGATGTCAGAATTACAGTCCGTTGTTTGCAGGTTCTAGTGAAGGGTATTGATGCCAAGTCATTGGTGAAGAGTTGCCCAGAGTTCATCAGAACCTCGATGTTGACTTTCTTCAACAATACCGCTGACGATCTTGGGCATACGATCCTGAATTTGCAGGAGGGCAAGTACAGCCACCTGAGAGGAACTCATCTGAAGACATCTACATCGCTATTTTATATTAATAATGTGGTCCTTGCCACGCTGACAGCCATGTTCGATCATCTAGCTGCTTGTGAATACGGAAGTGATCTTCTTCTTGACGAGATCCAGGTCGCTTCGTACAAGATGTTGGCTTCGCTGTACACCTTGGGAATTGATTCCACTCTGACACATGACAGGAAGTATCTGAAGACGGAGATCGAGAGGAACAAACCGAATTTGGGCTCCTGCTTGGGAGCTTTCTCCAGTTGCTTCCCTGTGGCGTTTTTAGAGCCACATTTGAATAAGAATAATCAGTTCTCTCTGTTGAATCGAATCGCTGACCATTCTTTGGAGGCTCAGGACATCATGACGAGGATGGAGTCGAGTATGCCGACGTTGGAGACGATTCTGACGGAAGTGGATCAATTTGTGGAGTCTGATAAGACTTACAGTGATGCTCCTCATGTTGTCGATGTTATTCTTCCGCTTCTTTGCTCTTATCTGCCGTTCTGGTGGGCTCAGGGTCCTGATAATATCACACCGACCGAGGGGACTTACGTCAGTATGGTGACGAGTGATCACATGAACCAATTACTGAAAAATGTGTTGAAACTGATCAAGAAGAATATAGGAAATGACAATGCACCCTGGATGACTCGAATCGCTGCTTACACTCAACAGATCATCATCAATTCTTCTGAGGAGCTGCTGAAGGATCCGTTCTTACCACTTGCTGAACGTGTGAGGAAACGTACTGACACTATGTTCCATAAGGAAGAATCTCTTCGAGGCTTCATCAAGTCCTCCACTGATGATACGTCTCAGGTAGAGGCGCAGATCCAGGAAGATTGGCAGCTGCTAGTCAGGGATATTTATGCTTTCTATCCTCTACTGATCAAGTACGTTGATCTCCAGAGAAATCACTGGCTCAGGAACAATATCCCTGAAGCTGAGGACCTGTACAACCATGTGGCAGCGATATTCAACATTTGGTCAAAGTCGCAATATTTCCTAAAGGAAGAGCAGAACTTCATCTCTGCCAATGAGATCGACAACATGATCCTGATCATGCCCACAGCCACTCGGAGGACGGCCACTGTGACGGACGGATCGGCACCTGGTGGAGGTGGCAAAAAGAAGAAGAAGAATCGAGACAAGAAGAGGGACAAGGATAAGGAGGTTCAGGCCTCCCTGATGGTGGCTTGTCTCAAGCGTCTACTTCCAGTTGGTCTGAATTTGTTCGCTGGGAGAGAGCAGGAGCTGGTGCAACATTGCAAGGATCGGTTTCTCAGTAAACTTCCTGAGCCTGACATTGGGGAATTTGCGAAAACACAGTTGACACTGCCAGATAAACTAGATCCTGCGGATGAGATGTCTTGGCAGCATTATTTGTATTCAAAGCTAGGGCAGAAGAAAGATTCTCTGGAGGCGGTGAAGCCTCAACAGCTGGAAGATGTCGTTGCTAGGATCACTGACATGGCGAAGGTCCTGTTTGGGCTGCATATGGTGAGTTCGAGTGATGGAAATACTTTCCTGTTTCTTCATGATGATTCATTTGGTAGTGTTGCTGTAATTTGACGGACAAAAAAATTTTGTTGAAAAACCTAGCGAATTCGGTAGGAAATGCTACCTTTCTGTTGATAATTCTATTAGTTTTTGGCCGATTCCATTGAAGAATTCTGCAGCATTACGGAGAATTTTTCATAGAAAATTTTCAATAGGAGATATTTTATGGAAAAAATCCGTAGAATTTCATCTTTCTATGCAACTTTAACAATTTGCCATGAATTTTCTACAAAGGAAATTGTTGTTCTCGACCATTTGTTTTGAAATTGTTGAAATTTATTTGGGCCATATTCAGGTCAGCAGCAATAATTCATTACAATTTTACTAAGGAAAAATGCCTTGGGAGGAATGCCTTGAGCATTTGAAATGTAGTGCAATTGAATTAGTAAAATTGTGATGAATTATGGCTGCTGACCTGAATATGGCCCAAATGAATTACAGCAATGAATTTTCTGTTTTTTCGACTCTATTTTTCTTCTCCTCCCGTTCAAAAGATCAAGCAAAAAATGCAGAGAATTAGAGCCGAGGAGTTTTTACAGAAAATATCTCAAAAGAATAATTTATATAGAAAAATCGAATTCTATTAATTTTTTCGATAGAACATTTTTCATCGAACATTTCTATTGAAAAGAAAAAACTCGTGCAGATAAGCTACACAATTTTTCAATACAATCGGAAAAAAACTAATAGAAAGTTCAACAGAATTCCAATTGATTTTTCTAGCGAATTCGCTAGGATTTTCTATTAAATTATTTCGTTGGTAATAAAACGAGAGGAGTCTACGCGAAGATAGCTTAGGGAATGATTCGAAATCTCGGGGAGATAGAGAGTACTGTCCGTTGATAGAAAATCTTCGTAGTTCAAGAAAAGACAAATGAATGAGCGAATTCAATGATATCGCACGTTTTTATGGGTCGCCACTGGCATAGAAAATGATACACGCAGAATTTTTCTGAGACAGGATTCACTGGAAATAGATAGAAACGCACGAATTGTCAGATATCGCGTCTGAGGAACACTTTTATTATTACATTATCGGCCCATCATATTTCTGGCAATATCATTTCCAGTAGAACCTGTGTGAACTTGTTCGGACAGATTTAACTTTCTTGATGACTAGCTTTTTAAAATGAATATTGAGACGGTCCTATCCATGGAAATTATTCAACATTGGGGCAGTTCACTATGAGTGCCGGCTTAATCCTAGTCTGGTCACCAAACGCGACCTCTGGTCACCTCCGCGGGGATTCCCCGCCGCGTGTAATTTAGGCTCTAGCGTTGCCGCATTCACTCTGCACTGCCCGAACGCGTTTAGCGAGTTTCCGGCAACGTTGCGTCATGGGCAATTTCATTTAACATGGGAAAAAATGATTCATCTGTTCGAAATGATTTGTTTTTTTTTTTAAGAATTTTGGGAAATATGTTGTTCTAACAACTAATGTAATTCTTCAGACACTTCAATTGACAAAGTCAAATTTTTTCGCAGTGATAGGCATATCAATCACTCATAATGACCGTTATATTGTGAAGTTGTCAATCTTCAACATAAATCTTAAAATTTTTAATATTAACTTAACGATCAATTTGTACATTTAAATTTCGAAATATTCTATCAACCAATAATTTAGGTCGGAAGATTCACGATTATTTGGATAATCAAAAATCAAGTATCTAAATTTAGAATTAGCCTGTTAACTAAAAAATTACATTTCAATATTATCAAATATTTTATTCGCCATCAATCGGAAAATTTAGTTGATAAATTTTATAATATTTTTGATTTGTTAAATATAGCTAAACTTTGAACAATATAAGGAGATAATCCCTTTTTAATATTGACAAAATCTAATATTATTGCCCATCCCTATTTTTCCGGTTAGCCAGTCAATTGTAATTAAAGGAAAAGGACGCGTGGCGGGGTTTCCTTCATATTCTGCGGAAAAAATCCCAAGAAAATAAAAAAAATGCACACGGCAAAGTTAGATAATTTTCAATACAAATTGGGTGATAAATCGAATTGAATTTCCGCTAAAATTCCAAGAGAACTCCAATAGAATTTCTTAGGGAAAGTCCTCGATTTTTCCGTGGAATTTTTTCATACTTGTCCACCTAGATTCGAATTATTCATCAAAAACTTTTGACCCTAGCACTCGAGTGGACTCATCTCATTTCACGAATTCGTTAGTCAATTCAATTTAATTCATTTTGTATTAATATTATTTGAATTTATTTTCTTGTTAAATACGAGTAGATAGATCATCCTCAGCAGCAGAGCAAGAATATTTATAGATCCGTGGTATCGATTGAAAGGAAACGAGCGGTTATCGCTTGTTTCCGTCAAACTCCCCTACATTCCTTACCCAGGTATCCCATTTCGTTTATTTATGTTTCTAATTGAGTTTTTTTTCTCGTGAAACTAATCATTAAAGTCTTTTCAATCTCAGTTTTTATGATATTATTCTTTAACAAATTTAGTGTTGTGTGTGTTTCTGCATGCTGGCTAACAGGCAACAAAGCCACCACCATCCAGAGACGGATGGAAACGTGTGCTATGCGCTGCAAGAAAACGAGCAGCTATGGCGTGTCTCCGTAGTGAACCACTTTATAAGTTGAGAAGGTAACAGGTGACATTGATGAAATCAAGAGCCAAGTGGTGAAACTGTTTTAGTCGATTTTCACTATTGATCAGTTTTCAATAAATATCTTCGTATCTAAAGCAAAAAGAATTTTTTTTGTTATGATTGATGTACTGATAAATTTAGTGTAACTAAGTGTAACATAGCAAAATTAAGGATAATCGGGCGAGGAGGAAATGTAGGAGGTGAGGCGGAGGGGTTTCTATTGTTTTCCTGCAGAAAACCAATCGCTGAACAAAAAAATTTTTCCCATTCGGATTCAAAATTCAGGCAATATTAGGGAGTATCTCCGGTTAATAGTATATTTCTAACCTAGGGAGGGAATATACTATTACCTCCCGTGGTTAGAACGCGATTTTCCGTCTCGGCGTAGGCGTAAAGTCAGGCGAAGCGGGAGGAAAATATGACCTGTTCGCCCGCCGTGGCGAAAAATTTGTACTTTGCTCTCTGATAAGCGGGAGGAAACTAAGTACTTTCTACCCTAGAGCGAAAAGCGAGTACTTTCCTCCCGCTCATCAGAAATCAAAATACAAACTCTTTGCAGGCGTGTTAAAATAGTTTATTCCATACCTAGGAAGGGAAAATAAAGGGGTCGTGTCCACAAGCAGAATTACGTGAAGAATCCCCCTGGTAAGCGCCTGGATAAGGGTCCTTTATTTAATCTCCCGTGGTCGGGACATTATTTTCCGTCACGGGGTAGGCAAAGAGTCAGATTTGGAAATGTGCACTTCGCGCTCGCCGTGGCGGAAAATAGCATGTGCACCTGGGACGGGGAAAATATGACTTTCCGCCTGGAACGAAAGGGAGGATCGGGCATGTCTGAAAAGGGTAATAATGATGGCAAGGACATAATGGTTTTGTGGATTAGGACCTTGTTTAATAGAGATGAAATTTTGGAAATGACAGAAATTGTGGGTCATAATCGTTAAGAGCGACTAATAAAATAATAGACGATTCGAGGGTACAGTATGAGAAAATAAATCTTTTGTTAAAAATGGAAACGAAATTGTCGAGGATTAAGAATATTGCTGAGGGAATTTTGCTAATGGTCTTTTTACAATTCTCTTAACGAAAGGTAGAGACGTTTTTCCCCAAGACGCGCCAAATACCACGAAAAAAAGGGAATTCAAAGAAATGAATGACGGATGAGTATGAGGGGTATGAAGGGATAGGAGTGGAAATTTTCTCCAATATTTAATTATTTTATATTAAATTCGAAATTGCGTGTATCGGCACGCAACAGACAGTTTTTACGAAAAACTTGCTATCTTAAATTCAAAGATATTCACCGAAAACTCAGCTAACAGATAAGTTGACTTAAATGGTTTTATCGCTTCGCAACTAAAATGTATCGAGTGATGTTCAGCTTTCAACGAATGAATTATAAAAGTTATCGTGAAGAATAGAAATCTCTTCTTCATGAAAATCATCATAAGACTTTAATCGCAAAAAATAATTTGTAGACATCGTGCAATCAACATTTTTGCAAGAACTTATTACGAGCTGTGGCTTCAGGATGAAAATGTTGGGCAGGAGATAATGATTGAAGAATTGACGGTAAATCCAATTATAATATTTATAAAAAAAAATTTTCCTCTAGAAATAGTCGAGTTGAAAGACTAATGATGTCAATTAAATCGTACAGCAATCGTTTGAAGATGCAGAGTTGAAGAAAATGGATAAAGCAGAGGAAGAAGGCAAGCCCGATCCTCTAACTCAACTTGTAACGACTTTCTGTCGAGGAGCAATGACTGAGCGCTCTGGAGCTCTCCAAGAGGATCCCCTTTACATGAGTTACGCCCAGATTATCTCGAAATCCTGCGGTGAAGAGGAAGAAGAAGGAGAGGCTGAGGAAGGTGGGGGCGAGGGCGAGGAGAGTGGACCCTCCATTCACGTAAGTTGAAGTTGCTATCATATTCAATAGACTTTGTCTAACACTGAATGCGATTTTCTCCCAAAGTGATGAGGTCTCGTATTATAGAAAATTTGACTATTAATGCACGTAACTATTCTCTTTTCCGAACTTTCTGTATCGGCCAGCAGCCGACGCATAGACTCATATTGGTAAGACAATCTAGTGTCTTGATCCTCGTCGTTATCATCAGTATTTTCTTGTTCTGTAAATCTCTGCCATCTTCATCGTAGAACTTGACCTATTAATTGTTGTTGTCTTGTTACATTCGTGTGGTTAATAATTTGAAAAGGTTTACTGAGAGTAATTATTCTGTTCATGCTTCCCGAAGAGGCCAATGCACAAATTGATGGTAAGAACATTTAAAATGTCAAGCAGAAACTTCTTGAATATGAGAAGAGGGTTGTTAGCCATTTCTCTTCGCTTCTTGATGCTTAGAAGCATTGATTTTCCACTGAATCATCTAGACGAAGAAATAATTCATGTAATAGCATCTTAAATGAAGCGCAGCTCACAAAACAAGTGGATAATAACATTGTTTATAAGTGAGCATATTTACTCTGGTTAAAAGTATTATCTGACGAATGTGACTTTATATATAATCGCATGAGTCACATAATACTTATTATCGCCTGATGAACTATGCACTATGATATTGTTACGTCCCTACGATTAGCCACCTGATGGCGCTAGCTCAATTTCTCATTTACCTTATCGACTGTTGAGTGTTACCAACAATTAGTATATAAGTCCCAATTCCCAATTATATTTTTTCAAACGTAGTAAATTAGAATATTATTTAGTTTCAAACAGAAATAATACTCAAGTGTCCAGACCACATTTTTTCCTGAGAAAATCATAAAACTAGCTTTCCCACATTTGAAACGAAGCCGAAAACCAGTCGTATGCACACATGCATAATAAATTATCAAAAAACATGAAAAAGAACTAACTAAATCTTTAAGATAAGCACTAGCATTCTGAAATTGTAAACCGAACACGCACCCTTAATTGCTCCTAATCCAATCACGACTTTCGAGGCTCCCCGATTGACCTAAAACCAATCGGTTCGTCTCTCTCCTCAGCATCATCCCTAATGAACTAATCCAACCCTCAGAAACTAGAGCGTGTACGCCCACGCGTGAACCCTAAGCAGCCCTAAGATATTCAAATCTCATTTTAGTAAATTCACTTCTATATCCACGGTCAAAGAGACAGGAATAACTTTCTCTAAAAATCTTAAAGTGAAACTTCAAGTCCAAGTAAAGTCTCAGTGAATACTTCAACTCCAAATACCCAAAGTCAAAATTCAAAGTGTTCGGAACTTAATCACAAATACCAATTTAAACAAATAGAAGTTGAATCATAAAATAAAACCAAATCAAAACAAGAACATTTAGGCCTTAATAAAAGTCAACCCACAAGAGTTACTTAAAAAACCCTGAACCTACAATGGTGAAACAATGTAATAAAACCAAGTTATTAAATAAAAACACTCTAAAACACTCTGAAACACTCTAAATCGTGTCTTGATTGGTCAACTGCGCGTAGTAGTTGATTAGTGGAACCTACTTAAGGAGATAGTTTCCCTCAGCACCTGGAGTTACCGACCAAAGGGTCAATTTAACAATTCCTCAAATTAATCCAACAGACAATTGAGTGTAAACCATTTGAGACGTAACAATATCACTGGGCCCGAAAGAATGGCGATTTATCGGGCTCAGTGTCATTGGATTGCATTTTCGGTCTTTCAGACAGTAATTGGTTGGTATAACGCAAACAATCGAAAGATTGAATTCAAATTATTTTATTATTTCATGGAACCGCAAATATGTAAAAACTCGAATAGAGTATATATGGCAAGGATAAATAAATAGTATAGAACATAGGAGTAGCATAGGAAACCACAAGAAACCCATGCCAGTACAGGCGGTTACTCTATTAGCAATCTCCCACTCGCCGGAGCCACCAGTTGAAAAATTCGGTTCCACTTGGGATCGAACTCACAAGCTTTTGCATACTAGACTTGCGTCTAGGTGTACATTTTACCTCACTCGCTTCTTAATACTATAAAAATACATTCGTCGGTGATCAATACTATTTTTAACATCGTTACTTTCATTCAATGTTGACACATGAATAAGATGAAGTTACCAAATTTTATTAGCACAAGAATTCCAACAATGACTCGATTTAAATATTTGCACGAATTTTCGTTTTCCCCATTAATTGTTATTACGGAATTGATGAAGAATTCAATTTTCATTCGATCCTTAAAAATGAATACTAATTTCAATGAAAATATATTTGAAATTCCCTGAAAAGGAACTCGAATTTCACAAAGAAATCGAAAAATTTTCGTTGGAAAATTCCCCATCAACGCCTTGAAGATCTGATTTTACTCATAAATTCTTCATTTTCCCCTCCTGTAGGAACAAGAGATGGAAAAGCAAAAGCTCCTCTTTCACCAAACCCGTCTGGCAGACAGAGGTGTAGCCGAGATGGTGCTGCTCCACATATCAGCCTGCAAGGGGATTCCCAGTGAAATGGTGATGAAAACCCTGGAACTCGGAATATCAATCCTCCGTGGTGGTAACATCGAGATCCAAAAAGGAATGTTGAACCACCTGAAAGAGAAGAAAGACGTCGGTTTCTTCACCTCAATAGCCGGTCTGATGAACTCGTGCAGTGTCCTGGACCTCGACGCCTTCGAAAGGAACACGAAAGCCGAGGGTTTGGGAGTCGGTTCCGATGGCGCAGCTGGCGAGAAGAACATGCACGACGCCGAATTCACCTGTGCACTGTTCAGGTTCATTCAACTTACCTGTGAGGGTCACAATCTGGAGTGGCAGAATTACCTGAGAACTCAAGCAGGGAACACAACCACAGTGAACGTTGTCATCTGCACTGTAGACTACCTCCTGCGGCTCCAGGAGTCGATAATGGATTTCTACTGGCACTACTCCAGCAAAGAGCTCATCGACCCAGCAGGAAAAGCAAACTTCTTCAAAGCCATTGGTGTAGCCAGTCAAGTCTTCAACACATTGACTGAAGTGATCCAGGGTCCTTGCACCCAGAATCAGCAAGCACTCGCCCACTCTCGTCTCTGGGACGCAGTGGGAGGTTTTCTCTTCTTATTCTCTCACATGCAGGACAAACTATCGAAGCATACGAGTCAAGTTGACCTCCTGAAGGAGCTCCTCAACCTCCAAAAAGACATGATCACAATGATGCTGTCCATGCTTGAAGGAAACGTCGTCAACGGAACCATCGGGAAGCAGATGGTGGACACACTAGTAGAATCCGCAGGAAACGTCGAGCTAATTCTCAAGTACTTCGACATGTTCCTCAAGCTGAAGGACTTGGTGACATCTCCAAGCTTCCTGGAAATCGATCCTAATAATGACGGCTGGGTTCACCCCAAGGACTTCAAGGAAAAAATGGAGCAGCAGAAGAGTTACACCCCCGAGGAGATAGAATTCATGTTAGCTTGCTGCGAGACTAATCACGATGGCAAGATCAATTATGCAGCATTCATGGGACGTTTCCACGAGCCTGCCAAGGAGATTGGCTTCAACCTTGCAGTGCTGCTAACTAATCTGTCAGAGCACATGCCCAACGAGCCTCGACTTGCCCGATTCCTGGAGACAGCAGGCTCAGTCCTGAACTACTTCGAGCCCTTCCTCGGTAGAATAGAAATTCTAAATGGCCAGAAGAAGATTGAACGAGTGTACTTCGAAATAAAAGAATCGAATATTGAGCAGTGGGAGAAGCCCCAGATCAAGGAATCAAAGAGACAGTACTTTTACACAACAGTAGTAGACGCTGGAGACAAGGAATTACTGGAGACATTTATAAACTTCTGTGAGGACGCAATCTTCGAGATGCAGCACGCAAGCTCGCTGATGGCAGTGGAGGACTCGGGCGGTCTCAATAAAGTCAGAGAGTCCTCCTACACTTACCTGGGTGACGAAGAAGAGGAGAAGAACAAGGATCCATTCAGAAGAGGCCTGCAAGTTTTCAAAGACGGGCTCTCCCTCTTCGTCTCCATGCTCTCACCTGGAAATATCAAGACCAAAATAGCTGAGATGCAGCAGATGACAATCCCTGAATTATTCGTCGGCTTCTTCAGGATGATGTTCTATGCAGTCTACTATTCCGGATTCGGTGTTGGAGTTGTTCTCAATTACTTCTTGAAGATCCTGTTGACATTGATGAGGGGACCAAATACAGAAGAGGAAGTGGTTGAGGTGAAGGAGGAGGAGAAGCCACTGAGGCACTTGCCAGCACTACCAGCAACGCCAGACGAATCTAATCTGCAGATCCAAGCATTTGGCATGGATATAACGAAGGAGGATGGGGGGCAGATAAAGATAGCGGCACACGAGTCGAATACGTTGACCCCGCAGTCTAGTATGGAGGAGGCTGGGGAGAGTACTCCAGAGGAGGGCGCAGGTGACGAAGCCAACAGACCTGGAGAGTCAGAGGGACCGATGACATTGACAGAGCTGCTTGGAGGTGAGCAGGCGAGGGCAGAGGCAGCTGCAGCTGCTGAGGCTGCAGCTGCCCAGGAAGCTGCAATGGCTGCCATTGCTGCCAACAAACAAGTCCCTTCGGTGGAACCTGCAGCAGTTCATGGGACAGACTCTCAATATGGTAAGAGGATTGTCTCCTATTTGGCCAGGAAGTTCTACAGTCTCAAGTGGATTGCTCTGGTGCTTGCCTTCTCCATCAACTTCACTCTACTTTGCTACAGGGTGACGTCGCTCGAGGCTACTGGTGATGACAGCAGCAAGGAATCACTGACTGAGATGATTGGGGAAGCGTCTGGTGAAGGATCTGGCTCCGGAGGGGGGGCTTTCGAGGGGAGTGGAGGGGGAGAGGGCTCTGGAGAGGACATGGAGGACCTTCTGGAGTATGTCGATGTCCCCGAGGATTATCAGTACATGTCTTATGTTATGAGATTCATGGCTGTCGTACATACTATGGTTTCACTTGCCATGCTTGTTGCTTACTATCAACTTAAAGTACCATTGGCTATCTTCAAAAGAGAAAAGGAAATTGCTAGGAGAGTAGAGTTTGATGGGTTGTATATTGCTGAAAGCCCTGATGAGGACGATATCAAGGCACACTGGGACAAAATGGTCATATCAGCTAAATCATTTCCGGTTAACTATTGGGATAAATTCGTAAAGAAGAAGGTCAGGACGAAGTACAGTGAGACGTATGATTTTGATTACATCAGTAATCTTCTTGGAATGGAGAAGACATCGTTCAGTCAACAAGAGGAGGGGGGCAGTGGGCCTATTCACTGGATTACGTCTATCGACTGGAGATATCAGATTTGGAAGGGTGGTGTCACCATCACTGATAATTCATTCTTGTATAGTCTGTTTTATCTCACATTCTCGATCGCTGGAAATTATAACTATTTTTTCTTTGCTGCTCATCTGCTTGATGTTGCGGTGGGAATCAAGGCCTTGAGAACGATTCTTCAGTCTGTTACGCACAATGGAAAGCAACTGCTCATGACTGTGGGATTGTTGACTATTATTGTGTATATTTACACGGTTATTGCCTTCAACTTCTTCAGGAAGTTCTATGTGCAGGAGGAGGAGGAGGGGGAGGTGGACAAGAAGTGTCATGATATGTTGTCCTGTTTCACTTTCCATCTTTATAAGGGGGTCAGAGCTGGTGGGGGCATTGGAGATGAGATTGAAGCACCTGATGGGGATGACTCGGAATTGTATAGGATTATATTTGATATCACCTTCTTCTTCTTTGTCATCGTCATCCTGCTTGCTATCATTCAAGGCAAGTATTTAGGGTTCTTTTACAGTTTGAACACGTGGGAGAAAAAAGAATGAGAAATCTTAGCACTTTCACTGGAAAACTGGAAAACTTTTTTTTTTTCGTAGAATTTCTAGTGAAAGTATCGCCGCCTTTCCAGGCGTTTATCGGAATAGATTAAACAATTCATCAACAAACGCCTTCGAAGTCAATAAATTTAGGCGGTTTTGAAAGTTCTTGGCAATTTGACACTGTTTTTCCCGTGGATTTTTCAATTGAAAATTAATAAAAATGGAATAGAGAAAAACTTGGAAAATTCACTCTGAGAAAAATGCCAGTAGAGTTAGTGGTGTCGGCAGATCAGACAGCTATCGATTTCGAGTGTTTTCGGCTCAGTTTTTTAAATCAAATTTTAGAGGATAATGAGGAAAACTTAGCTCTTGCGACTCTTTGAAATGTTTAATAATTGATCGAATTGGAGAGGCAATTTTTCGCTATGGATATATAATATGTGGACGTCCATATGAAAAGGGCCCACTTTGTCGATATGGAGTTATGTATACTCCGATAATACTGATAATATTCCTCACAGTTCAAGCCCAAAAGACCTCGATAGTGCAGAAAATGACTTCACTAGAGAAAATCAACGAAAATTTTTTACATTGGTTTAAATGAGGATTCTGAAGAGAAAAACGTCAATATCTTTGAAACTAGATGCGACAAAGTATTTCGTTTTGCCCCACTCTCCTCTAGTATATTCCAATACAAATGAAACAAGCAGGGGACAGCGAGCATATGACAGCGCACCATGTGACAGTGAACATGTTACTGAGTGATGTCTTTTTTTTTCGCCATCAGTACATTGATGGCGGGCTTGTGAATGGTCTGAAACATTACAAAAGTTTATAGCTTCACAACACTAACTTACAGCAAAAATTTTAGATGGTTACTGCCATCTCTATGTGTGCTATCAAAATTTCCGATAGCACAATGTTTCGAATGTTTCGATGTTTCGAATACTTCGTATAAGCGGGTACACATATTTTCTGTCCAAATTTCAAGTTGATATCTCGATTTTTGCACAAGCTAGAGTGTTTACAATAGTACATTAGAGTACAAGGGCACAAATTTCGTTTTCAACGAATGTGTAGTTTACAGGCCGAGCCGAAGGTGAGGTCTGTACACACATTCGTTGAAAACGAAATTTATTACCGAGTGCTCTATAATATTTTATGTCAAGTCGTGCAGAAGTCTAGGCTTCGCGCAGCCTGCTCAAAACTCGACTTATTGCACGGCGCGACATAAAGTTCTTTGTGAAAAAACGGNTTTATTACCGAGTGCTCTATAATATTTTATGTCAAGTCGTGCAGAAGTCTAGGCTTCGCGCAGCCTGCTCAAAACTCGACTTATTGCACGGCGCGACATAAAGTTCTTTGTGAAAAAACGGAAAACGGGAATATCTCGAAAACTTTGTATGAACGGGTATATATGTTTTGATTGATTTAGATAGAAGGCATCGAAACGAATATTTTGAAAATCAAACAAGCAGTTGACCGCTCCTATATTGCAGAAAGCATGTGACTGTTACTTTATGTTATTTGTATTTTAATTTTTTATTTCTACCAATTCCATTGGTAGTAAGCTTCCGAATGGATCAATAGCAATTCTCTTTTTCAATTTATAGGAGAAACTATTTTCTCACGTCACATTCCCAACCCAATTTATCCTCAAGTTATTGTGCGAACAAAGAATTTAGGGAACACCAAAAATGTAAAACCGCTTATACGAAGTTGATTAATTGAAATGAATCTCTGTTGATTAATTGAAATGAATCTCCAAAACTTTGTATAAACGGGTACATATATTTTCATTGATCTGGATAGATGACATCGAGATGAGTATTTTGAAAGACAAGTGGATATCTCGATTTTTGCACACGTTAGCGCCCGTACAAGGATTTTAATGAAAAAACAGAAAAAGGCGAATATCTCGAACACTTTGTATGAACAGGTATAGATGTTTTGGTTGATCTAGATAGAGGACATCTTCAGAAGACGAATCTTTTGAAAAAACATAAGTGGAATCGTTTGCGAAGTTTTAAAGATATTTAACATAATAGATTTTCAGAAAAAGTTGAATATCTCCGAAACTACTGGTGTGATTGAGCCCGTCTTCAATACGAACCTTTGTTATCACAGGAGGAAGATTCTCTCCAAATTTTAAGTTGATATCTCGATTTTTGCACACGTTAACGCGCGTACAACGATTTTAATTAAAAAACAGAAAAGGAGAAATATTTCAAAACCTTTGTATGGACGGGTATCTATGTTTTTGTTGATCTAGGTAGAGGACATCGAGACGAATATTTTGAAAGAAAAAAATCTAAATCGGTCCACTAATTTTGAAGATATTTGCGGAAAACTATTTAAAAACGAATCGCTTGTTCTCCAAAACTATTAGATCGATCGGGCTGAAATTTTGCACAGAATTAGTCCTCATCAAAACCGATAATCTGATAAAATTTAAAATTTTTTGGAATTACTTTAGCCCCTTAACTACTCAATTTTCTAAAAATCGACCACCGGGAAGGTGGCGGTGGACGTGGTCACATACAGACATGGTGCCAAACTTCGTATATTTACGTTTCAGACCATTCTACATCATTTCCAATCAAAATTAGAGAATGTGAAAATCGAAGGATTGCAATGCTTCCATTCGGACGCAAAAAGTAGTTGTTAACGAGTACTTAATTATTTCCGTAATAATCACACTTGTCAGGAAGTACATTTTTTAATACATATCGTACGATATTTCATGATACAATACTAGCGAAAAAAGGTGGTTAGTTGCGCGAAAAGCATGCAAAAAAAGTGTCCTTTTTTCACTTGTATCATAAAACATTTTTTTTCAATTACCCCGGGTTACCGCTTCGCTATTGAATCGATGACTGGGCTTCTAGGTTTGATCATCGATGCTTTTGGTGAGCTTCGTGATCAACTCGAGAGTGTCAAAACCAATATGGAAAGCAACTGCTTTATTTGTGGCCTTGGGAAGGACTATTTCGAATCTGTTCCGCATGGATTCGATACACACGTACAAAAGGAACATAATCTTGCAAATTACATGTGAGTGACAAATAAAGTGGAAATTGTTTGTTTTTTTTTGTAATTTTGAGAGCATTGTTGACCCTATTGTTATGTGCTCTAGGTTCTTCCTCATGCACCTCATCAATAAACCAGACACTGAGTATACGGGTCAAGAGACTTACGTGTGGAATATGTATCAACAAAGAATGTGGGATTTCTTCCCAGTGGGTGACTGCTTCCGAAAGCAGAACGAAGCTGTGGAGGAGGATGTCAAAAAGAAATAGTTTTAAACATATTTTTTAATTGAAAATTTGATGGCCCACGAGAGCGTTGAGACAACGGGGAACATTAAATTGAAGATATTAATGATTATTACACCGACAATCTCCAGTCGTAGCGAGCTTCGGGCATCATTCGAGCTCGTCTGTCGCATTCGAATAAAATTTGTTAAAACTGTAGGATTTTTTAAAGTCGAATTTGTATGAGGAATCATTAGAAAAATTAAATTTTCCGGCGGAAAATAAAGAAATTAGTTGGACGAACGTAATTAATGGTTTACCATCGCCAATTGAAGGATTAGTACCTCCAGAAACTGTCGCAATTAAATTCACCTATTTTTTCAATTTTGTAATGGCTCGATGCGATTGTAAAATCACAGAGATTCTTTGATCTACGGAAATTTAAATAATGTTGAACTCAATCTCTAGAGGATGACTTTTAAAACGCTTGGAAAATGCTGACAGCACAAATTAGGGAGAGATTTCTCTGGAGAGAAACCATTACGAAGATCCGATAATTCATGTCCCTATCAGTGGCTAATTAGTCAATCAATTTGTTATCCTTGAATAAGTTACATTGAATATATCCGTTATTTATTTATGAGAATTTACGATAGAGGGAATGATCTGTTGTGAATTGTTTTTTTCCTTCGATTTTTCTTTAACAGTAATGACTGAACTCATCATGTTGTTAATTGAGATTGTCAGAATATTGTAAATAAAAGGAACACTCTTCGGCAGGGCTATCTGAGAATAAAAATATTTAAAATTTTATGTATTTCAATCATTCACTGTCTTGAAAATAGTCTAGTTTCTACCCTACGGAGCTAGCGCACTGCGGTGCTGAAAGATACCTCAGGAAAGAGCATTGGGAAAAATAAATATGCGGCAAAAATGGGAGGAAGGAATGAGAAACCATAAAAAGCGAAAGGTATATGGTAAGTGGGGCAAAAGGAAGCAGTCGAACAACGAATATTTGACACAATTCAAGCAAAAAAAATTTCATTATCAACTTCTGTTCATTAACTTTTCGTTATTATTGGGAGTACTGATGGAAATAATAATTTTCTATTACTTTGATAATTCAGTGGATTATAATTCAATTGATTAGATTAAGCCGATTACACTTTTCTTTTTTCATTCAATTGAAATTGCGCATCTCAATTTCCTCCTTGCTCCTCTGGGTCTCCCCCTGGACCTTCTCTGGACTTTAGATTTTACTGGTTCATTTTCTTTACAATTAATCCATTGACAAAATCTTCTCCCGTCAAAACTTGTCAATAATTTTCCAGTCTACTTAAGACTTATTCTCATCAGTACTCTCAGGAATAAAAAAAAGTTAATAAACAAAAGATTAAAAAATAATTAAAAAATTTTTTTTTGCTTGAATTGCGTCAAACAGTTGTTTTTCGACTGTTTGATTTTGCCCCACTCTCCCCTATCTTCATTGAAATTTGAAAAATAATATAATAATTGATAATTTAAATGTTTCAATTGAATAATAACTAAACAATTGACAATATAGGATTGTCAATTAACTATTGAGCAAATATTTCTCAATGTCATAAGAGTATTTTTCGATCAGTCGAATAATCGTCAATCTTCCGAACTCAATTATTGATTGATAAAATAATTAGGACTTTGAATATTTAAATTGAAGATTAATTTAATAATTGAAAAATTGGTGAGTAATATTAACAATTGACTTATTCAAAATTTAGCTTTAATTAAAATTTGACTATGCCGATGTCTGGTTTCATTAACAATTACTTCAATTGATGCTCAATAATCTCCATTGATCGATGATTAATCTCGTGAAACTTCACAATAATTCTCAATTTCAAGCGCCCACTCAACACTTTAAATTGCATTCGAGTTGATAATCGAAGTTCCAAGATGTGCTGATGAAATTGGTGGAAAGCTCGTGGTGCTGAGGGGCAGGGGATGAACGAGAGTATCACCGTTAAAAAGGACAAGGAGGGATGAGATTTATATGCAGTGGAGTGAGGAGAAATGGGGTCGCGCAGGCGTCGAGTGAACGCCCGCCTTGGAGTATCCAATACAGAGTTAGTAGTGGTCCAGAGTGGAAAATGCATCATTGCACGGGAGTGTCAGCCTGCAGTCGTGTTTGCCATCAAAATCACAATATGCAGCCCCGTAACAACGGGATATGCGATAAAATCGAGAATTATATATCTGAACTAAGCCAGTGGTGAGTTGGTAATTATATTTTATGAACGATTGTACGAGTACACTGGGTGAAATTTGGAGAGCGATTTCCGGCATTCAGAGGGGTGGTTCCCCGGTTAAAGGCGCGAGTCGTGTTTACTATGCAGTTCTTACCCGGCGTGCGTAGAATTTTGGGATTTTTTTTCTGGTGGAGTTGAATTTTCATCTGGGATTCTACAGAGGCCTTTGGGCATTTTATGTCCTGCAACAACATTCGAAATTATTTAAAGTCATTTTGAGGGGAGAAAATTAATGATTCCGAGTGGTGGAGTATGTGAAAAACCAGAAATTTTGTATTGAATAGTTAGTGCACTTGACGAGATCATTAAAAACTTTTGGTTTTGCTTCAGTTGTAATATTCGAGGATTGAATACTCTGAATTTTTCTAGTTCATTCTAGAATTGAATAATTATTTCGAGTGGTGGAATTGACGACAACTTGAGATTTTCTTTATTCAGAGAATTTTACACACCATGAATTCATTACATCATTTTCTATCTATGTCAATTTCATTATAAATCGAGATTCGCTATTAAATCTGAATCCGCTTAGTTCATTCTAGAATGGAATAAGTAATTTTATATTCTGCAACACCCTTCGGAATTATTTGAGGTCATTTTGAAAGGAGGAAATTAATGATTTCGAGTGATAGAATATATGGAAATGCCGGAAATTTTTTATTGAATAGTTACTGCACTTAACGAGATCATTAAAAACTTTTGCTTTTGTTCAGTTGTAATGAATTCAAGGATTCAATTCTCCTCTGAATTATTTCAGTTCATTCTAGAATTGAATCATTATTCCGAGTGGTGGAGTTCATAACAAATTGAGATTTTTTTTATCCAGTGACACTTTACAGTGGCAGTTTACACTCCACGAATTCATTACGTAATTTTGTCTCTATGTCAATTTTATTATAAATCGGGACTCACCATTAAATCAGAATCTACTCAGCTCATTCTGGAATGGAATAAGAAATGATATCTAGTGGTGGAATTCCTACACTTGGCGAGATTATGAAACGGACTCTTTCAATTTTAATATTTCAAGAACAATGATTTCTACACATTATCCCCATCTATTATAGAATAGAAGAAATGAAAAAATTAATCTTTAGATTATGAAATGAAAGGAAGGACGCATTATTCCTGATGGAGGATGATAAAAAACCGAGAAATTTGTACTCAATAATTTTATTATTTCAGTCCAGCTGATTTTTTTTATTCATTGAATATTACACTCCACGAATTCACGGAATTTTCTTTCTACGTCAATTTTATTATACATCGGGATTCACCATTAAATCTGAATCCGCTTAGTTCATTCTTGAATGGATTAAGTAATTATATCTAGTGGTAGAATTCTTATACTTAGCGAGATTATGAAAAGATCTCCGTCGATTTTAACTTTAATAATTCAAAACCTTCTTCACATTATCCCCGTTTATTACAGAATGAAAGAAATGAAAAAAAAATCTTCAGATTAGGAAATGAAAGAAAAGAAGAATTATTCCTAATCGAGGATTATAAAAAATCGCGAAATTAGCACTGAATAATGACTTGAATAATCACTTGGGAGATCCATTAGCAATTGTTTTTCGATCTCAATGGTAACTTTGACAAACACTTTTTTAAATTATTTCAGTCCATTTTAGAATGGAATAATTATTCCAAGTGGTGGAGTTCATTACACGCTGATTTTTTTTATTCAGTGAATATTACACTCCACGACTTCACTACGTCAATTTTATTATAAATCGGGATTCGCCACTAAATCTGAACCCGCGTAGTTCATTCTGGAATGGAGTAAGTAATTATATCCAATGGTAGAATTCGTATACTTGGCGGGATTGTGAAATGAAAGAAAAGAAGAATTATTCCTAATGGAGGATTATAAAAAACCGAGAAGTTAGCACTGAATAATTACTTGGGAGACCCATTAGCAATTCTTTTTCTGTTTCAATGACAACGTTTCAGTATAAAATATTTTTTTGCATTATTTCAGTTAATTCTACAATGGAATAATTATTTCGACTGATGGAGTTCCCGACAAGCTGAGATATTTTTTATCCAGTAAATATGACACTCTAGGAATGCACTGAATAATTTTCTTTCTATGTCAATTTTATTATACATGGGAATTTACCATTAAATCTAAAGCCGCTCAGTTTATTCTGAAATGGAATAAGTAATTATATCTGATGGTCAATTCGTACACTTAGCGAGATTATGAAAAGTTGTCCTTCGTTTTTAATTTTAATAGTTCAAGAACTACGATTTCTTCACATTAACTCCATTCATTCATAATGGAAGAAACGAAAACAAACTTCTTTAGATTATTAACTGAAAGAAAGGAAGAATTATTCCTAATGGAGGATTGTGAAAAGCCGGTCTTCATATTGGACAATTACTTCAATAACGAAGTGGTAAAACGGTTTGAGTCGATTCCTTTTCGAAAACTAAATTTTCATCTGAATTGACTCTTAAGATGGCCATAATGATTTCTACAGTTCTTAAAAGAATTTCGACTCAAACCGCTCTCCCGCTTCGCTACTGACTTGAAAGACGCATTAGCAATTCTTTTCTTACGTTAATTACAACGTTTGAACATAAAACACTTTTCTAAATTATTCCAGTTCATTCCAGAAGGGAATAATAATTTCTTACGACAGAGTTTATGGACTTTTCATTGAGTGATTACGGTTCATTCTAATATTACGTCACACGTTGTTTGGGATTTTTAGACCTCTCGCCCAGTCATAAGCTGTCACAAACGTGGATCCCCCTCTTGTATTACATCACAAAACCACGACCCCCCCCTGTTATAATGAATTTCTTAGTTTCTTTATAAAATTGAATTTCATCAATAAATCTAAGGTAGATTTTTTGTAGAACGAATTGACAGCAGCGAAAGAAGTAAAAAAAAATTCGCTATCTCCCTTACATGCGAAGATATTCTTCAAAAACTCAGCTGTGAGCCAAGTCATTTGAACCGTTTTACTAATTCACTACTGAATTGACTAATTAAAAAAAATGATTTGAAATTCGTGATTATGCCGATAACTGTTTGAATGCGTCCATTATTACACACGGAGAGAAATATTCAATAAAAATTATGCATCTTCTCCGTAATTCTGGAGCGATATATGGTTGTAGGAAATTTTACGGAACGGTCACGGAATTTCTCCAGAGCGGTCCGTAATTGTTATCTGAATCTCCTGTGAAAGATTACGATACCGTCACATAAATTTTCTGAGTCGATTTCGTAATCGGTGAGCGAATTGTGAGTTCGGTAATTTTTACTGAACATTTCTCTCCATGCACGAATCCACCGAATAATCTTTTTTCAAAATGAATTTTATTCATATGAAAATTCAACCTTCTCCTAAATTTTAGTAGAGACCATTTCGAAATGAGAGAAGCGATTATTTCCCGGCAAAATTTTCTACTAAATAATTGCTGTACTCGCAAAATTAATTAAAAATTCTTTTTCAATTTCAACGGCAACGTTTGAGCATCAACTTTGCCGATTTATGACACTTTGATGATTTATTCCTTGTGATAGATTTCATGAGAAGCCAGTACCGATATGTTGAATAATTACTGCACTTGACAAAGCCATTGAAAACTTTTTTTCTCATTTCAATTCCAACTCCTCTAATTTCAGCAACACCGTAACATAAACTTTCGAATACTTGAAAATAATGAGATCTCAATTCCCTGCGAATATTTACTCCGTAAAAATGAATTTCGCATCATTTAAGGTATATCCGTAGGAACACGTTTTTCTTAAAATTGTCCCTATGTTTTTCATAGATAATGTTTATAATAGTCCCCAGCTATTGAAAAAATGCTAACTAGCTGTACTGCACAGTTTAACAGATAATAAATAATGAAATGCGGGAGTTATCGGTCCCCCCGAACTAGATTTTTCCATCTTATGAGAAAACAATTCTTACGATCTTCTTGAAAAACTAATCCGCGATAGAATCATAAATTCCAAATACGGTGAATTTTTTGTAAAATTTTGTACTACATAGTTTCTGCGATAGTCCGCTGAAAAAAATGGAAATTTCGTGAAAGCATCACGTATGAAAAAAATCAATAGAAAACCTTAGCGAATTCGCTAGAAAATTCGATTGGGATTCTTTAAAAATTCTATGGGGATTCTATGAAAATTCTAGAGAATTCTCTTTAAAATTCCATTTGTTTTTTGCACAGATTCTATTAGATATTTGATAGGTAAAAATCAATAGATTTCGATTTTTGTGTTTGAATTTTTCGCTTGGGATTTTTTCTATTAAAACTATAGGGCAAGGATTTTCTGAGTGTTTTCCACGACATTTCGCTTTGTTTTGCATTGCAGGATCCGAGCGAAAAAAATTGATGATAAAATAGATGCAGGAGGATGCCCAACTTGAATGACGGCTCAAAATACTTGTTTTGATTATAAGAATTACTGAAAAAAAATGAAACAAATCAAAAGTGACGTAATTTGTAAAATTCAACTTTTTCAACTTTTTTTTCGAATATTCGTTATTATGAGCATCTAGGAATTGAAAAAAAAAATACTAGAAATACTCGTATAGGTGGTAAAAAATGGACATTTTTGAGGCTTAATAAATAAAAATCGGCCAAATAGAACTCGAGTTATTCAAGTCAAGTCAAGTCAAGTCAAGTCAAGTGAAAACAAATATCTCCGAACTGGGCTGCCGAAAAAATCTGGAAAAAATTGAGGGGCAGTTTTTCAGCCCCCCCCCCCCATGATAGAAAAGATCACCATTAATTTCCAAGAGGGTGAGGGTCGGCGGTTGACTCATTTGGCGTGGAATACCTCATATGCATATAGAAAAATCGAAATTTATTGACTTTTTCCTATCAAATATCTCATAGAATCAGAATTCCCTAGAATTTTAATAGAATCCCAATAGAATTTTCAAGCGAATTCCATAAGTTTTTATATTGAATTTCTTCATACGTGATGTCTTATTTGATTCAAACAGTTATTGCTGCCTGTATAAACAACACATGGGGATAAAAAAGCTCAATAACTTATGAGAATGAAATAAGTTAAGTGATTTGAAATTTTTTCCGGAAATCCATAGAGACCAACTCTAGTGTTCGATTGTCTTGGGATATACCTTAAATCTGAATAACGTCCATAACAATTTTACCAACAGGTCAGTATGGAGAACTATAATTCTCGGTCAGTTCCTGTCGATAGTTCTCTACTGGATGACGCAGTTGAATCATCACATAAATACGGTGTCCCTCCCGAAGCTTGCGATACCCACAGGTAAAATAAGAAATAAAAAACAGCATAAAGAGAGGAACAAGCTTCAGTGTAATGAAAATAAAAGCGTTGAAAAATGTTCAATTCATCGTGTGAATGGGAGAGAAAAAAACTCCACCCACTGCTCAGTACTGAATAAACGTTTCTCCCCTTACAATAGGACAAAATATGCCGCACTATGCAATGATGTGCCTGGTGTATACGACGTGGATGTCCTGCAGAGGTGCAGGCAATGGACTTTTCTCCGTCCTAAAATCCCGGGGCTGGCGGTACCTACTGCTTGCCCTCATAGATGTTGAGGCAAATACACTTATAACTTCCTCTCATCAGTTTACAAGCCTCGCCAGCATTCAGGTAAAGGCTCTATTGAAGAATAAAAAAGAATAAATCAACTTTTTAATCAACTTTGGTGCTCTCCATCTTTTCTTAATCCTGATGTAATCCGGAATTTCATATTTTTTTAAGAAAACAACTGGGGAGTGAAATTAAATTCGCCCGTTTAATTGATGCTCCCTCCTAGGGGAATTAATCACGGATTTAAATTAATTAGAACTTCGTTGCATTGAAATTTAGTTGCTGGATTGTGTGGCAATTCCCGTTGCACTCGCACTCTCGTGTCTTGTGCTTGGCGTGAGATATCGAATTGTTCACATTGTGGGAATCTCCGTCTGCCTCATGGGAGTTGGATGTCTTGTGTGGGCTGGAATCGATGACAATAAGGATCTTGGTGTTAATGGTAAGTTGAAAAATCAATACTACTATTGGAGATGAAAAATTATGGAATATAAAAATAACAATTGTTGCGAAATTCAATCGTGAATTGTATCCTAAATTTCTTGGAAATGGAAGGATTTGATGGTAATTACTGAAGAGAAGAAATTTTGAATCTGAGCACGCACCCAAAAATTTAATAGGAAAACCTAGCAAATTCATTGGAAAATGCTATTGGATTTCTATTGAACTTTCTATTAGTTTTTAGCCGATTCTATTGAAATGTTCAATTGAAAATATTTAATAGAAAAAGTCAATACAATTCGATTTTTCTATGTAACTTATACTCTTCAGATATTTTCTATAGAATTTTCTCCGCTCAAATTTTTTAATTTTTTAAATTCTATTTTTCATTTTTTCTCATCAAAAAAACTAAAAAAATTTCAACCGAGGAAATTCTATAGAAAATATCTCAATAGGATACGTTGTATACAAATACCAAATTCTACTGATAAAACATCCGTAGAAAACTTATGTTGAAAAAAAATGCGCAGATGAACCGCGAAATTTTTCCATAGAATCGGCTAAAAACAAATAGGCCCGGTCGCACCAGTTCCGGGTAACGAAAACGTCAGATAAGAAAAATGTAAATTTGGGTGTTAGATGGATTATTTTACCCGGCAGAGTATCTCAAACTTATCCCAGGAACAAAAAATAAAATTTAATCCCAAGGTTAAATTAGTGTTAATTTAAATGGAGCTATTGGATAAATAAAAAATTATTCTTCGGGTCAAATATTGAAAAATTATGACCCCTATGATATAATTGACTTCGAGGATAAATTTTATCCTGGGGTTTAGTTGGATAACAGGGCTTGGTGTAACCGGGCCATAGAAAGTTTTATTAGAATAATAAAATAAAAGAAAAAAATATATATACAGTAAATGAGAATGTATATTGTAAAGTAATTTAGATAAAATAGGTAGTCTAATAACTTCTATAAAATACCACGCACGGAAAAATTTAATAGAAAAAGTCAACAGAATTCGATTTTTCTATACCTATAACTTATTTTTTTCATATATTTTCTATAGAATTTGCTTGACTCAAATTTTCCATGTTTTTTTCATTCTATTTTTCTTTTCTTTTCATCAAGAAAATCAAACGAAAAAACTTGGAAAATTTGAGCCGAGGAAATTCTATAGAAAATATCTCAATAGAATAAGTTATATAGAAAAATTGAATTCTATTGACTTTTTCTACTGAATATTTTCTATTGAACATTTCAATAGAATCGGCCAAAAACTAATCGAACAGTTCAATAGAAATTCAATAAAATTTTCTAATGAATTCGATAGGTTTTTCTATTAATTTTTTTCGTCCGTGATGCCATAAAAAAAACTTTCTATCAGGAGTATTATGTTGAAATAGGCATATTATCAATTTCATTATTATACTTTATATGTATTTAATGTGGTCCTGTAATTGGCCATGGGTTGTTGGATCTTTATGAAATAAGAAGAAATGAAATCACATAAAAATTCAATAGAATTGACGAGCGAGTTCGTTAGGTTTCTCTAAAACATTTTTTCGTGAGTGAAACTGTGTGATGGTGTAGTTCGATTGTAAAATCCGTGAGCTACTCCCATTTACGAGGATTTCAATGATATCAAACTCAATCGCAAAGTGATGAGACTTGAAACCGTCGGAACATGCTGACAGAACAAATTGAGGAGACATCTCTTTGGAGGAAACCATAACGAAGACCCCTGATACCGGAATACCGTGCTCCTATCAATGGTCAATTAGTCGATTTGTTATCGTTGGCTATTCTGCAATGAATTTATTCGTGATTCATTGATAAGAGCTTATCATATTTTTAAGTACATAAAATAGGCTCGTGATAGTTTCCCTTCAATCTCATCACCTCTAAGATATTTGCAGAATAATTTTCGCGTGGATTTTTCTCTCATCATCTCATGCTACGCAATGCAAAACAAAACAAAATCCAGCGGAAAAAACTTAGAAAATTGGTGCCCACTAATTCTAATAGAAAAAATCTAAGAGAAAAATTCAAATAGAAACTTGAAATCTATTGACTTTGTCTTATTGAATATGCAATAGAATCGGCGCAAAAAACAAATATAATTTTTCAATAGAATTCCAAAAGAAATCCTAGAGAAAAATTTTGTAGCGAATTCGCTAGGTTTTCTATTGAATTTTTTCATGAGTGTCCTACCAAAGCCTCCCGATTCGTTTATTACACGTAGAAAATTACTCTTTTTATGTCGCGCCATGCAATAATTGACATAAAATATTATAGAGCACTCGGTAATAAATTTCGTTTCCAACGAATGTGTGTACAGACCTCGCCTTCGGCTCGGCCTGTAAACTACACATTCGTTGAAAACGAAATTTGTGCCCTTGTACTCTAATGTACTATTTTACTCTTCTATCGTAAAAAACAGAAGAAGCATTGGATCGATATCGACCAAAATCTCATCAGTACTAAGTCATGTCAAGACTCACCAATCGTAACATCGAGCAATTCTCGTGAGCCATTAATTTGGAGACATACACACATCCACATACCTACACACAGACATGTTTTTGAAAATTACTGAAACTGAGTCTAGAAACCTTGAAAGGCCAACATTTGCTGAAAAATAGAAAATCGATTTTTGGGGTAATTACAATAACTTCCCTTATTAGGAAGATAAAAACTATACGTAAGCGATAGCAGTGATGGGCATAGCAATCAATCATAATTACCGTTAAATTGTGACGCTGTCAATTTTTAACATAAATCTTAAAATTTTAAATATTAAAGTAACCATCAATTTGTACATTTAAATTTCGAAATATTCTATCAACCAATAATTTAGCTAGGAAGATTGACGATTATTTGGATAATTGAAAATCAAGTACCTAAAGTTAGGATTAGCTTGGTAACTAAAAAATTACATTTCAGTATTATCAAATATTTTATTCACCATCAATCGAAAAATTTAGCTAATAAATTCTATAATATTTTAAATTTGTTAAATATAGTTAAACTTTGAACAATATAACGAGATAATTCTTTTTAATGTTGCTAAAATCTAATATTATTGCCTATCCCTGGGCGATAGTGAGGTAACGTGGAACATTTATGATCGACTTTAAACTGACACTCGACTCAATCAATGTTGAATTAATACCCCACTAATCCTGAGTTTCATCCCCCTCAAATATTCTTAGTTTATACACTCGACTGTTCTTAATTCAAGAATTCACCGCTTCTTGTTTCGAGAAGTTTTCACCCTTAAAATATGTAGGTTTCTGGGACTCAATTTCAGAGATTTTCTTCAGAAATTCACTTCAATTTCAGAGATTTTCTTCAGAAATTGAGTAAGCATTTTGTTATTCTAAAGATAATGCATATTACAACCAAAAGTTTCTGAAAACCAGTAACTTTGTCCTGGAAACTAGAAACTTTTTCTCTTTGTGCACTTTCAATCGAACTGACTTTCCTCTAATAAAAAAGTGTCAATTTCATTTTTCATAGCAAAAAATCAACTCGTCGGTGACATGCTATGCCTAGGTGGAGCAGTCCTTTTTTCAGTGACAACAGTCCTCCAGGAATTGGCAGTAAAAAGCGTCGACATAATTGAATATCTCGGAATGATTGGATTCTTTGGGACCATTTTGAGTTGCATTCAAATGTAAGTAGACCGAACGAACCATTGATTTTAAAATGGAAAGCCTGATTTTTTTGCATCTCAACTCAGCGGGGTATTGGAGAGACTTCAAATCGAATCAGCCACCTGGAGCACAGCAACGCCAGTCGTCATTACTGCCCTAGTATTTTATTGCATCACTCAATTCGTATTCTTCTCCCTCGTTCCTGTTATTCTCTTCGAGTCTGGCGCAACGGCATTACAATTGGCCCTTCTCACTGCGGATTTTTTCAATGTTCTTATTGGGATGCTGGCCCATCAATACAAGGTATGGGGATAATAATGTTCGATGAATATCTTGTAGCATTATGACGTCGTTTGTGAGATATTGCATTCCAATTTGAACAGTCACCATTCATTTTTTAATGAGAGGACATCATATCTTACAGCAATCACGTGCGCAAAAAAATTCATAGACAAACCTAGTAAATACACTAGAAAATTCGATTGGAATTCTGTTGAACTTTCTATTAGTTTCTCGCTCATTTTATTTAAAAAAATTTAAAAATCCGCATTTTTTTGTAGAAATGTTCGATGGAAAATATTTTATAGAAAAAATCAACAGCATTCGTTGTTTCTATACAACTTATTCTATTGAGATCCATTTTCTATGAAGATTCCTTGGCTCATATTCTTTCAAGTTTTGTTGTTTAATTTTTTATATGAAGAGAGTAGAAAAATAGAGTCGAAAACGTACAAAATTTCTGTCGAGTAATTCCTGTAGAAAATGTCTCAATAGAAAAGTTGTATAGAAATCAGATTTTTCCTATAAATAGTTTCTATTGGACCGCAGTAACGGTTTAGAATCCTTTTACGCACAATAACATCCTCGTAGTCATGGAAATCATTGATTGATCCATCAACCAATCGCAAGGCGAATAAAAAGTTAACAATCAAAACAATCATTCATTGTTAATGAACTTTATGAAAAAGGAAAATAAAGGATTCCGGGTAGGATTTTCCGGGGAACAAGTATCCGGTAACCAAATGAGACATTTTTATAGAAAAACGTCAATCGAATTAGTATAGCTTTCGAACAGAAATTCAATAGAATTTTCTAGAGAAAGTGCTAGTTGTATGCATGAAATTTTCTCATACGTGTGGTAGCTGAGTTGCCATGAAGTATCTTTTTACTTTATGAATTCACGATTGAAATATTCCAATTTTTTCAGTTTCACACACTGTACTTCCTCTCTTACACATTGACAATGACTGGAATATTCATTTACGCTATCAAGAGAACCCCAATGTCTTCAGGCTCGAGGAGACAGCAGCACCTCGAGACGCCAGCTCCAGATTACAGGTAATAAAGTATCAAAATAATCAATTCTGTGATGAAGTGATGAAATAAATTTTTCACGAATATCTTTGAATCTAAAAGAAATAAAAAACGTAATTTCATAGAGAACTTTTTTTGTAGCTCCGTTTTAGGAAAATATATCGAGGGAAATAACGAATTTGAACCATTTTTATGAGCAAAATGTCGAGAACTCCATGCATACAACAACAATGGGAATAATTTTTGAAGTTGCTACTTATACACGCGGTTGAATGGGGCATCGATAATTTTAGGGTTCTCTGTCTGTTATTCCTCGAGGGATTTCGTGGAACAGACGCTGAACCTATCGATGTCTCATTCAAACGCGTGTAAAAGTCGCAACTGTGAAATTTTAGCTTCCGAAAGGAAGCTTTGTAATCGTTCTAACTTAGTTTTGGATTTGTTGTATTATATCCACCCATTATAATTCAAAATGTTCGAAAATGAAATTCTTAGACACTGTCCGTACGCATCGAGTTGAAATTTCGAAATGAAAATCGAACAAAAAAACAATCCAAATAACGTTCGGCAGATAATGGAGCCGGGCCTTAAGATGGGAATCTGACACAATTGTTAAAAAAAATCGCATTCAATTTAATAAGATAAGATAAACGAAGTATTATATACCACAGAAGCAAATGATGCGCAAAATGACCATTCGGAAGCAATAGCTAATTTATTAGCAAAAATACCTATTACATATGAGAATAAGAGTAGTTTCTCCACTTTCCATTGTTATTCCATTGTATTCCATTGTTTCCATTGTTATTGTGTGCATGGGGTTCTTGATATTTAGCATCCGGTTTTTAAACAGTTTAAATAAGGTGTTGAAAAATTTTCATTCAATTCTTTGTTTTTGCGGATCCCGCCGTAATACCCTTAATTCCTCGTTACCCTCACATCATCATCATTATCATCATCATCATCATAAAAAATATTTAAATAAAAAAATGCATGCCTCAATAATCTTCAATTGGCAAATCTCATCACATGAGAATCATCATCTTAATTTCATGTATTAAAAAAATCACACTCGAATGGGACTTAAAGTGACGTGATTTTAAGACGAATGTCTCACCCGGACGGTGGTGAGGTGGAGATGGCAACGAGCTCGGGTATGTCAGCAGTCAGTGGTACCCTGGATGTATTGGACATCAAAGCATCCTCGACACTGGGCAGCGAGCGAGAGACCATGGATGCAACGAGTCTCCCATTGAGTGTGAGCTCCGACACAGCTTTCACGTCATTCTATGGCAGTCAGGCCAATTTGTAAAATAATTCATCCCAAAATAAACTATTAAATTTCCATTTGAAGAATAGAAAAGGACGAAGAGGATGCAACAATGAATCCCAGTGATTCGCATCCCATTTCTTCCCTCTTCTCGCCGAGAGAAAAAAATCAAATGAAAAAAATGAGTCAAAGTAGATAGCATACTCTGAACAAAACGTGGACCACGTTGTGCGAGAGGAGTAATTTCAAGTTCTTCCTAGAATAATAATGTGCGGCCTAGAACCGCCGATAGGTATGTCTTCGCGTAAGGAAAAACAAGTTTTTCTCTATAAGAGAAACTTTGGAAAATTTATAACGAAGAATAACAATAATTGTTAACGATGAAAATGTTTTCTTTGTAAACTGAGAAAATGATTTCTCTCGTCTTCTAGTCGATCCGTGATATACGTAAATGAATCGTGCCAGTATTTAAATGACAAAGAGCACATAAAGTTAGTGCATAAGTTATTGATATATGACGACTTGTCTATCTGTTCTATTATAAACATTTTTATTTTCGATATACTTGAGCTTTCTCAACTATCGAGAGGGCTGCTATTCGACTGAGACAAATAATGTGCCAAATATTCCTTTCAATCGTTTATTCAGAACTGTTAGAATTACTTTACATAGATTACACAAAGTTTGTAATATATTTTCTGATATATTATTTTCATTTCAATTTTTTCTAATGAAAATAAATCGAGTTAAACGAAGAGAATATATTGGAAAAACTGAGGCAAGGTAATGTTAACTTATCAACACTGACTCATTCATACTTTTTATTGCTCAATCAAAAAATTTAAAAAAAAATACGGACATGTAATTTAGAAAAAAGTGTTTCATGGTCTACCAGTCTTTCTTTATACACTTTGTTACATTACTTAAAAAATAAACTCATAATAAATTCATAAATCTAGTAAAAATTTCTAGAGGAAGAAAGTGAAGAGTCGATATAACTTGGGGTTTTTTTTTCTTTCTAAAAATAAAAGTTCAAAGTAAAAATACTTTCCCTGATTTTTAATCGGACTTTGCTGGGGAGGCTGACCTCGACCGACTGTTTCTCTCGGAGCCCGAGCGGGAAGCACTGCGAGATCTGGATTTCGACCTGGATTTCGACCTCGACTTTGATCTCGACCTTGAACGTGAACCACTTTTTCGTGAGCCACTCGCTGATCTAGACCTCGACCGTGATCTTGATCCACTCTTTCTGGAGCCAGATCGAGACCTAGACCTCGACCGTGATCGTGATCCACTCTTTCTGGAACCAGATTGAGACCTAGACCGTGACTTTGATCTTGAGCCACTTCGAGAGCGACTCCGCGATCTCGAAGAACGCCTTGAGCCAGATTTCGAACGTGAACGTGAACGTGAACGTGAACGTGACCGCGAGCCACTTTTCCGTGAGCCTGATCTCGATCTGGACCGAGATTTCGATCTGGATCCACTCCTTGATCTAGACCTTGACACTGATCTTGATTTTGATCGACTCCTGCGGGAGCCAGATCGTGATCGTGACCGAGAATTGCTCTTGGACCTGCTTCTAGACTTGGAACGTGAACGCGAACGTGCTCCTGAACGGGACCGGGACCGGGATCGAGACTTTGAACGTGAAGCCCTGGACCCCTCTGAGTCCGAAAGGATCCTCTTCTTGCCTTTTGGTCCTGTACTAGTCCCTGCTTCATCCCTGGGAATATAAAGAAGAGGAAAAAATGATCATCTCCGAATAAAAATATACGTATTCCTTCTATTTTGCGCTCGGGGGATTTTCTATCTCAGGGCATGAATAAAGTGCTACTAAATTAAATCAAATCAAATAACCTAAAACCCTTTTTTTCATAGGAAAATAGATGTCAACGCAACTGGAAGATCCAATATGAAAAAAACGTGTCAGAATTGCTTTTCAGTAAATCTTTTCACGACTTTTGACAGCAAGAAGTCCCAATATGTGAAGAATTGAGTTCGCATGACCGTTTTTTCGTTTCAGTTGTGATAAACAACCTTTTTTACCGCATAAATTCTCACTTTTTACCCATGTAGAATGGACAGATAATATACGAAAGTGATTTTGAAAACTCATGGTATGTCTCCCCTGGATAATGCATTCCTTTTAAAAATAACTGACTCGAGGATCAAATCTCCAGAGACATCCTTTGAAGCCGAAAGAACTTTTTTTAACCAATTCCGCCTGATAATCTCACATTTATCAAGATGAGATCTGTTGACTTGACTAATTCTACTCCTTATTTCAATTTCTCCTACTTCTCCAGGTCCTTTCGCGGTCACAGCAATTTCAAGTCCAATAATAAACTAAGCTCCTAAACCGTCTTCTTTCTGCCAACGTCTCAAGTAGCTAATCTACTCCTCATTGGGGCAATTTATTTCTTTCTATCTATGCAAATCCAAAAAAACATATGAAATCCTTACAATTCGTGTCTATTGAGAGATTTCACTGCTCCAGATTCGTGATTCATCAATACAAATCATCACAATCATTACAATTCATGCTTCAAATAGGCATGATTTGTAATGACTTCCTATGTTTTTTTTTTATTTCCCTAGACGAAAATAAATAAATTGCCCTGATAAGAAGTGGATTTACCACTTGAAACATTGGCAGAAAGAAGATGATTTAATAGTTTACTTTATTTCTGGAGTTAAAATTGCTGTGAACTGCAAAATGGCCTGGAAAAGTACGAGAAATTTAAATATATCATACAGGCAGTTGGAAAAATAATTCAGTTCGAAATCAAGTGCTGTTACATACCCGCTGGCAATTTTGGGTTCAGCCTCACTCTCCGACTCACTAGTAGAAATAGTCTCCTTCGACAAGAACTTGGAGTTGTGCCGAGTGACTTCAGGAGCAGCACCCGACTTCCTGTACCTCTTCCCAATGCCCGCCTTCCTTCCCCTCTTCGCCTTGGGTCTATCACTCTCCGAGCCTCCACTCTCATCATTCTTCTTGCGCCCCTTCCCCTTGCTCTTCCTCTCCTTTCCTTCTCCACTGGCCTTCCTCTTCCTCTTCTTCTCCCTGGGCCCATCCTCCCTCCGTTCATCACCCCCAGAGCCCCCAGAATCACTGATATACTGCTCAGACCTGCTTTTCTTCCCCCTCCTGCCAGCCTTCTCATTGGGCATTTCCTCAAACACCAGCGCATTCTTCGTCTTCTCAACGAACTCCTGCCTCTTCTGCAGCATAGCCTCTTGTGTCTGCTTGCGCAACTCCTCCATCTGCTTCTGCTGCTCAGACTGACGTAACTTGAACGCCTGTCTCTCCTCCTCCTGCTTCCGCCTGAGCATCTTCTCCTCTTCATCAAGGCGCCTAGCTCTGGCCACATGATACTGCGCCTGAGAGAGAAGATCCTGGCACCTCCTGGCTTCTATCTCCGCCAGCTGAGCCATTCTATCCCCATTAGTAGTCAAATACTGGAAGTACTTGTGTGACAATCCCAGCTCGTGCACAGCCTGAAGGACAGTGGTCAGCGTTGACTTCTCATCCTTGAGAATCTGCGTTGCAAGTCGTTGAAGCACAAGAGCAATATTAAACAAAAGTATCGTATCCTGTGGAGCAACTCTTCTAGCCTTGAGAAGTGTCATCTTAGCCTCCTTCAACTTTCCAGCTTTGAAGTACGCCCTAGCGAGATACTGCAACACCTCCACATGATGATACTTATAAAACTTGCGAAGACAATTTTCGTACATCTGTATCGCACTGACGAACTGCTTCTGCTCAACGTAAATGTGTGCAATATTCAGCCAAACATCGCAGAACTCTGCAGTGGCCTCTCTGACCTGTGCAAATATATCACGAGCTTCATTGACAGCCCCTTTGTGAGCCAAAACAGCCCCAATCCCATTGGCCGCCCAGATGTTCTTCGGATCATTCCTCAAGACCTGCTTGTACATCGCGAGAGCTCGATCCTGATGTCTCTTCTCCTTCTCCTTATCCTTTCCACTCTGGTGGAGAGTCTGCAGCCAGATATTTCCAAGTGCAATGAGCGAGTAAGCGTCAGTACTCGTTGAGGGATTATTCAGAATCCTCTCGAATTTCCTCTGACCCGGCCCCCACTCCATCTTAGCTAAATGAAGATTACCGAGTAACGACCAGGCATCTGGATGCTCGCTGTTGATCCTGAGGGCGTCCTTGAACCAATCAGAAGCTTCGTAGATCTGTCCCTTATCCCTAGCCATACAACCCAGTCTCAAGTAGCAATCCATGTAATTGGGATGCTCCTTGAGAATATCTTTGTAGAGTTTCTCAGCACGATCGAAGACGCAGAGGGCCTCGTTCAATCTAGCGAGGTTGTACGTCGTTGTCACTGCAATTGAGTTGTAGTAAGTTGGGTCATCCTGTGCGTCGAATTTCGATCTTGCCAGGGACTCCTCCAGGTTCTTCCGAGCTTCCTCGAGGTTACCAAGACGATAATGAAGTGCTCCAACGTTGTTGAGTATCTCTGGGGGAATATCAGCTTCGACTTTCTCCTTGAGAATTCTCGTGGCTGTTCCATAGGCATTCAAAGCTGCTGTCAAGTCACTCTGCTCTAGGATCTGCGCCAGTTCGATCCAGGCTTCTACGTCGTCTGGAAACTGCTCGGTGACTTTTCTGAGATGATTCTTGGCAATGTCTCTTTTGGATTGTGAGGAAGAATTGGCGTAGAGAGAGCCCAGGATCTTCATAGTCTCGTAGTTTCCAGGTTGAGCCTTGAGGACTTTTTCAAAACACTGGGCTGCGTTCTCAGAGTCACCTCTGTAAACGTACATCTGTCCTAGACCGAAGTGGGGAAGTACGAAGGCAGGTGGGGCGAACTGGGTTGCCTGGTAGTAATACTGAAAGGCTTGGTCGTAGTCACCCTGGACGTGAAAGGCTCTGGCCAGTTGGTAACAACTCTCAGCTCTCATGGCTTCGTTCTCAGTGTTGTGGAAGGCGTGGAGGGCCAGGTGTTGGACTTTGGAGTAGTCCTTCTTGAAGAAGAAGTGGTTGGCCAGGTGATTGAGGACCATGGGATTGGTGGAGTCGATGGTGTAGGCCTTGGAGAGCATCTGGACTCCTGTTCTTATGCTGTCTGGCTGCTGCTGGTTGAGTTTGAGGACCGAGAGACCCACCAAGGCACCCACACACTGGCCGTCCAACTGGAGAGCCCTCTCGAAGGCTAATTTTGCTTTGTCCTGATTGTTTAATTTCATGAAGCAGTGACCCATTCCCAATCTCACAGCTGCTGGACAGTTTGGATTGGTTCGTAAGGCTTTTTTGTAGAATGCGAGGGCACCTCGGTAATCTTTCTTGTTGAAGGCGATGCAGGCTTTACCCAGGAGAGAGGGAATGTTGTTTGGGGATTGGTTGAGTACGAAATTGAATTGGGCATCAGCCTGCTCCATTTTGTCACCCTCCAGTAAGCAGAAGTATGCACGTCCCAGCAAGTGATTCTGATCGTACATGATGATCTTGTCGGCTGTCGTGTAGAGGAGCGTTGCTTTTGTAAATAAGTCGCGCTTCTTGTCCTTGTTCTTTTCGCGGTTTGCCTCCTGGACGTAGTAGGCTGCCAGCATGTCCAGGGCACGCATTTGGTCCTTTTCGTAATCACGGTAGTCGACATTGGCGTCGATTCTAGAAGACTCAAGGATCTTGATGAAATCCTCGATTTTGTGCTGTTTGTAGTACTCAAGCTGGTGAAGAAAAATTAGTGAGAACTCATTTTAGGAGAAAATTGTATTGTATTGCATTTGAGATTAATCTTCGTGGACTTTCAATATTCTGTATTATCTGGGCTATATCGAATTCACCCGGATGGACTTTTAATAGTTATGGATTCATTGGATTTTGTGTCGGGATATGATAGGGATGCCAGGTCGTTGGCTAATTATATCGAGTGCGCAGTCTTTATTAATAGGGAACTTGCATGAATTTTTTTCAGTTTTCTAAACTCAAGTTTGGGACCTAAATAATTCATTTTTCGTTCGCAAACGTTTGAAATATTGCTCATTAGTTAGGGGACAGTGGGGTTAAATGGACACTTTTTACTTTTTTTCAAATGCTAATGAATGACTGAATTGTTGATGAAATTGAATCATTTTGTTTTTCAATAAAAAGGGAGATTCTGCCCCCTTGAGAGGAGCCTAGACTGAGCTGACTTCATAAATATGTGTATGAGTTATGAATATTTTTAAAAAAGTCAAAAGTGTCAATTTTAACCCACCCTCCCCTAATAGTTAGTTGTTGAAAGTTGAAGATTTTAAACGCTTTAAAATCACTAATAACGTCCCTCTTTAACATATTTCCTCTTTATTCAATATTGTAACTTGTGAATTAAGGAAAAAATATATACATAATAAGAATAAGAATGGATTAAATTAAATTAATCTAATTGTGAAGACGGAAGTGGAAAGAAAATAAATTAAAATAAAATAGTATAAATTAATTTACTCACTAATCTAATCTATTCGCTAGTTTGAAAAAAAAATCATAATTGTCCATTTTACCCCGCTTTTCCCTAATCCAGTGGAAAACGTAGGAACTTCTGGAACTTTTCAGAGAAGCCTAGATTCTTGTAAAAAATTCTAGAAAATTCACCAGTTTTTTTGGAAAATTAGAAGACTATGTTGGGTTTTCTAAAAATTTTCAGTTTTTCAATCATAATATTATTCCAGGAAATCTCAAGAAGAAAATGAAAGAACCTCTTTTTTAGCTAGTGAAATAGTTTACGAACAAGTTCTCATGCTATTTTCTCCAAAAATAAAATAATTCTGAAGATAATTCCATAATTAGCATAACGAGATGAATCAATTTGTTACGTCCTACTAATCCTGAGTTTTTCAGTGCATAAATAATGCTAAATACTTGTGAAAATATTGAACTTACAGCCAAATTGACCCAAATGCTGAGTTGGGCATGCTCCTGCCGTAGAATACCGAGGACTTCATCTCCCTCCGGTAATTGATCCAGACACAATTCAATCACCTGCAAATAACGCGAGATAAATGTGAATATATTGTTGAAATGTAGCACACTGCACACCCTCAAACCCTCAAGGCTTTCACTCTCACTGGGATTTGGAGGTTAGGTTCACCGTTACGTGTGCAAGCGGTTGGCATAAGCACTGGTTACTTTATTACTTCCAATGTTTCTACGTTATTCAATGAATTAAAGATAAATCAATAATTAATTTTATGTGGAAAAAACTCACCTCATCTGTATCGCGGAGTGGAATCTCGATGGATCCCGCCATGGCGGTGTGAATAACGTCTGATATCCACCGAAAAACCTGAACGACTAGTGCAAATATAAACTCCAGCTCCACACACACACTCGCGGCGAATGATGCCGACACCGGCCGAACAATGCCGAGTGCCGCAATTCAATGCCAAACGCGCAAATGAAAAGATATCGGAAAAAATTTCTTCTCCCATTGTTGATAATAATAACGATTGACTCGTTACAATGAGGAATGTATCATATTTTTGTGCGACAACGGTGTTATCTTTATTCGTCATATCACAGTGTTAGCTTGTACTTGTTGGTTTACCGAATTTTCTTCCCCAACGACATTCCCCCGACGTTCACAGCCCCACGCCCCCCTTTGCCAAACCAAATTTTTCTCGTACCACTTCTTTGCACATTTCTTCCTCAAAAAAGCATCCAACACAAATTTTTTCTTCCGTTTAAGCCCCCTTGTTTCTACGTAAAGAGCATCGGAAGTGAATGTTTTTTGTCTATTAGTGTTCTATCCACGGACACATCATGATTAAACTACCCTTCGGCCGGGCTACGCTGTACTTTAGGATATTTTCAGTTTTTAAATTTTTCAACTAAATTGCATGGAAAAAATTTGAAAAAATTCATACTCAGTCAGTATTATCTAAATTAAATTTCGCAAAATATTGATATTTTTTCAAACATTTCCCTCTTATAATTGAATAATAAAATTTGTTTGCAAAACGGTGGATTATTTTTTATGAGGTGTCAAAATAATTCTTGATTTTTTCACATCTAATGGAAAAAAATGCAGATTTTAATCTTTGATTACAATGGAAATGTTGATTTTCACATAAGACACTGGGTTAAATCCTGATTTTTAAACATTTCTTCTTGGAAAAACCAAAACAATAATTAAATTGAGAAAAAAATTAGGATTGCGAAACTAATCTAGTTTTCTGCAATTTTTTTGCAGTTTTCAATAATCTTTGAATTTACCGTAAGGGTAGAGCTACTTTAAAGGAAATAAACCTATTCAATACTCTTTTTTCTCTGTAGAACTAAAATTAAAGAAGGGATATGAAAAGAAAATAAAAAGGGAAATAATTAGTGCTAGCATGAGTTTTCGAGGAAGAAATGGTACAAGGAAAATTTGGAGGTGAGGAAATATCAGGGAAATCTTATAGGGCAAGAATTATCGAGGGAAAAATGGGCCGCCCACTTCCTAGCCGCTCTAATTTTGGAAATTTTGGTTGCAGACTTAAATGTGAGGAAAAATTGAAATAAAGATTGTCGTCCTCAATGTTATTTGTTTGTCATTTGTTCTTTATTTATTAAAGACCCAACAATCAAGGGCAATTATTACAGGGTCCAATCATGTCACATGGACCTTATACAAAATAAATATACACATATATACAATAATTGTAGTTAAAGAAGATGCCGGGCAATATCGGTGATCAATGGCATAATAATTTGTTTAATACAATAATGATCACTCCACAGGTTTTGAAAGAAATCTATTATAATTCACGCTCGAAAAAATTTAATAGAAAAACCTATCGAATTTGTTAGAAAATTCTATTGAATTTCTATTAGACTTTGTATTAGTTTTTGGCTGATTCTATTGACATGGTCAATAGAAAATATTCAATAGAAAGTCAACAGAATTGGATTTTTCTATATAACTTATTCTTTTTATATATTTTCTATAGAATTTGCTCGACTCAAGTTTTTTTCATTCTATTTTTTTCTTCTCATCAAGAAAATCAAACGAAAAAACTTAGAAAATTTGAGCCGAGGAAATTCTACAGAAAATATCTCAATCGAATAAGTTATATATAGAAAAATTGAATTCTATTGACTTTTTCTACTGAATATTTTCTGTTAAACATTTCAATAGAATCGGCCAACAACTAATAGAACAGTTTAATAGAAATTCAATAGAATTTTCTAACGAATTCGATAGGTTTTTCTATTAAATTTTTTCGTCCGTGATAGAAAATCAGTTTAGAAGGAGCTTGTATAGTTTTGTCACATTTTTATTTCGATTATCAACCTGTCAGTCATTATGAAATAAATATAAATTTATACGTATTTAGCTACAGTGGACTTCTTCTATCTTCTATTCGTAATTGGTTATATCCTCTAACAGCAGTAGAGGCAAGCACCATTTCTCCTCCAAGTAATTGATGGTTATGGTTACACCCCCCAGGGGGCAGTACCGAATAGTTCAAAACTTCTTTCTTTTCTTGTTTGATTCGTTCAATTCTTTTCTCTTTCAAATTCAAAATACATCACAGGTGAAACATGATCAAAACAACACCATCTATCCAATGCTTCGGGAAATCCCGAAATCAGGATATTTCATTTCAAATATTTTTCACTCGGTTTGATAGAACCTTGATGATTGATGTTTACATTCGTGTGTCCTTGGTGTAAGAATTTAAATCTGATCTTCGATTTTATTTCCACTGATTCTATATACTGCGGAGTTCGTTGGTAGTCTTTAAGACTACTATTAATTCTCGGAGAGCCAAAAAGAAAGGAAAAGAAGAGGAAGGAAGGAAAAGAAGGAGCAGAAAGGAAAAGAAGAAAGGAAAATGGAAAAAAAGGAATAGATGTTAAAGAAACAGGATATGTTCCCAACTCGGGCTAGAATATCCTGTAGTACGGAGCGACCGAGTGAACCGCTCCGCTTGGCGTCTCCCAACGAACTCCAGCTACAGTGGACTTCCTTTAGCTCTTACTATCCGTAGCTCGGGGGGCGTGTCCTAGCGGCGGGGAATGTGTCCCCCACCGCACTAGTGACGTCATGCACGAGCGGGGAAGCGTTGTGTGTCGTCAGCCGGTATGTTACAGCGTTCTCTCTCAGATAATGACGCTGTCTCTCTCGCGGAAGCACGTCCCTGCGCATGTGGAGGTGGTAATTCCCAGGCTCGAGTTCTTGGAATCAGACTCCCGAACGCTATGAGCTATAGGAAGTCCACTGTATTTAGCCCTAAATCTTGGACTCTAAAGGATTTTTTGTGGAAAATATTGCATCAGGCGGGCGTTCGTATTTGTTCGAATTCGTTTCATATGAGGAACAAATATGGACCTTCGTCTGACACAGATCGGATGAAACAAACATCTAAAATCCGTCTGAGACAGATTCTTTATATTTTCTGAAACATCCCAAAAAATTTTATAAAATCACTATTTTCCCACTATTTTGATTTGATCAAGTGTCCATTTGCGTCATTAATTCGCGATCCATGGATTTGGATTTCGAAACCCGACATTTCAACCGACTCAGTCATCACAAATCCTACTCCTAAGATTCCATTAGTATAAACATTCTCGATTATAGTATGAGTATAATATTCTCCCTTAGGTTGAACACAGGATACGGAACTTCTTAATTCAGTAGTGAAGCGATAAAACGGTTTAAGTCTATTTAGGTTTTGGCTGAGTTTTTGAGAACAATGTCCGAATCTAAAGGAGATAACGAAATTTTTGCAATAGCCGTGTTAAAGATTGAGCTAATGTTAGGGTGGATTGGGGGGAAGAGTGGTGTAAAGGTGAAAATTAAAAGACACGCGGATTACAAAAACACACTGGTGACTTTATTAGTGGCGCAAGCCACGCGTCTTCATTTATATTACACGGACCGTTGAATATCTCAATATTAAACTCGATAATTGTCTTTACACTGCACTGGATAATCTCTGCATGTTTGGCAAAAAAAAATCAATTTTTGATAATTTGCAAAAAACTATTTTCTTGGCAAAAGCAAGACTTATTTGAGAACTCAGTCGTTTTTCTCTCAGTGTAGATTCAATATAACACGATGATGTACTCCGTTGAGCGGTTACGTTGATACTGAATTCATATTTGACGATTTGCTCCATGATTTGACCCTGAACCCGAAGGGTCCCGCAGTCACTCGAGATTTTCCGTTGAGACCGGTAACTTTTAATGATGAATTATCTTCTGCATTTTAAACAAACCCTTTTTGCAGAACGAATTGAGAGCTACAAAAAACATCTTGACAAAAATTTTGCAATCTCCACGGAGAAATTTTTTAGAAACATTCTAGTATGAGTACTGAAAAAAATCACAATCCACGGGTTGTAAAAAATTCTAGTGTTGCTAAGGTAAAATTTCTCAGGATTTCTGGTAAAATTTCGGGGGATTTTTGTGAAATTTTCACAGAAATACGGGGAAAAATTCAAGTTTTCCCAAATAAAATTTCCAGTGCTAGCACTGGAATTTTTCCATGCCCGTCACTTTGCGCCCCCTTTACCGTGCTAGCTAGTCCCTTAGATTCCGAGATATTCATTAAAAACTGGCCAGTAGTCAAAATCGACTTAAATGTTCTTACCGCTTCGCTACTGAATTCAGAAATGAATATTCTCCGTTCAAGAATACCTTCCGGAAATTCCGAGAAGAAAAAAATCTTTGGTGCCAGCCACAATTTTTTCCTTGAGTGTCCAGCACTGAGCGATCTAAAAAAATACTAACCACCAATGAATCACTAAATGATACGTACAACTAAAGGAACGTTAACAACAAATAAGAATACTATTTTTTCCCTCTCTCAAGAAGATATTACTAGGATGACGATAGAAGTACTTTCAGAACTGCGTCCTCCCTGAATTTATCGAAGAGCATTGTCTCGTAATTTCTAGGAATGGAAAAGTCCCTGTCGACTTTCACAGGGCCTTTCAAATTGACCCTGTCCAGGATTACATGGGCCAGTCTCCTCTCACTCTCGATGTACCTCTCATCCAGGGTAAACCACAGAGCGAGAGCACATCTCTTCCCTTTCTTGATCCCCTGGACTCCGTGGAGGTTCTTGCCATCAGCGGAGAACGCGACCATGCGTCCACACTTTGGCTTCACTCTGCTCTCGATGATTCTGGCCTTGGGATCAGCCGAAAACACAAACTCACCGCCCTCAAAGTCATCGTTGAGGTAGACAATGGCTGAGTAGTCTCTCCATGTGAATGCAGGATTCTGATGGAGACAGACTCCTTCTTTAATCGCCAGACAATTGTCTGCGTGGATCTCGTGACTGAATGTCAATCCATCCGGAGATAATTCTAGAAAATGTATTGAATTTTTCTTTAGTTTTGTATTGAGGATTTTCTGGGGTGAATTCTAGGCAACTCGTGTGCACTGTTGAGCCGTAAGAGACTTCCTTACAGAGAGAGGTATTGAGATATCGATGCGACAGGTAGGTGGACGAAAAAATTACCAGGGAGAGCCGATCGGCAGACCAAGTGGGTGTATGTGAAGTAGAGGGATTGAGGGAGATGGAAGTATTCTTCTACGTGACTGCGGGCGAGTTCAGTGGCTCGGAGGAAGAGCTCCAGGTGGATTGGCTCGAGGAGACCGAGGTAGACCATCTGAAAATGATTAGATTAATTAGGAGGTGTTTTTTTCCCACAAAATAAGTACGATTTCTTTCTCTGCGAATAATTATAGAGCCAGAGAGTGCTGGAGATGATTCTCCCGAATTTTCATTACCAGAGCTGTTCTTCCTAATGTCAGGCCTTCGAACTTCTCGAATTTGGAATGAGGACTCTTGTTATTGGTGTATCCGTCTCCTTCGACTGCTGCGATCTGTGATTAAACACAAAAATTTACTAATGAATGAAGGAAGGAGAAGAGATTATTTTGCGAATACATTGTTCTATCAAATTCACTAGACAATTCTGTTGGATTTCTATCGAACTTTCTGTTAGTTTTTTGTCGATTCTGGTGAAATATTCAATAGAAAATATTCTATACAAAAATACTACAGATTTCAGAATCCAAGGTCATGGGGTATTGGAGAAAACAATAAACTGCACTATGTTATTGTCAATACGCGACGTTTTGCTTGTAATTCAAGCTTCTTCAGGCTCTGGAAACCAAACATGTACATAAACTTCATTCATTCAATACAATACTACAAAAAATGAGAAATTAAATCGTACAAATCCATGAAGTTACTCAGAAAAACAATAAGGGATAAATAATTCACGTTAATAGGCAGAGCCAATCAATCTGTACGTCTAAAAAACCAAATTAACAGGGCGTAACCAAAAAATCATCATTTTGACTTGGGCCATAATTTTCAAGTTCGCTGGAAATTAACAACGATCTTGGATACGGAGTGTAATTGGAGGAAGAGGAACACCGCTCCTCTCAAATTTTCCAAGTTCTTTTTGTTTGATTTTCTTGATAAAAAAAAGAGAACAATGGAATGAAAAAAACTTGGAAAATTTGAACCGAGGAATTTTCTCAATAGAATAAGTTCTATAGAAAAATCGACTTCTATTGAATTTTCTACAAAATATTTTCTATTCAACATCTCAATAAAATCGGCCAAAAACTAATAAAAGGTTCAATAGAAATCTAACGGAATTGTTTAGCTAATTTGCTTTTCTGTGGAATTTTTTCAAACGTGACACTTTACAGTTTTTACGGATTCTTTCTTCCGAGATTTTAGCTACCCATTACAGAATTTATTTGATTTTTATTTTGCGTGAGAAAAGTTTGAAAAAATCATGAATATTCAGCGCCCTTCAAAGTATATTTTGCATAGAATTTTTATTTCTTTAAACATTCTTTGTTTATAAACAAATAATTTAAATTGTTTAAACTTTTGGAAATCTTATTTGTTTAGGCATGAAATCCATTTCTGTTAACATTCTGAATTAAAATAATTTTAGAAAATTGATTGTTTATAAATTATTCACATAAAATGCTCGTAATTTCAAAAAGTTGCATTTTTTAAATTATTTCATCAGTCTTCCTCCCAAAGTAAAGTTTGTCATTTTTTTCTGATTTTTTAAATATTTTCTAACGGTTCAATATCGAGATTCAAATTCAGACTTGAAAAGTTCAAATAGTAAAATCATTGTAATGTGTCCGGAAGCACAGAGTCAAACGGGGCTTAAATGGAAGCACTGATGTTCGAACTACAAAAGTAGAAAAGCATTTCACTGACGAAAAAAGAGCCAAAATACTTGAATATCCTTAAATAAAAGAAAGAGATAAAGTGTGAAAAATGTTTGTGCACGTATGAAAAAATCGTATAGAAATTTCCTATACGGATTGCGCATAGAATTTCTATAGGATTTTCATACATGATATTCGGAGATATCTATACGGATATTTTTTATACAAATTATTTCTATACGTTTTTTATAGGTTTGACCCTATACGACCCACTGCCACATGTATAGAAACATTTCGTATGGAGTTGCGACATTTCTCTACGTTTTTCTCTGGAGCGTTTAGACATCTTTCGTATGAAAACATAAATTTTCGTAAAAATAATTCGTATAGAAAATATTCGTATAGAAATATCCGAATATAATATACGGAAATCCTATAGAATTTCTATACGTAATCCGTATAGAAAATTTCTACACGATTTTTTGATACGTGTGGTTCTGGAGATAAGGGGCCGAGTGGTATCACCTGCTGAGCGGTATAGGCACCGTTTCCTTATTAAGTGCGTTAGAATTTTATATTCAGCTCTTTTACACCATTATTTAATTGTTCAAAACGTAGACGAATATTATTTCGTACCTCCGCTAATTGAATTAGCGATTTGCACTCTTTTTCTTTCAAAAACCCTTCAGCCAAGTATCTCTGCTTTCCTCCCAGTTCCTTCTCCTCTGCAATGACCTTTATTCCTCGGATTTGCGGAGTTTGCGATTCCCGCCTCGAATTCGGTCCTCCCTTCTGTTGACTCATGTTTCCCGCTCTCGATTCGTTCATGTACACATGTCGGAACGAGCGATGTCCCTTCGTCTTCAACAAAAAGAAATCATACTGAATCTTCTGTTTTCATAATGAAAAACCAATGGATTGTTAATCATACGTGTAATTGAAAGACATTAATTTGAATCGCGTCGTACATCTGCCTCCCACATTGTCTATGACACTCTTATCTCCGCTGTTATGAGATTTTTTTTTGGAACAGAAAAATAAACCAAATGGACTACAGCTGCAGCTGCGCCACCGCAGTACATGTAGAAATCACTCTCCACCTCAAATATTTACTTCGAAGTGTTTATTTTGCTTTCTCGTTTATTTATTCATCTTTTACATCATACAAAATACAAAGTAGAAGGAGTAATATTACTAAAAATCGTTTTCTAACTTACGATTTTAGTACCGAATTAATAATCCACAAATTAATTAATCATAAAGAATATATATACGATGAAAATCATACAATTTTCCACATCTCAAATTACCTTTTCATTATAAGCATCAGATTTTTTTGCATCGGACATTCTAGCATCAATCGCTGTGAATTCATCAGCGATATATCTGAGAATTCTCAACTCGTACTCTTGGCGTTTAACATAATTAACTGCCTCCTGAAATAAATTAAAAAAAGAGTAAGACGTACGAATAGGACAGAAAGGAGTAAAATACAGTAAATGAACCAAATGAGGATATCCAAGTACTCTGCCAATTTTTTACAATTGATTTTCTACCTTTGCCAGTTTATTATTTTAACCTCGGAGGCTTTTGAATTTGGCACTTAATTTCCGAACATGAGGAAACATTTTAAACAGCAAACAGGAAACATTTCAAATATTGTTTCACGAAATATTTTAAATGTTTTTGAACCATATGAGAAAGTCTGCTGTGGAGGAAGATAAAATTTAAGAATTTTTGAAAATTACCATTTTTTTTTATAAAGCATTCGTAAACAATTAATTTTGCACCCTGAAAATAGTGTTTTCAATTTTTTCTATATTCAGAATTTTAACAGCAATTGATCTCATGTCGAAAAAATAACATTTCCGAAAATTAGAACAATCGCTATCTTTTCTTTATATGAAGAGGAAATATGAAAAGAGACTTTTTGCTAAATGTAATTTGAATGATATTGTTTATCCATGAAATTCATCAAATTGTCTCAGGCAATTTAATTCACAAATTTGTTGATTAAAAAGCAATTCTTGGAGATCACGGCCTCCTCTTATAGATAATTTATAAGAACTTTTCATGTTAAAAATCATCCGCGAAATTATAAAAGATTTTCCCATATTCAAAATTTTACCAGAAGTTAATTTTCTATGAAAAAAATAATGTTTACGAAAGTGAAAACTGTTCCCATAATTTATTGGTTACAACGAAATGTTGAAAAAATATTATTTTTGTTGCTAAATGTAACTGATGCAAATTGTCTGATTATCCGTGAATTGAAATTATCCTCACGTAATTTAATCAGCAAATTTGATTATTGAAAATGTCTGAATCTGCAGTATGGCCCAAACTGTCAGAAGTACTTGAATCTCTTAGAGAATCACAAGAGATTGTCTCATGTATTGAAATCGGTACCGGACGTGGAGTGAAGAACTCATCCTGTTGCTCCTCCACCTTTGGTAATTTCTTATAGTACTCTTTATTATTCAGCATTGTCTCATCAGCGGGATAGAAGAGCAGGTAACTCTCAACTGCTTGACAAGTGCTCTTGATCTCGCCCACTAGAACCATAAAGTTCATTCAAGAAAATTGTTAGTGACATAAAGAAACTCGTAAATTAGTCATAAACTTGATAAGCAGAGTTTTTTGCGGTCAAGGATTTGTGCACACACTTTGCTCCCTTCAAATATTCTTCTCCATTTTATGGCGATTGTCCGTTCGTCAATGACTCCTCAGAGGAATGAAAAAAAGTTTCGGTAATGTGCAGAAACAGTAGAGTATTTCCAAAGAAAATGACAGCTATGATAGCAATGGCGAATGGAGATGAGGTCATTTTATTAACGGGATAAACTGTGGTGTGAGAAGATCAAGGATTAAGGTATTTGTCCCTGAATTAGGCACTACTTACATTTGTAATAGGCAAATTGTAAGTAGTTGTAGTGACTCGGTAGAAGGTCCCTTTGATAGTCGCCGTTGAAGTTGTTCAGCAATTGGGAGCACAGTCTTTTGCACTTTAAGCAGTACGTGAAATGATCTGTAAAAACAATTTAATCAAGTCTTACATCATTTAAACATCAAATATTTATGAAACTATGTGAATCGGTCTCCGAATATCTACAGCATGAAGGTGTTAACGAGAATGCAGTAACCGAACTTATTTTTAATTCTCGAAAATGAATATTGGTTTTATTAGTTGCGTTTCCTTAGTTCACACATTGTGATGAAATAGTATATTATGTCACCAGGCGATAAAAGTATTATCTGACGAATGTGACTTTATAATCCGAGCGGAAGGCGAGGATTATAATCACATCATCTTATCTAGCTTCAACTTCTGATGAATCTTCATCAACCTCTCTCCTCCAACGATATTTCCAAAATAATTTCATGCTGATTTGAATAATTAAACTCACTTGCTATAGAAGAAGTAAACTCGGGATGCCATCCCTGCTCAAAGGAGCCCTCGCAGTAGAGCCTGCATTCATCCTCAGACTTCATATACAACTGCAAAGATTTTTCAAAGTTCTCCGCGGCGTCTTCATAGAGCTTCTCCCCATAAGCTTTAACAGCTTTCATGTAATATTCGAGAAAAGGTGACATTTCTAAATTTTTCACTTCATTTTCATCAACTTCCTTCAAAGTTAAGTAGTACCGAAGATTCTTTGAGCTCAACTCGTGCTGTGGATGAAACGTCATATATGTGAAGAGTGCGTTAGCAGCTTCTTGGAACCGATTTCTCTGAAAATAAATAAAAATAAGTGGGAAATTGCTCTTGTATTGCATATAGTATAGTTATTTTTGCTAATAAATTCGCACTATGCTTCCGAATGGCTATTTTGCACATCATTCCCTTCTATCATGTATAATTTATTGTTTATTTTATTTGATTAAATTGAATAATAGTTCTTTTTAACTAATTTTGTCAGATTTTCTACTCAGTTGAATGTTATTATCACCATTATTTTTATTATGCCTTTCTTTTATTCAACCGATTGTCTTTTTTACAGTTCTATCTCTCCCCTCAGCACTTCGATAAAATGTTAATAGAAAAATTTTATCTATACATACTTAAATGAATTTGAAACATCACTTTTGAAAAAACCATCGGAAAGCTCGCTTTCAGCGAAATTCATGAAAAATTCAAAATTTTCAACAATCGTCATAGAAAACAAGTCAACCAATATAGCTTTTGTAATCTTTTAACTTCGACTTAATGGAATTCATTTGAAGCATGATATTCAAAGATATCCACGAAATTTTTATTTTCAAAAAATACAAAATGTTTGCAAATTTTCAAATAAATCAAAATAACGATTATTGCTATCGTCTTCATCTTCGAACTCGGTCACAAGGGCATCCAAACAAATTTTTGTAAGCCATCATTCAATCAATTCAGAACATTTTCTTTGTTATCGTGGGACAACCGATTTTCGCAAAAATTCAAAGATTAACACTCCGTTGTTCGCGCAAAATTTACGAACACCGTTGGTCGCGCCGTGAGCGCCGCGCCGCACCAGCAGAATTCGACATGCTCATGGGAAAAGTGTTTTTTCTGTACTGCTTCTTACGATTTCTCGTCTGGGAATTGGTATTACATACTTCCCAAACTCGAAAATTTGAAAATCACTACAGAAAAATATTGTTCCTGGGCTGTTGCGATGGGGTTTTTTTACTCGTGTGGCGTTGGCCTCCGAGCCGTAGGCGAGACCAGGCAACAGGGCGGAAAAATACTATTTGGCTCGTGGGATTATATCACTCGCTTTCAGCTCGTGCTATAAACCTCCTACGAGCCAAAACACACTTTTTCGCACTCGTATCAAAATATACTATTTCGGCCTTTTTAAAAATCCAAAACTTAAATTTCAACGATTACAAAGCTTCCATTCGGAAGCAATTAGTTATTTTCCGTTGGGAACTTCCGGAAACATTAAACGGGGAATTTCTTCATGATGGATGGTAAAAGTGTCATATAGAGGAGACACTTAAACTCAGACTATCAACTATCACAAAACCTCAGCATTTCCCGTGCTCTCCAATATCACAACGCATTGCGATCACCTTTCTTCCGTCAACCATGCCCATGTCAACAGGTTTCTTCCATAATTTTTCATTTTTGCTGGATTACTTCATTTTGGAGAGATTGGAAATTGGTGTCCAATGTTGTGGGAACAAGTTTCCGGTAAATGTCGGGTGGTCATTGACTGATTAGGAGCCACATGTCAGGGCCAGTCAGTGATAGTGCACGAGTTTTGGACGGATTGTCGGTGTCTCAAACGTCACTGATTATCATATCTACATGAAAAATAGTATCTCGAAACAATTTGGTCGCTGAATAGAAAAACAAGATGCGTCAACTTATATTTCAGGGTGAGTTTTGGATAAATATTTTCGATGCCAAGGGAAATGGGGAAGTCTTCTCAGGCTCTCTCCTGTAGAGCGAAATGAGAGTTACAACGAAAACTTTGAGGGAGAGTTTGCTATTTTGGAATCCAAAGTAGTACGATTCGTCGAACGCTAGTGATGGAATGGACGAAGGTTGTAAATAACTTGAATATTGAAAAGTTTGTTTTCTATTTTTTTTCGATTTGTTTTGTTATTTCCTTATTCCTTGGAGAGGAAAATCACATTCAATCGGAGTAGCCATTTCCCTCGAAATGGATACGTGAAGCGGTTCAATTACTGGAAGAGTTCGAATTCTGATCGTCCTAACCGATTCAGCAAATATTGAGCTCGTAATATAAGGTGAATCATCAAGTAGTTTAACACGCTCAGTAGTTGAATTGATTGATGTATTTTAACTTTCATAAAAATTTTCCATATAGGAGTGTAATTGAATTCTATCGATTCGATCACTAGTATTTACTACTACATCAATTTTATTTGATTGAACACTAGACGATCCACTTTAAATCAGTTTAAATTAGAGCGCATTTTAAATAACTATCTTCGAATCGGAAAGAGACAGGAAAATTCACGAAAAGTTGAAAAGTTTCATGAGACTTGCCTAAACGAATGAGAAATCCATTGTTCTTTTTTTATTTTCTTTTGATTTAAGTATTTTTTCCTTGTTTCTTGGAGAGGAAGAACAATACATTCCACCGAAGTAGCCATTTCTCTCGGAATGAATACGTCAAGCGGTTCAATTACTGAAAGAGTTCGAATTCTAGTCGTTTCACCCGATTCAGCAAAAATTGAGCTCGTAAAATAGGGTGAATCATCTAGTGTTCCAACACGTTCAGTAATTATCTCCGTTTACGTATTGATCTTATGAAAATAGAATTTTTCGTCACTAGATCGACAAAACCGTTTCTGACGAATATGAGTTTGCAATACGAGCCGAAGACGAGAGATGCAATCATATGCGCTGAACTCATTATTTTTGTTACGGCGGCCGTAGACAGGGATTCAAGGGCGCGCAGTGTCTGTGTAGCACTGTCTTACGGCGGAAATGACGAAAATAATAAATTCCGAGACGAGTAAAAAATTTTGTAAAAATTTTCCATGTTCGAGTGATTAATGAATTATATTGATTCGATCACAGGTATTAGATGCATCTTATTCGTTCGAACACTACACGATTTAACAACAGCATAAAGCCCATTACAGAATCAAATTAACAACATACATTGTGCGTAGTAGATTTACAAGGAGAGGTCACGCCTTTCGGGTCACCGATTTGGCTGGGTCTCTGTGTATTTCAAAAGGCCCACCGGTAGAGTGCATCCCTAAATCCCTAGGGTGCACAACTCGGAAATAAGGGAGAAATTCCTGTTCAAACTTTTGAGTTCAAGACTCACACCAGATTTTTTTTTTTATTTTCGCAGAAAATGTTCCTTTTAGCACAATTCGATGATTCAGATGATGGGAAATGAATTTCAGGTCAGAACAATGGCATAGCATAGGGCGCCAGGGGGGGGGGCGGAAGGGATGAACAGCACGACCAGCATTTGAGGCCAGGTGTTTAGGATATAAAAGGTCGATCCTGCGAGTAAACCGTCAGTTGAAAACCAACATCCAAACACAGCAGACGTATATTTTGTGAGCTGTGTCCCCAAAATTAGTGAAAAAGTAGGATAAAATGGAGCGAGAAGCTGCATCATTATCTCATCGTCTAGCACAGGAGATTCTTCGCAATTCTGTTCATAGTGAGGAATCGAAAAAACTCCTCAAAGAAGCCGTAAGCCACTGTGAAGAGCTGTTATTGAGAAATGATCTCATAGTGGAGGAAACGCCAACGACGATTTCAGTACCAGCGGCGCTGGTGGGAGAAGAAATCTTCCATCAGATCACGGAAATGTTGGGAGAGAGACAGATGGTGGAGGACGAGGAATTAATCCTTCCCAACGAAGAAGACGTGGATCAACTGTATGAGGCTGTCGAGGAAGCTAAGAGCTCCGATTCTGATGAGTACAAGCCTCCCGAAGAAAAAAAAAAAGAAATTAGACTTTGTCCCCCTGGAAACGAAGATCAAGGTGCTGAGGTTGGCTAGAGAACATCCAACTTGAAGCTTGGAGACACTCCAGAGGAAAGGCTCACGGAGTTTGAAGAGAAAGGATGACTTGAAGCGTTGGGAGCAAGATGTCGCAAAGGGAGGAACAGTCTATGAAAAATATGCTGCCATCGATTCATGGACCTATGATCGCTTTGTAGAGGCTCGGGGAGAATACGCACAGGTAAAATTTGACTTGAACGTTTTCCCTTCCTAAGGGGGGTAAAATTCATTTTCCTTCCTAAGGCAGGAAAATGAACCAACAGTATTTTTTTTATTGCAGGTAACAACGAGTAATTTGCGGGAGTGNTCGGGGAGAATACGCACAGGTAAAATTTGACTTGAACGTTTTCCCTTCCTAAGGGGGGTAAAATTCATTTTCCTTCCTAAGGCAGGAAAATGAACCAACAGTATTTTTTTTATTGCAGGTAACAACGAGTAATTTGCGGGAGTGGGCATTGGCCGCTGCTAGCCAATTCAGGGATTCGAACTTCGAATTCAAGGCCTCAATGTCTTGGGTAAAAAAATTCAAGAGGAAACACCACATTCGCCAGCGGAAAGTCACCAAGTACATCAGCCGCAAGGAGCATTGCACAATGGCAGAGGTCCTGGAGGCGGCAAAAAAATTCTGTACACAAGTAAAGGCACTCACCAAGAATTTCCAGCATGCACTCATCATCAACACCCATCAGATGGGTTGTCAATACCAGTCTGCTTATGATAGGACACTTAAAGAGAAAGGGTCAAGAACTCTGCTGGTACAAAAAACTGATCGGAACAAAATGAGTCACTCGTACACAGCACAGTATGGCATCACAATGTCCGGAAAATTGTTGCCTCATGTGTTCCTGTGTTTGCAGGAGCTCACAGAATCTTTGAGCCCACGAGTGAAAAAAACTGTCGACGCTTTGACTAATGAGTTCGGTAATATGGTGGTAACTTGCTCGAAATCCGGCAAATTGACGTCGGAGTTGTATCGTGAATTTCTCGAAAAAGTAATCCAGTTTTACATAGAAGATAAGAATTTTTTATTCATAGTCGATTCCTGGGGGGGTCACACAAATTCGGTGATTTACGATGAAATTTTCCTCAATCAAGAAAATCTGCCAACTTGTATCGTGAAAATTATCCCTCCGAAATGTACTGCAATCTGTCAACCATGTGATGTGTATTTGCATAGACAGATAAAACATTTTATCAAGAAAATTCAGAACTGCACATATTTGGTTGCAGAAAAACGTGATATCGCATCTCGCGAAGATGCGATACGAATCCATTCATTGATCCATCATCAATTATCAGCTCCGGTTTTTGAGTCAATGATCAAATACGCATGGTTTGCATCTAAACTATCCGATGAAAGAAACATTTTCCTGAATGTCAATGAGGTATGTTTTCCCGTTGATAAATTGCAAACGCCCTGTGCTTGCAAAAATACAGCTTTCATCTCTTGTAGTAGATGCAAGATAAATTTATGCTTTGTTTGTTTTTATGATAATTATCATCCAAAAAATTGTACCACTGACAGTGACTGAAAACAATAAAATTTACTACTTGTTCCTCAATTTCTGTTACATTTTTTAATTGAAATGATACAAACATTCCGTAATTATGTTTTGAATGATTGAGTTGTGCTTAAAAGAACATTTTCTGCGAAAATAAAGAAAAAAAAATCCGGTCTGGGTCTTGAACTCAAAAATTTGAACAGGAATTTTTCCCTTATTTCCGAGTTGTGCACCCTAGGGATTTAGGGATGCAGTCTACTAGTGGGCCTCTCGAAATACACAGGGATCAAGCTAAATCGGTGACCCGAAAGGCGTGACCTCTCCTTGTTAGAGGTTTTTGCGTTATATATACATCCATATGGCTGGAAGGAGGCATAACTGAGGTGTAACATTTACTAGAGGTAATGAGTTATGATTTTGGTCTTGATTGGGTCTTGTTGATTTCAGAAAATTATACGCTGTACACAATCTCAGAGAGTGGGGATGTGAAAATATCAAATTTATTCTCACTGTATTATACCAGCCTATTCACTGATTCACATGCCTTTTATTATAAATTATGGAAATTACGTATTCGTTGCAACAATTACTTTTTCTGTACTGCTTCTCACGATTTGTCGTCTGGGAATTGGTATTACATACTTCCCAAACTCGAAAACTTGAAAATCACTACAGAAAAATATTGTGCCTAGGCTGTTACGATGGGGTTTTTTTACTCGTGTGGTTGGCCAGTCCTCGCCTACGGCTCGGAGGCCAACAGGCCGGAAAAATACTATTTGTCCTCGCACACAGAGAGAAATAGTACATTTCATGCCCGAGCCTTGGAAAACAAATCATCCTCCCCCACGTGCAAGATTGCCTTCCGGGCCGAAGGCGAGGATGGCAAGCACGTGGGGAAGGGTGATATGTTTTTCATGGCGAGGCGTGAACATTATTTCGTTTTTCAGGTCCCGCGACACGAAAAAATTTGTTCTGCTGAAAAATTATATATCCTACGGAAGAGCTCATTTGTGGTGTTGAATCAATTTAGTTGTACGCAGTAAAGAAAGTTGCCACCGAAAAATGATAATTTCCATAATTGTAATTGTTCTCGTAAGAAATTTACCTCTCTTTTGGGTAAATACACTAGTTCTACAGAGAATAAGACGAGGCTCCGGCTTTATGGTGTGAATGTTAGTGAGAAGTTTGTATATATTTCCAGTAAACGCTTATTATTTTCATGGAATAAGTAATGATTTGAAGAGACAACAGACATTTTCTTCCCGAAAACTGTGTTATTAGCAAAACTAAATAATTTCTAGGAGAATATTTTTTTTGGGAAAAAAATATCCTTTCCTCGTCAATGTATTCTTTCTACGGTACAATCCTATGGGTTTCTCTCAGATCAAATGATTGTCGTACAATAAATTATATTTTTTCTGATGGTCATGACTAACATTAATTTTTTGTGAAAAATCTTAAATTTTCTTCCATCAAATTGGTAAATACCGCCAGCACGGAATTCATATGTTGTATGGATGTGAAAACGCATAACTCTTTTCAAAATTGGAGAATTCCAAAACAGCGACAGATGATGCCATTCCACCAACGCCATTGGGCAGCTGAATTGTCTAACTTCTATTTCATATGCGTTTTATAATTTCCCATCCATCAGGAGTTATCGAATCCCAGTGATATTGAGCCAACGTTAGACTTAATTTCCCACAAGTAAATGTGGTCCACTCCATCAAATATTTCCTCGTAGAACATATAATTTTGCGGCACAACAAATTGTTACTCTCAGTGAAGAGTTGTCTCTTAATATTCGCCACACCGATCGTCAAGTGAAATTAACTCATCTTATTCTCATACTCCTCAACTACTGAATTTTGAGAGACTAAACAAGGAATGGAGTTGTGAGGCAAATGTATTCCCACGCTGTGTAGACGATAAGGCATGAAAACGATTTTCAAACCGACTCTGGCATAATTAGAAAAAACTGAAAAGTGTCGGATTTCACTGTTGGAGCTTTACGACATCTATAAACAGTCGTGCAAATGGAATTTTACGCTCCTGGAATTTGTTTTTCTTGGGAGAAACCATAAAGTCAACCCACATCACCGTTTTAAATAGTCAAAGACCAATGCACCGTTTGCAGACGCCTACTAGTTTATTTATTGTCGTGGTCACGTTTCCAGTGAGTTGTTGCGCTTGTCCTCGCCGTCGCGGTGCTTATCGCATTGGATTTACTCCCGCATTGGAGTACTCCCTTACATTCGCAACAAAGGGGAAAATCGATTTGAGTAAAGAGGAAGGAAGTCGGGACCCTGGATCGTAGACAGAGAAAGAAATACGATAATTATTCTCTGCAAATTTAGACAAAAACCCCCGTGCCCTATAGAAAACTTGGCTCAATCTCCCAATAACTGAGAAAACACGTATGAAAAAATCGCATAGAAATTTTCTATACGGATTGCGTATAGAATTTCTATAGGATTCAGGGATGGGCAACAATATTAGATTTTGACAATATTAAAAAGGGATTATCCCCTTATATTGTTCAAAGTACCTAACGAATTGGTAAATAACGTTTTTGACAAGTGTGAGGTGTACATCCCGAGCTAATGGCCAGTTCAAAAAGTCGTCAATATGTCGTCAAAAAAGTCATTTACAACGAGTTCTCTAAACACACACGGAGTGTGGATAAATTTCCGCTTCACAGGCAGGATGCAACGAAAAAAAGATTCGACGTGCAATTATTCTTTCCGTCATGGAAATGGAAAAATTCTCCGCAAAAATCGGTTTAAGAACTCCTTTACAGCTCTAGGATATTTTTTATCGCAAAGTGCAGAGAAAGCAAAAAATTTTATCGCTCCACAATTTTATTCACTCCGAATGACGTTTTTATCTCTTGCGATTGCAACCCTCGCCGTAATTAAATGATTTTCCCAGACAAAAAAAAACAGAGCGGCTGAGTTGACACGAGAATGTCCGGTATGCAGTAAAATTTCTCAGTGCTACCGTCAATACTTCATGGACTTTATGTAAAACGTCAGGGTCCTTCTTATTTTATAATGCTGCATGAGAACGTTCTCTGAGATATAGGTACATGAAAAATTGTTCAGTATGGAGGGAAAAATCCTGAGGGAACATTAATTTTTTCATCACGCTGTGACGAAAAGTGAACTTTTCGGCACGCTCCGCGTGCCTAAAAGTCCAATTTCCGCCACATTGTGATGAAAAATATTGTTCGTAACTCGTGAAAAAATGTTTTTTAGCTCGTGGGATTATATCACTCGCCTTCGGCTCGTGATATAAACCTCCCACTCGCCAAATCACTTTTTGCACTCGTTACGAAATATACTATTTCGACTCTTCGCGATAAGTTTCGTCCGACAGAGCTATTTGCACCCAGTGTAGAGTACGAACACAGAAATTTTGCTTGCATTTATTCTCCATGTGGGAGGATTGTTCCTACCTGGTAGTAACAGATGTGAAGGTACTCATAGGGCTTTAGTCCGAAAATTTCCTTCTCTATCTCTTTGGGGAGGCGCTTGAGCGCCTGTGGACCTACTACGTCTCGGTAATCTTGATTGCAGTTTAGGAGACACAATGTTTCGCGAATTTTTTTCTCATAGAAGTGCAGGTCTTCCACGTTCTCAGCGAAAATTGGGGAAACTGCTGATGCTTCACTGCGGCACTTCTTTCGGCAATTGATTACAGCGTTTTTGTAGGATTTGTATCTGCAATTGATTACATTTGAGAGAGCTGGAGTGTAGTTACACTGTTAGGTAAAAACTAATAATTTTCAGGAGTGTGACGTGGAATGCGATTTAAGGGGGTACAAATCGAGGAAAAAATCATAAAATTTCAGATTTCACCCAAGGGACTACACGCAGAGAAATTTTTTCGAAAAATTCTAGTGCTAGCACGGGAAAAGAGACGCAAAGTGACGACCAGGAAAAAATTCCAGTGCCGGCACTGGAATTTTATTCGGGAAAACGTGAATTTTTCCCGTATTTCTGTGAAAAATTCACAGAATTCCCCAGAAATTTTACCAGAACTATCAAGAAATTTTACCTTAACAGCACTAGAATTTTTCACAGCCGGTGGATTGTGATTTTTTCCAGTACTCGTACTATAATTTTTCTAGAAAATTTCTCTCGGTGTACTCACCGCCATAGTAAAATGGTAAAATGGACCGCTTTTCATCGTCATTAGCTCAAGATTGGCGGAATGGAGTCAAACAAATTCGCTATTATTTGTCAGTAATTATTACCAGTTTTGATTTTCATAATTTGACACAGCCCGTTTTGCCCAACCTCTATTATTTATTAACTTTATTTCTCTGAAATCACTCATTTCGAATTAATGAAATCATTCGAAATCATGAAATCACCTTCCGAAATCACTGAAATCACCCGAAATCAACTTCATTGCGAAATCATCATGTCACTCCATTATGGAGTGAGTAGCCCCTCGATTTCACTGGAAATTCAATAAAATTTGAAATTTTTGAACAGCATTGAGATGAGCATTCCTTAACCTATTTGAATTGTCAATGAAATTTTAACTATTCAGTGCAGAATTACGATTGACTTTCAATTAATTGAAATTCAAGAATATATTTGCCGGAATTTTCCTTATTTCTACCAATATTCAGGGAATAATTGAACTGAAATTTACAGCTCTCATTGATTTTTCAATGAAATACTGAATTTTCAATGATGAAATTCCTTGAAATTTCAGTCGAACTAAAACATGATGAAAATTTCCAAAAAGTGTACCGGAAATTTCAGCGAAAATTTTTCAACAATGAATGTATACAGGGTGTTGCAGGAATGTCGTCCTCCCATTGAGAGAGCCAAAAAGGATGAAATTCTGAGTCGAATATTCCTCTTCCATTTTTGGCGCCGAACTTTAGTAAACGAGTTATTACTTAATGAACTTGACCAGTGACGGGGGACTGGACTGGACATAACGGTTATGTATGCACTGAGGGACGACTTTCCCAAAAATTTGTTCATCATCTCAGTTGAGTTCATCGTTACAATCGAAATGATTTACATAACAATTAAATTTTATGAAAATAACGATTGAGCGACTTTTGATATATAATGAGGTACCTAAAAAAACTAAGAAAAATTTCGTACCCAACCCATTTTACTCGGTACGTCAGGCGAAAACGTCGTTTTTCGTGTTTTTGGCTTTGAAATGCTCCTCGCACCACAATTTTCATCCAATTTAAACTTTTTTTGCTTCCGCATGGAAGCATTATAATCGTGCTGTTTTCACATTCTCTAATTTTGATTGGAAATGATGTAGAATGGTCTGAAACGTAAAAATACGAAGTGTGGCGACCATGTCTGTCGGTGTCAATGTCCATCGCCACCTTTCCGGTGGTCAATTTTTGGAAAATTGAGTTATCAATTGGCTAAACTTATTCCAAAAGATCTGAAATTTTGTCAAATTATAGACCTTAACAAGGACTAACTCTGTGCAAAAGTTCAGCCCGATTGATCAAATAGTTTTTGAGAAAAAGCTATTCGTTTTTAAATCGTTTTTCGCTAATATCTTCAAAGCTAGTCAACCGATTTCAATTCTTTTTTTTTTCAAAATATTCGTTTCGATGCCTTCTATCCGAATCAATCAAAACATATATATCCGTTCATACAAAGTTTTCGAGATATTTACGTTTTTCTGTTTTTTCATAAAAATCCTTGTAATCACTCTAGCTTGTGCAAAAATTGAGATATCAACTTGAAATTTGTACAGAATCTTCCTCTCATGATAACAATACTTCCTATTGAAAATAAGCTCAATCGCATAGGTAGTTTCCGAGATATTCGACTTTCTCTGAACACCTTTTATGTGCAATAGTTTAAAAACTACGCAACCGATTTCAATTTTTTTTTTCAAAATATTTGTTTCGATGCCTTTTATCCCATTCGGACCCTTACTACCAATGGAATTGGTAGAAATGAAAGAAAGAAAAAAAGTTATAACACATAAAGTAACGGTCAGATGGCTTCGGCCAAAAAGGCTCGAACCCCTGCTTATTTTTAATGTTCATTAGATTCCATAGAATAAAACTAGGTACACTGAAAAATAAAACAAGTTTTTTGAGAAGTAAGTTTTTATTTATATCAAGAAACTTCTGACTCGCGAATTGACAAGAAGAAAATATCTCACACTGAGAAAAGAAGCCTTTTGTCAAGAGATGTTGTACTTGTCCGAAAGATGAGAGGCAATTCATTCACAACAAGAAAGCGACTTCTCGAACCAAGTCAAGTGGTTTTTGCATTAAAATATTTTGGATTATAGGCTTAAAAGCTATTGACTAAATTGAGTCAACTACACTGTTAGAAAAAAAAAATGAAATGTCATGGACAGTTGACTACCAATTTTCAGGACAGTGACACTAAATGCGATTTAGAGGGAAAAAAATCATGAAATTTCAGGTTTCACTGAAAATTCAGTAAAATTCCAGAATTTTAAGAGGCATAAAGACGAGAATTCCTTAATTTATTTGAATTTCCAATCTGATATGAATATTCAGTGTCAAATTGCATTGAATTTTCGTGAAATCTGAAATTTCATAATTTTTTTTCTCCCCTAAATCGCATTCAGTGTCACTGTCCTGAAAATTATAAAAAATATATCTACCAGAATTAGTAAGGTTAAGTTTTGTAAGAATTTTTGTAAGAAGTTTGTAGAAGGAACGGAAGAGCCGAAACCCGTAAATGGGAAGGAAATAAACATACTAGTATATTTACCAGAATTTTCTGGTTTTCTATTCATTTTCAGGGGAAAAATGGAACGGAAATGTACAGTTTTGTTTGATTTTGATTTCTGAAAATTTCCTGAAATTTCAATGAAATTACAACACGATAAAAATATCCGGCATTGGGCAGGGAAAAGTCAACAACAAAATTTTTTAACAGTGTAGATTTGGTTCGAGAAATCACTTTCTTGTCATAAACAAATTAACCTTGTCATTGAGAAAATTACAAAATCGCTCGAAAAATTTTTCTTCCTCAGTGTAAGATGTTTTGTTCTTGTCAATTTTCACATTCAGCCATGAGTTTCTTGATACAACTGAACACGTACATATCAAAAAACTTTTTATTTTCTCAGTGTATTTTTTTCGGTTTAATCATTTTTTCCTTTTGTTATACCGTATAAAAATCATTATTCTGAACATCCGTTGTAATGTTCAATAATTCAGAATGAAAATCTCCCTCTTAATAACTTTGAAGAAGTATGAGAGTGGGAGGAAAGGGAAGGGTAAAGGTTTCAACTTTTTTATGGAGCCAGATTAACTGCAAGGGTTTTATCAATTTTAAACTCTCCCTTATTCCATTCATTCATCAAGGAATAATTCGATAACTAAATCTCGACGCCAAACGTGGAAGAGGAACCTGCTACTCAGAATTCCATCCTCTTTCATCTCTCCCTCTCTCTCTATAATGAAAACAAGATGGCCAAAATGTGTCACGCGTTCATTTTTTCAGAATTTTTTCGCGTTTTCCCAATTACGAACTGCCAAAGCATCAGGTCACATCACTCATGATAATGCCTACCTGTTTGTTATCATCTATTCTCTATAACTAGATCTGTGCGCGCGCTTCTCTTTTTTTTTGTGAAAATGAAGAAATCGAATTTATTAAACTTCATATACTCATAGATGTTTTATAAATATTGATAATGACTTGAAGAGAATTAAGAGAATGAAGAGTGAACGAATAATTTTTAATTTTCGATTAATTATTTTTTTTTACTTTTTAAAATAATCTGATTAAAATCTGTAATTGTTGAAAAATGAGGAGAGGGTTATGAATTAATTTCCCAGAAAACTGAAAAAATTTCTTGAATTCTTTGGAAAATTCCAGTTTTCCAGATAACCGTAGCTCTTCAAAGATTTTTCTCGATTTATTTGGGAAACCGAAGAATTTTCATGAATTTTGTAGAGTTTAGAATTTATGTATGAAAGTCTGAGAAGCAAGAATTGATCATTTGTGCGTACGATAAATATGAAAAAATTAAAATTTGGGAAGTGAGGAATAATTTGTGTGTTAAAAAAATTTAGAAATACTATGTTTTTTTCTCATGATCAACAATTAGGCAATTTAGATGTTTTGATATACAGATACACTTCACACATGAAAAAATGAAAAATATGACACAGAAAAAAATTTTGCCATTTGAAGAATCTGAAAATACCGGGGATTTTTTTCAGCGACTACTTCACGTGACTGATTGACCGATCAAAATTGAGGATTAGCGGTCGGCAGTTTCGAGATATTTCGATATAAAACAGCTTCACGTTTCTTTCATCTTTATACAGTAAAAAAAATAGGATAGGATAAAAAGGGGCTAGCCAAAATGTGTCACGCGTTTATTTTCTTCTCTTTTCTCTGCAATAAAAAGGTGACCCATAAGAATACACGAAGAGAAATGTTCAGTAAAAATTACGGAACTCACAATTCGCTCACCGATTACGGAATCGACTTAGAAAATTTAAGTGACTGTATCGTAATTTTTCACAGGAGATTCAGATAAAAATTACGGAATACATTGGAAAAATTCTGTGACAGTTCCATAAAATTTCCTACAATCACATTTCGCTCCGGAATTAGGGAAAAGATACGTAATTTTTATTGAATATTTCTCTCCGTGTATTTCTTATTGGTCACCGAAATTGTTCGGTATTCAATTCAAAATGTTGAGCCAAAATATTGGTATCAATTATTCAATGCCCATCCTCCTGATTAATGTAAATCATATTAAGGATGTTCGACACCCTTTTAGCCAAAATTGACGTTGTTTTCATTTTTCTGGCAAATTATCGATGGGAGTGACGTGAAAAAATATAACGATTTTGTGGTTTGTCTTTAATGGCTCACGAAGTTGCGTAGTGGTGCGATAATTTTCATGCGTTTTTTCTACAGTTTTGTGATTCTTTTTAAAAGTTTAGAGAAAACGCAGGAAAATGTTCGCACCACCTTAAAATTTCGTCAGTCATTAAATAATGACAAAACGCAAAAACGTTATATTTTTTCACGTCAATTCCATCATAAGTTTGCCAGAAAAATTAAAAAAACGTGAATTTTGGCAGAAAGGGTGTAGAACATCCTTAAAATGGAGATTGTATTATATTGGCAATGAGAACGATGAATCGTTTGATCGCTCCATCGTGTTGACAAGAAATAAAAGGAGTCGAAAAAACAAAGAACTTGTATACGCATTATTTTACGAGTTTTTTTCAGATATTTCTAAAACTACTGACTTCCGAGAAAAAGCTCTAAATACATTTTTATGACTCATAAAATTTCTCATTAAAAAGGTTCCGGGGTGCTTTTTCCCTAAGTCTCTTCCCCCTGAAGACATTAAGAAGAAAAGGATTTAGAAAAACTTGTACGGAAGAAATTCCGTACACAATAATGTTCTATTATGTAATGCAAAATATATCTGACATATATTTTTTAAAATATATCTGTGAATAGTGATTTCAGGAGAGAATACTAAAGGATCATTCTCATACCACAACATTCGAAAATCTTCTGAAGAGTAGTATTGTCAAGTAGTGCACGCATGAAAAAATCGTATAGAAATTTTCTATTATACAGATTGCGTATAGAAATTCTATAGGATTCCCGTATATGATATTCGGATATTTCTATGCAAATTATTTCTGTACATGAATTTTTACATAAATTTTTGTTTTCATACGAAAGATGGTCTAAACGCTCCAGAGAAAAACGTAGAGAAATGTCGCAACTCCATACGAAATGTTTTTATACGTGTGGCAGTGGGTCGTATAGGATCAAACCTATAGAAATCGTATAGAAATAATTTGTATAAAAAATATCCGTATAGAAATATCCGAATATCTAATACGAAAATCCCATAGAATTTCTATACGATTTTTTCATACGTGTGGTCGCTAACCAGTTCAGTATTTGTCTCTTCTCCAAAGATATTCTCAGAAAGAATAAACAAGTGTCAGAATTTCGATGATAAAATGTAGAAAATTCAGCATTCATTATTCAGCAAATATCTTTATTTTTCTTTCAAAACTAGTAATTTTAAAGATATTTGCTGAGTAATGAATGCTAAAGGCGAAGAAGAATAAATTTCAAAGACGTTTCGATGTCTCAATATTTCTTCAAACCTTTCACGCAAAAAAAAGTTACTGATTCATCTAAACAATACCTTTGAAGAAAATGATTGAATCCAATGATACACTCATCCCAATGCTCATCCAGATAAGTATTAACTGCGGCTTTGTAAGCCTCCTCCAAGGTCATATTTTCAAAATCCGGAACTAGTCTCTCGATTTGCTCCACTTTGTTCACTTCCTCCTCTCTGACATCACCAGATTCGTCCTCAACATCTTCCACAACCGGTTCTATCTCTTCCTCCGCTGTATCCACGATTTCGGTCTCAGGTGATTCATCTAGGGGAATCTCGTTCTCCGAAACTTCACATTGAATTCTCGGGAATAGACAAAATATTAGAAGATGAAAGAGGAGCAGTTTGGAGCGACGCATGGTCGCACGCTTATCGTTCATTATCGTTAGCCGGCTTGGGCTCGACTAACTGCGGAATGTGACGTCGTGCAGGCGATCTCTCGGAGGCTGGCTGAGTTTGACGAGGGGGGATGAGAAGGCACATGTGGTGACGATAAAAGAGTGTTTTTTGGAAACATTTGTCTGGTTTCAAAGATGCTGGGACGAAAATGTCTCTGGGACCGTGTATTTCATCCGTGTTTACAGTTTTTTTGCTCTCCAACTGATTTGATAGTCTGGTCTTTGTACGTTCATTGATAATATGCCGAGAGATTGTGAGATTTTTCACTTAGAAAAATAAAACAAGTAGACAATTGTTTTTTTTAACTGGGTGGGTTATTTTTGGTAATAAATTATAAATTTGTTTCCAAATAGATATTTCTACGTAGGCCAGCATCCTCAGGGACTTATTATACCCAAACCTTATTTCTGGCTTTTATGACCTTCATAGTTCTGACCATCGTGACTCTTATTTCCGATCAATCAATGAGAATTTAATGAAAGACAAAAATCCTTTTTCATAAGTGTAGCAACAGTTTTTGTTTCATACTTTTTGCTTCCGAATGGAAACATTGAAATCCGTCGATTTTCACATTTTCTAATTTTGATTGGAAATTATGTAGAATAGTCTGAAACGTAAAAATACGAAGTTTGGCGACTATGTCTGTATGTGACCACGTCCACCGCCACCTTCTCGATGGTCAATTTTTAGAAAATTGAGTAATTAGGTGGCTAAAATAATTCAAAAAAATCTGAAATTTCGTCAGATTATAGGTCTTAATGAGGACTAACTCTGTGCAAAATTTCAACCCGATCGATCTATAGTTTCGAAGAATAAGCGATTCGTTTTTAAAACGTTTTCCGCAAATATCTTCAAAACTAATGGACCGATTTCGATTTATTTTCTTTCAAAACATTCGTTTAAACGCCGTCTATCTAAATCAATCAAAATATATCGTCGCATTAAAATCAAAGGGGCGTAAGTGCCATTTCTCTGAGATTTTTTTTCTCTTAATACCAAAGGGGCGTATGTTTTTTTTTCTTTCGAAATGGAGTTTTCTCAACTTATGAAAGGTTTTTTGTGGACAAATTTCTGAAGTGGCAAATGGACGTAAGTCCGACTAGCAAGTACTGAAGGGGCGTATGTCCAGCACATACGCCTCTTTCTTTTTATACTTTTGGTTTCTTTTCTAGCTCATATTGAGAATTAATAATTCCAAAGGGGCGTAACTCAGGCACTTTTGAAGCAATAATCACAGAGGGGCGTAACTCCAATATATATGTCCCTTCATTTGTTACTGTTCGTTCCTATTGATTCATCAAGTATAAACGGAATCACATGCACTACAGCCCTAATAATAAATCATATTTGATTCTACATTAAACTTCCCTCCCTCCCTCTCATCATGAATGTTCAAATTATTTCCCTTTGATTTTTTGCTTGAATGAAACAATTTCATGAGAAATATCAGTAACTAAACTAAAATTTTCTAAAATTTTCTTCTAAATTTATTCGATTTCATTCATTAATTTATTTCATTTTTTTAAATTATGACTGCGAATTTCAGGAAATTATCTGTATGAAATTTCGAGTCGTGACTGCTTTCAACACTTCGGAAGAAAATGAGACCATAAAGGAAGAAGAAAATAGTTAAAGCGTTTTATGTTGATATAACAATATAAAACTCATTATCGCGAGTAGACCTAAGATATAATGAGAGAGAGGCGTATGTGGGACTTACGCCCTTTTCGTTTTATTTCAACATGAAATGTGTCATCCGAAGTGCACAACACATAATGTAAAAAGGGCGTAAGTGTCATTTTTTGAATGAAATGAAACAGGCGTAAGTGTGGAGATACGCCCCTTTCCCGTTGAAATATAGCAATTACGCCTTTTTCCTAGATTTTTTTTTTCCGATTTTTGGTCAGAAATTCCATGAAAAACCGAAAAAACAGGAATTCGGAACATACGCCCCTTTCACTTTTAAAATGGGTTTTTTGGCACTTACGCCCCTTTGATTTTAATGCGACGATATATATCCGTTCATACAAAGTTTTCGAGATAGTCGCGTTTTTCCGTTTTTTCATAAAAAACTTTGTAAACACTCTAGCTTGTGGAAAAATCGAGATATCAACTTAAAATTTGGACAGAATCTTCCTCTCATGATAACAATATTTTGCATTAAGATAGCTTCAATCACATCGGGAGTTTCGGAGATATTCGAGTTTTTCTGAAAATCTTTTACATGAAATATCTTCAAAACTACGCAACCGATTTCACTTTTTCTTTTTTCAAAACATTCGTTTCGATGCCTTCTGTCTAAATCAATCAAAATATATATATCCGTTCATACAAAGTTTTCGAGATATTCCCGTTTTTCTGTTTTTGCTTCCGAAGGGAAGCATTATTTTCATAAAAAACTTTGTAAACACTCTAGCTTGTGGAAAAATCGAGATATCAACTTGAAATTTGGACAGAAAATATGTAACCCGCTCGTATTCGAAACATTGGAATTTTGATAGCACCCATGGAGGTGGCAGTACTCGGAGAAAAATATTCAATAAAAATTACGTATCTTTTTCGTAATTCCTGAGCGAAATGGGATTGTAGGAAATTTTACGGAACTGTCACGGAATTTTTCCAGTGCATTCCGTAATTTTTATCTGAATCTCCTGTGAAAAATTACGATACAGTCACTTAAATTTCCTAAGTCGATTCCGTAATCGGTGAGCGAATTGTGAGTTCCGTAATTTTTACTGAACATTTCTCTCCATGTAACCATTTGAAATTTTTGCTGCTAGTTAGTGCTGTGAAGCTATAAACATTTGTAATATTTCAGACCATTCGCAAGCCTGCTCTTTGTCACATGGCCCGCTGTCACATGCTCGCTGTCCTCTGCTTGCTTGTATCTGTCATAGCTTTCGATAGAGCCTTTTACACAATTAAAATTGTTAATAACAATCGAATGTTACATTCTTTGCAAAAGTAATCGACTTGATTCTCCACCGCAAAAACATGAAATCCACTTAGATTGTCACGGCGACCAGTTCATGCATACAGGGATGTCGTAGGCGCAAGGACTATGTTAGAGCAGTTGAAGTAGCTGTACCCTTACGGTAAATTCAAAGATCAATGAAAACTGCAAGAAAATTGCAGAAAACTCGATTAGATTCGGAATTCTAATTTTTTTCTCAATTTAATTATCGTTTTGGTTTTTCAAAAAAGAAATGTTTAAAAATCAGGATTTAACCCAGTGTCTTATGTGAAAATCAACATTTCCATTGTAATCAAAAATTAAAATCTGAATTTTTTTACATTAGATGTGAAAAAATCAAGAATTTTTTTGACACCTCATAAAAAATAATCCACCGTTTTGCAAACAAGTTTTATTATTTATTTATAAGAGGGGAATGTTTGAAAAAATGTCAATATTTTGCGAAATTTAATTTAGACAATACTGACTGGCAGGATTGGGCGTGTAAATTACGTTGGTAAATTACACCGTTTTTTACCGACGTAATTTACGTAAATTACCTCGACGGGTTTTTTACATTTTTTACATTCCTTCGAAAAGCTTGCAATTTTCGATTTCTAGAGTGTTTTATTTTATTCCGCGTGACAACGATGCAGTATTGGACACATAAAAAATAGTATATTGTGGCCCGAGGACAGATAAACTGCGAATTTTAATTTCACTTTGTTCGGTTAGAACTTTGCTCGACTTAAATTTTCTAATTTTTTTTCATTCTATTTTTCTTTTCTTCTCATTAAGAAAATTAAACGAAAAAACTTGGAAAATTTGAGCCGAGGAAATTCTATAGAAAATATCTCAATAGAATAAGTTATATAGAAAAATTGAATTCTATTGACTTTTTCAACTGAATATTTTCTATTGAACATTTTAATAGAATCGGGCAAAAACTAATAGAACAGTTCAATAGAAATTCAATACAATTTTCTAACGAATTCGATAGGTTTTTCTATTAAATTTTTTCGTCCGTGTTACCAGCCAAATAATCCTGTAATTACACAGGCACGGCACAGCGTTTCCAATAGTTCTATCATTTTCCCTCTGAGATTCATCCGAATCGACTGACGTTCGATAATATCAGAATCCCCAAATTTGTTGACAAACATTCAATCCCTATCAATGCGAATATCATTACAGTGAATGAATAGTATCAGTAGCACTTCTTAACGTGTGCCAAACAATTCGAGATTTTCAATCAGCAGCTTCCGATGATTAATTCAATTGTGTATAATGAAGTCTCATAAATATGTTTAGAAGAAAATTGGGTGGAGGGACATTCGGGCAAAACGAAAAGGATTGATAGGTAATTACCAATAATTACATCATGTGGAACGTAATATGTGATGATAATCCAACAGATGTGCCTATCTCATGAAGCGTCAGCCAGATAATTCACTGTATGTAATAAAAGAACAGTCAGGAGAGGGATCGCAACAAGTGAGTGTTAAGTTTTTATTATTAGGGGAATAACTCTACTACACTTTAGAAAACTTTTTGACTGAAATTGCCGCTACATGCGTTGGAAAATTTTATCAAGTGCCAACTCTACTACAATTTTCAGGAAAATCAGTGGGAACAGTAAATTGTCGTTGAATGATTCAGAGAATTTTAATATAGGAATCAACAGGATTCGGGGAAATATTTTGTTGAATTTTCAAAACAGTGGAAAATCTAGCGTAGTTTGGTATTCATGTTTTGACTGAAAATTCAAGTAAGTTGGGAATTCGCATTTACCTGTTGTTAAAAAATTTGGAATTCCCTTGAATTCTCAATGACATTGAAAATTCCATTATTTTTGGTTCCGAATGGAAGCACTGAAATAGTTCAAATTTTACATGTTCTAATTTTGGTTGGAAATGATGTAGAATGATTTGAAACGTAAAAATACGAAATTGTACTAATATGTAAATGTGTGGGTGTCCAGTCGATGGCCAATTTTTAGAAAATGTACGAATTAAAGGACAAAAATAATTTCAAAAAATCTTAAGCTTAGATTGGTCACCATATGAGGGAAACGTCACTGCGCATCGTTTCTTCTTTAATTACAATTGACTCGCTAACCGGAAAAATTCAAAAAAATTTGACTTTGTCAATTGAAGTGTCTAAAGAATTATAGTCGTTTTTAGAGCAACATATTCCCCGAAATTTCTAAACAAATCAAATTATTGCGGACAGATGAATTATTTTTTCCCATGTTCAATGAAATTGTCCATCATGCGACGTTGCCGGAAACTCGTTAAACGCGCCCGGACAGTGTAGAGTGAATTCGGCAACACTAGAGCCCAAAATAATATGGCGGGGTATCCCCGCGGAGGTGATCAGAATAGAGTTAAATTTAGTCAAATTATAGATATCATTGAGGACTATAACTCGGGTCCCAATTTCAGTGCGATCGACCCAGCTGTTTTTGAGGAATCGCCATTTGTTTCTACATAGTTTTTCGCAAATATCTTGAAAACTATCCAACCGATTTCTACAATTATTGTCTTCAAATTGTTCGTCTTGGTGTCTTCTATCTCAATCTATCAAGATACGTATACCCGTTCATATAAAGTTTTCGAGATATTTCCATTTTGCTTTTTTTCCGATAAAAATCCTTGTAAAATTTGGGAAATTTCGAGATTTAACGCGGAAATGGGCTAAATTTTGGATGGTTAGACCCGGAGATATTCAACGTTGCATCTTTGCAATTTTGTCACTTTGTTTTTAAGATAATCTATCCATTGATTACCTTCAAAACTACTCAACCGATTTTATTTAGCCCATAGCAAATCAACAAACAACCAAACTGGAACCATTGCACGGACAAGAAAGTTGAAGAAAAATTGCCAAATCAGTAATCGTGGAGCGGAATCCATTTCTACTATCCGTTTCAAAAGTGGAGGACCCTGGGGTTATATGCGCATAACTTGAGAAAAAAAAATCGTGAAAATATGGGATCAATTGCACTGTGTAATATAAGTATTTCACTCGCCCAATACGAAGTTTCAAGTTTTTAATTTGATTAGTTTATTTCTAATCGCTGTGAGAAGTCGACAAACCCCCCGATTTTCAGGGTCCGTAAAAGTCGGAAAACTTTGAATCGCTACCATACGTACGAAAATTTTTTTTTTTTCAATCGTCAATTTTTCCAGAGATTCGTTGAACCCTTGGGAAGCCAACGAGAGATGAAAAAATTCTTTCGAAATCTCATTCGGGGAATAGAAAAATCTCTCCATGTACTCCTGAAAATTTTAAAAATCTATTTTTACCTTCATATGGTAACATGATATCGGTACTCTTCATTTCTATGGTCAGATTCCAATTATTATTATGAAAAGGAAATGAAAAAACAATCAGAAAGGGATAATCAGCTAGACAATGGATTTTTTTCTCCTTTTATACCAACGCAAACTTCGAATCACTTTTGTTCTTCAAGTATTAGAGGAATATCAATGTTTCAGCGAGAAGAACTGAACAAATTAATTTTTCAATGTCTCCGGAAAGTTTTAAGATCGATATATTTTTTCGAATAATCGAAGAATACCCATAAATTCGATTTCTATCCTTGTCTCTTTGTAGAATGAATAGAATAGAAAACAGTAATTGAGAATTGGAGACTAAAAATTTTATCGGATTATTATTATGTAATAATTGGCTAAAGATGATGTGCCAAAAGAGTCGTGGTATTCTCAAAGTTCTCCCAGAGGACACAATCACTCCTGTGACCGTAAAAATCAATTACTTAAGGTGTTTCGCCTATAGATCTCAGGGGGCTGAAACGGAAGGGGAGACTTATTGTTCTCGAGCCCTGATTCAATCGCTGAGCACGAAATTTTCCAATTTTCAAGTAACTATTTAAGTGTGCATTTGAACATTTTTTGAATACTGATATTATTGATCAGATTGATTGATTTTTTTCTCATGACCTACGAAAATCAAATAATTTTTATTGGATGTTTTTCTAATTATTGGAATAATATTAAAATACGTCTCGAGGTGGTAAACCTGTCGAGTGTTTTCTCTTTCTTCTGTTCTATGGTCCAACCATAGCTTTCCCATGATGCTCACTGACATTTGAATCACGCGGCTGCGCGTGAGGGCGTAATTGCCTCGAAACTTATAATTTTCCGAATCATTTGCTCAAATAACTTTCTTATGAAATCTGAAAAAAATCTGAAACTTATACGTGTTCTCAAGAAAGATTTAATTTATCACCTACAAGTTTTTCCTCTATAGTTCATTATTGTTTTGGGTGCCATGGAAATTTCCCTAATTGAGAGTGAGATAACCTCTCGGAGTTATAGCTGGAGGGGTTACAAAAACATCCAAATATCATTATTTTTTTTCTTGAAACTGAGACGTGAAAAAAATGTGCAAGAATGCTTCATGATGCAGCATACTCAGAATTTCCTGTCATGAATTTTCCTCTTTTAAAACTTATTTTGACTTTTCAGCAGAAACACCTTAATGCTTCGAAGAGACAATCTTGTCCACGTGCAGCCTATCTAGTTCTAGTCCGAGGTTTATTCCCATCCATAAAGTCCTTGTATCAAAATCTGTCAGATGAACATGAAACCCGAATCCTGACCTCCAAGCTTTCCCACCAAAGGAAATTGATTTTTGCCTGAAAATAATTTGTTTCAGCAAGGAAAATAATTTCAACACTTTGCGCTTTGCTTTGCTATCAAACATTCAGACATTGACTTTTATAGCGTGACTTAAGTATCGTACAAAGTTGGTGAGACATTTCTCTATTCTTTCATTTTACCATTTTTATTTCAAATAATATAAAATGAAGAAATTATTCATCATATATCAACCCAAAACATTCTCATCATGATTTAATTATCCTCTTCACTCACACGTTGCTTTCCACTCAGTGACATTCCATTATAATCATTTTCATACAGTAATTCATCAAATATCGAAGAAAAAAAATTTTTTTTAAATAATCATCTCAACATTTTAATCGCTAAAATTATTCTCTGATAATTCACAATATTCATGTACCTGTCTTTATAATAACTAGCACAAAAAAATATATCAAATGTAGAGAAATAATTTCCACTTTCATAGATTGACGAGAAAAATAATTATTTCGAGAATATTGATCCTCTGATTTGAGGAGATTAATGGGAGAACTTCGAAACGTCTAAAGAGCTTCGAATTGCTAGCAAATCGAACCATGGAGTTGAGATATAAAGGGAGATCACTCATTAATCTGCGTTTTTAATTGCCTTGACTTTTGAGAATGAAGAAAAATCATTGACGATAGATAAATAAAAGTAATCGTGTCTGAACGAAGGTTTCACTGAATCTGAATATCACAACCTATGCAATAAATTTTTCAAAAGAAGAAGTGGAGAATAATTCTTCAATCAAGTGGTAGAACGCAGTAAGTCCAATTCGACATCCTTCAAGCATTCTTGTTTTCTTCTCGACATGTTTGCATTCATTTCAGAAACAAGATCAGTATTGAAGCGGTAAAACGGCTCAAGTCTGGAATATCTCCGGATCCAACAGAGATAACGAAATTTTCGTAAACTTTTTTGTGGAGCGAATCAAGGGCTACAAAAAAGGTCATTACAAAAATTTTGTTATCTCCGTTAGATTCCGAGGTATTCATTGAAAAATGGCTAATAGTCAAAATCGATTGAACCGCTTTACTGCTTCACTACTGAGATACTTTAGAAGAAAGCGTTTTAAAAAGCTGAGAAACTTTTTACCAAAAAAATATATTTTTGACTTTTTTGTCAAAAATGACTCATCATCAAAATAATTCCGTATTTGAATTAATAGTTAACTATTTTGAGCTTATCTTCTCATCAATTGGCGATGACTTGTTGCATTTAACCATTGAACTTCTGAATTAATCTCTCAAGCTTTATGTGCAGTAGAAAAAAAAAATCAATTTTTTTCGCGATGGGGATGAGTCTCAAGCGGATGGATACTTATCTACTGTTCTAAGCTTAGTTGACGTATATCTTACCACGCGAACATGCAAACGGCTTGAACCAAATATACGTAAATACCCAAAATTCCTGTGACACTATTTACTCTTCATTATTTTTCCGATACTCTATCTCAAAGAAATTCTCTCGCATAAAGATAATATCAGCGCTATTTTCCATTATTCACACTACCTCTCATTGATTTGATTTCACTTGTACTTGTAATTCTTTTGATTGCTGTTTCTAAACAATCATCGAAAGAAATAAAAAAGAATAAACGCTTTAATGAAGAAAAAAACGCGTTTGAAGAAACAACTTCCTAATTCATAGGCATAACTATAGAAGCCTTTTTCATTGAGGAATCGACGTGTCAACATTAACATTAATTATCAACAAATGCCACGAGAACGCATGATTTTTTCAAACAATGAACGATAATATTGGCATTTTCTTTGTAGAAAATACTACAAAAAATAAGTTCTTTTTACATTCTTCATTACATTCTAAATTCCTCGATAATGGCTTGTCGACTTTCACACACACATTCATAGAAAAATAAAGTGCCGTAAAGACATTTTTATTTCATTTTATGAATGTATCGATCTTAATTTCAATTCTGTTAAGTTTCAGAACGTAATGAGAGTAATAAGGCATTCTTGTTAATTACACGGTTCGACAAAATTCGGATATTGCCCACCTTAAAGGCGAGACTGATCTCATTTTATAGATATTTTGATACTGATTTTAATTTTTTTTGGAAAGTCTTTCTAGCACGTCTAGTTTTCGTGAAAAAAAATATTTGAAAGTGGCTGAAAAGGGCAATTTCAAGAATTTATAAGAAAATGGAGTTGGACGTAGTTTTTTCCAGAAAAAATAGAATGAATTAATGAAAATGCAATTGGTTTAGTGCATTTGGGTTCATTGCAATTGAGTGAGTCGAAGTGAGTGAAAAAAACCTGGAAAACGTCCAAATTTCGTGATTTTTCTTGTAAAATTAATTGATCGGAAGTTGGTGGCGCACACTTTGATGCATGCCAATCTCAAATTTATCTACGCACGTGTGTTAATCTTGTGCGTTAATCTCTTTATTTTTCAACTTTATTTCAGCAACTAAACCTCTCCACCATTGAAGGGTGACTTCTCATAAGGGCAGTTAACCGGTTACCTTGCAAGAAAGGAATCTTCAAACTTCATGTTAACTCAAGTCGAGTCAAAATGTGTGCAACCAACTTCCAATCATTTGATTTCACACGAAAAATCATGAAATTGAGCCTTTTTCACGATTTTTTCACTCGTTTTGACTCAACCAATTGGGATGAAATCGAATCCACTAAACAAATCGTATTTCCATTAATTCATAGTTTTTTTTTTTAGAAAAACTCCGTCCAAATTCATGTGTTAAGAAATTTTTTTAATTGTTCATTTTAGCCATTTTTCAACATTTCAACATTTTTTTTCCTAGAAAACTAGACGTGCTAAAAAGATTTCTCACAAGAAATTTAAAATCAGCATTAAAATAACTATAAGATGGGGAATTTTGTTAAACTGTGTTGTGTAATTCTTTCGGAAATGAGGTAATTTTGAAATAATTTTCAAAAGACGAAGTTTCTTGACTTTATGTTTTTCAAGTATCACTAATTTCTGAGATGATTACGCAATTAGACGCAGAATCAATGAAAATATGTCCGGAAGAAACATGAAATTCCAAGTGAAAAATGTGACTTTGCTATTGTACTAAAATCGCACATTTCTGATATAACTGGATAATTAATCACAGAATCTCCGGAAATATACTTCGAAATTTTGAATTATTTCCTGTTATATTTTCCACAAAAAAAATACTCGTGTTACGCTAGTGCTTATCGTGCTAAACATTCTTCACATATTAATTTATAATTCGCACCTGAACACTGCGAGGAATTCCCAAACTGAAACAGTCTACATCAAGTATCACGTGTTGAAAAGGAAAGAAAAATACTAACGCCTGCCGAGTCACTACAAATAAACCCCTAATCATCAACATCTAAAGTTAAAAACACTAAGATAGTTATCTGCAGTCGTGTTACACTTATCTTTCCACAAAAATTTCGATGTGTACATACTCGATTAATTCTGAATTGATCGATCGAAAAAGCTTACACCGACAGTGAGCAATAAGACCAATTAATTTATCAATTAATTCAACTCATTTTAGATCAAACGTCTTATCATAATCTCCTTAACGTCTAATGGGCATCAACGATCATCAAGTCGTCGATAATGAGTCAATTTCCAAGCGTCTTGTCACTCAGTGACCGTCGGTACATTTAAACATGAGCTCATTATTTCTTCAAAATAATTTACAAACTCTCTCCCCTCTATGAGGAAACAAATAAATGTGCAGAGAAGAGTTTTCAATTCCAATGAAATCGGAGATAATTCCAATGATATTAAATGGTAGCCTAACAAATCGGTTCAATTTCTCCTTGTTCATGAGTTAAATAAATAGTTGTAGAACTAGTATGAATTAAAAAGTGTATTCTCGGCTAATAACTGCCCTTGATCATTTAGAACCTACCATGCTACCGACTAAAAATTCAAAAAGTTTCTCCTCTCATCAATAACAAATAAATGAATGAAAAAGTCATGATGAAAAGTTGAAGGAGATCGTGAAAAATACTGCGAACGATGATGCTTCATTCAGTCGTAATAATATAACTTATCAACAGTGATTGCAGTTTTTTTTAAATTGAGAAAAAATCGACAATGTGCTCGTAACTCCATTAGTTCTTTTGGAATGCAGTGTCTGTTTAATTTCATTCGGGTTTTCTCATTAATAGCAATGCCAATGATTATTTACATTTCTTTCAGCCTGTGCAATTGACGAGCTATACCGCTTGTCTTAAAAAATATTTACATTGAATGAGGAGAAACGAGGAGGACAAATAATTATGAGAGGGAGGAGAAAGACATGAGGGCTTGAGAAGCTTCAACTTAATTCCTCGGTACATCAGAGGGCAATGATTTCTGCTTTCGAGCGTTGAAGAAGCGCGAGACAACGACGATACGCTGTAAACACTATTTATTCTTCTTGTCGTCGAGTGATGTGGATCTCTCAACTTTGGAGAATGTTGGGGTCTCGGGGGTGTCGACTTTGTATCGTTTCAGGATTTTTCGAGTCTCTGGGCTTTGATCCATTATTTTGCCCTTTGTGCCCAGTTTTGGATCGATTTTTGAGGGCTGGGCCTCGGATTCTGGACGAGGAGTGACTTTTGGGAGGGATTTGTTGAGGATTACTGTTGTAGAGTCTGAGGAGCCACTGCTCTCTGGAGTCAAACTCCCTTTTGATTCTTCAACTGGAGGGCGGAGAGTTTTCTCGGTGTCCTTTGGGTAGTCTTCGCCCTTTGCTCCTGTGGGAGAGTCCTTCTCCTCAGCAATCCTGGGTAGTTGAGTGGGGCCACAGGAGTTGGAGTGTCCCACACTCGGGATGCTTATTGAAATACCGTGTGACATTTTTGAGTATTCGGTTGGCTTCTGCTCTATTGATTTTTTACTGTCAGATTTAGACTCGTGAGGATCTTTGGAAGCAGTCTCTGGGGGGATTTCCTCGGATGATTCTGGATGAGATGTCTGGGCGATTGTGACCCGTGGCGTTACGCGGACTACGCTGTTCGCCAGGGGTGAGATTGAAGTCTTGTTCTCTGCGGAGCGGGGGTGAAGGCGATCCGGGCTCAGGGCACGACGAAGGAGGGGTGAGCCAGGCTCAGCGGATTTTGGACGACCATATGTTTTCTTTTGACTCGCTGGAGTTGATAAAGATACTCCTGTGAAGGAGAAATTTTAATTGAACGAAAAATCTTGTACTGATATTGTTGAAGGGCAATGGTCTTGATAAAATTTATTTATTGCTTCCATTTTGCTTCCGAATGGAAGTATTGTAATCGTTCAAATTCAAGTTTTGGATATTTTGTATTATGTCGATCCATCACGTATCAAAAAATCGTATAGGATTAAACCTATAGAAATCGTATAGAAATAATTTGTATAAAAAATATCCGTATAGAAACATCGGAATATCATATACGAAAATTCTATAGAAATTCTATACGCAATCCGTATAGGAAATTCCTATACGATTTTTTCATACGTGATTATGATCCAAAAAGTCCGAAAATGCAATTTGTAGACCTTGTCCGGTCGTATATATGTATGGATGAATGTGTGTGTATGTGTGGTAAAGTTTTTCTTCAATTGTGCGCTAATGAATGGATGGAATTGAATCTTGATTATTGAAAATTTTTCTATTAACATTTTATCGAAGGGCTGAGGGGAGAGATAGAACTGTAAAAAAGACAATCGGTTGTATCGAAGAAAATGGATAATAAGAATAATGGTGCAGATAACATTCAACTAAGTCGAAAATCGCACGAAATTAGTTAGAAAGAAATCTTATTCAATTTAATAAAATGAAATAAACAATGAATTATACATGATTGAAGGAAATGATGTGGAAAATAACCATTTGGAAGCATATTGCTAATTTATTAGCAAAAATAACTTTAACATATGCAATACAAGAAGTTATAACTTCTAGAAGTTATTGCCAATTCAATTCAACAAACATTTCATGAATGTCTTTCATGTTCTCAGTTTTACCTGGACTGTACGACTGAGTCGTGTTGGAGCTGCCCGGTTGATGTCCCGTGGGGAAAGCCAAAGGACTTGGACTCCTAGTGGGACTGGCCGGAATAGGTGAAGGGCTTGGAGTTCTTGCCAACGGTGACAATGGAATATGGCCGACTGATTTCCTACGATTTGGCGAGTGTATATTCTTCGCAGCCGTGTGCAGCTTGTGCTTGAGACCGTGAAGAGTACTTGGCCGCTGATAGTGCGACTGATTCGAGAGATTGCTTATGTTACCAACAGAAGTACTTGAGCCGGGGGACGATGAGCTTGGACTTGAACACGGACTGGATGTGCCTGTCGAGTGATAAGAGTCTGTGGTAGGGCGGCTTGTCATCGGTGGGGACGGAGTGCAGACTGATTTTGGAACACCACTTGCATAGTAAGGCGAGGATTCCTGTTGTGGTGGTAACGACCGAGTGAACGATTGGAATGAACGACTCGGTGTTACCATGGACGGAGAACAAATTCCTGCTGCCATCTAAATCAAGTCAAATGGATGATTATGACTGTCTTATTAATTTAGCAGTCAAGTGGTAGAATGAGATGAGATAATTTCGCATTGAGCTCAGTACTTGCCGTAGGGTTAATCATCAAATGATTAAATTAATTAATTTAATTAACTTAAGGGGAGGTTTACCCCGGTACAAATTTTTTTTCAATTTTTAAGAAGAAAATTTTCTAAAAGTTAGCACATCCACGCCAAAAAAGCCGATGGTGGGGATTTTCGTTTCATTTTATTTCTGAAAAAATGGCTATTAGACAAAAATTTTGAAAAATATTGATAATTGTGGGAGTTACGATTTTTCGAAAATTTCTATTTTTTGTCAATGACTTTTGTTTGTTTCAAATTGTCCCCAAAATCTCAGCGGGGTTTCAAGCTAGCAAATCGCCATTCACCACATGCTAAGAACATTTTTTGAGTGAAAAATTCTGTTGATTCTGGGATTCTGTTGATTATTTTTCTCACTCGGATTTCAGCCAATCAGAGCGCAGTATTTGAGACTGTTAAACAGTTTTATTTCGGAAATTTCTAAAAAATTTCCGATGGAAATTCACTAGTAGCTTTTCAAATGTTTCTCATCTTTCAACGCATTTTCACGTTTAATATTCTGTGTGACAGATAAACAAAAAAGTGGGTTGTAAACGTATGGCTGTGTAAATGTATCCGGATGCTGTTCATTGCACTCTGCTTGGCCGAAATCCGAGTGGAAAAATAATCCGTCAAATACCGCTCGTGCTTCAAAATTAATTGGATATTTTTTAAGCACTAGTGGTATTACTACTGAATATTCACTTCTTTGAGGGATAATTGCGTGAATAATAACGATTTTCGGTCGTTTTCAATGCTTGTCTCATTGAAAAAATGAATAATCGACGCACTACAGCGAAAGACAAACTCTAATTGGCTCCAAAATTCTTGTCATTTTATTGACAAGTTTTTGCTGAAAATTTCAGATTTTTTTAAAGTTAGGTTTTTGAGTAATTAACGATTGCCCAAAAACAGGTTTTCTCGTATAAACGCCGTCAACTGAAGATAATACTATGCATGACATCTCATTTTGAAGAATTTTTCATCTCCTTTGAATCTACGGTTTTATTGTTGAAGGTACACTTCGCCAGGAGTCAGAACTGAATGTCTCAGTTCTGACGGGCTTGGGATTCTCGAGTAAGATGTGTGGGGAATATTTATAACGAGTTTTTGGAGATATTAATAGACATTTCAAATTGCATCTTCTCGCCCATTTTTCAGTATTAAGGAGCGAAAATTAGTGATCATATTCAAAAAACTATTTCAAATATTTATACGTTGAGGGTTTTTTTAACTTGAATTTTCGGCCATCAAAAAATTAAAATCTCTACTTTTGAGCAGTTACAGACCTTGTTGACCTACAGAAAAATTGTACTTTCAATGATTTTTCCTTAAAAAGTGAAAAAGTATTTTTATGGCTCGCCGTGGCACATCTGCACGATGTGGCATAAAATAGTATAGACCACTCGGGCATAAACTTCGTTTTCAACGAATGTAAATACAGACCTCGCCTTCGGCTCGGCCTGTAAACTTCACATTCGTCGAAAACGAAATTTGTGCCCTTGTACTCTAATGTACTCTTTTTCGGAATGAACTTCCGCTTAAGGGGACCTCTATTATCCATGTTTCTAGATACGAGGCTTGTACTTTTTAGTTTTTCATTTCGCTCAGATTCAAAGTTTCGTAAAAAAATCAACTTCAAGTTGCGGTAACTCATCTTATTTTGCCACTTGACTACTGATTCCAATCAAGCACAGGAATAAATTATGTATTATCCCCTCTAAAAAATTCTATTCTCTCTTTAGCATTGAAATAAAGTTCAATAAGCGTGTTGGTGTTAGCCGAATCAATTCAACTTAACAAGTAAATAAAATAATACAGTAGGGAGATTATTAAACGATTTAAGTCACGAAACCACACCTTCGCAATTACGTAATTATCTCGCTAATAGCGGGCTTCGAGAACTTCGAAAGAGTCCTTGACATTTTCCCATGAAAGAACTCATTCACGAGATGAATTAATAATGAACGAAATGTTTACACTCGACTCAAACCGTTTCATCCCTTGACTATTGAATTTCGGGTTAATAAATGAACAAAAAAAATCGATAACTCATACCATAAGTGGAGGTTTGCTGTCGCTGGGTAGAATGGGTGCTGACAATGGACAACTGATACTTAATGGCTGTAAGAAACACAAATTGGTGGTTTTAAAAGAATAAACGAAAATATTCCAGAGTTTCTGCTGTCCTCGATAATCGTTGCCTTTGAAAAAACTCAAATGTGATATGCAAAGTTTGGAAATATTTAAAATGTGATTGTACAGTGCTCCATGTGGAATAATTAAAAGTTACATTATTATGAATCAAATGTTATAATGATGGTTCCTTACTTGCTGCATTTCTACACTTGCGCGTTTCGAACTAATTCTCCTGAACAGTGATGTTTTTCTCTTCTTGTCTGAATGATCGCGTTTCTGCTTTCTCTGCCTGTGCAATGTTCTTTTGGCCATTCTACTTTGTGCAGGCTCACGCTTACGACCACCAGTCTTGATACTCGTATTCTCAAGGGGTGTACTGCGTAGAGTTACATGATCACCACCACTGAGCATCAATTGAAGCACCTGGGTGTGGTAAAGGCCTTGGACTGGCTCGCCATTTATGTGAGTTATCAAATCACCTGGCCTGAGACCAGCCTCGAATGCAGGACTCGATTGATCCACCGCCTGAAATAAAAATACATCGAAATATAGAAAGGAGTGATTGATTGATTTTTGATATTATTCTTAATTGTCAAGATATCTTGGCAACTGTAAGGTTACACTGAGAAATAGAGTTCCCAATTTCCGGAACTAAGCTAATAATTCCAAGAAACTCATGATCCTAGAAAGGTTTTTAAGGATATCCAAGTAGTTCGGGCAATTTCTTCTGGAGAAAATCCTTTTCAGAGTTTATAAAATAGACCAAGAGTATTTTGTAGGCGGAATATCAACCTTGTTTTCCCCACATTTTTTCGAGAAAACGATTTTTGAAAAAATAAAATCTAACACAGCAGTTCACAGTTTTAAAGCGTTTTGTCGTACATATAACCGTATATAAATTTATTCGTTATATTCTCCAGTTTTTTTGCAACTTTTAAAAATCTATTACCTATTCTGGATAGACACTCGATAGAATAACCCGGATCATCAGTAATTTTTACCACTGAAATTGCATAATAGATTCCTAAAATTATAGATAGGTCCCTGAAAATTAGTGACGATGTCCTTAAAAATTATGGAACTAAAAAGTAGTAACAAAATCACTGAATTTCTGAAGTTCACACTCGTTTAATTTCCCAATTGCGAATGTTCGATAATTGGAGATATATTACTCGAACTGAAAACTTCTTTTCCCTGTAAGAGTTTCAATCCAAGCACAATTATAGGAGATTTAAGCAAAAATTACTGACAATTGCATCTTCTTGTTTCCCTGGGTTTCGGAAAAATGACGACTCCCTTCTGCAGTTCATTAAATTTTCTACAAAGAAGTTTTTTAATAATCTCTCTTCAATCCCTTTCTGTTGAAGATATTTGTGAAGAAAGATACGTGAATTTTGCTCAGTATTCAGTTTTGCTGTAGAGTTCAAAATTGATGGGAGATGACAAAATTTTCAAAGACATGATTTTGTGGCCTTCATTCAACTCTGTAATCAACTCTTACTATTTTGAAATTTTTTTAAAATAGTAAGAGTTGATTACATTTTTTCTGTTTGTAGTATTTGATAATTGAATTTATCATGACCTCTTCGAAGCAAACAATTTATAATTACGAATAATCGTGCATAATTTACCATAACTAAGTGATGCATAGTATAAAAATCACTGTCCCCATAATAAACCCTGATAGTATGAACCGTGAACCCGAAGCCACTGGGTCCCCTTCGGATGATAATCGGTGGCTTTAAGCTCGTAACGAGTGGACTCAACTCACGACACGGAGATGTATCTCTTGAAGAGGCTGTCGATGAGCCCCCTGGTGATTCTATCGATTGGCACATCGATGGATCGACTGGAAAAGGAAGTAAAAACAAACAATCATTCGAAAGGGAAAACATACGAGGCATGAATCACTGGTCACGTATTCAACTGCGCCATGAATACTAACAGGAGAATTCATTTGTTGGTATAACCAGCGAAAGTCCACTGGTCGATGCTGATTTTATGACTGAACGAGACTTCTGTTTAACGTGGAGTGGTAATGGTGTTGCATTTAACGACTCGTAGGAGTCCGTACTAGAATTGTGTTTATCGTCAGCTATTTCTCTATTTGCTGCTGCCAAATCCAGCCTGTAACGTTATTTGAACATTTGTTACCGTCAATGTTTAACCGATTTTGTTGTGAAGCATATAGAAAAGTCAAATTCTTGAATTAGATAAGAATACGAAATTTCTCATTCGTGTAACTGTCTCTTAACGAAGGCTCTCAGGAGAAAATGTCAAGAGAACTCGCCCCGAGGACATCTTCTCAGGTACCAGTGAGCATCTCCTGCAATTCTCTCACAGAAAGACTTGTTTATGAGATAAATTATCAACTCAGTAGAGAAGTCATAAAACAAAGTCAAGTTTTCATATTTTGTTTGAGTCTGGAAGCTTTCTGATGATAAATAATTTCAAGAGAAATACCAAGGAACATTCTTTGCTGCAACTTCTTTAAACCATTGAAGAAAATCTGGACATTTCCTCTTTGAAACACTTGTTTCCAAGATAAATCCACAAGTGACAAAAATCACAAACTTGACTCATGACGTTCTACCCTTCCACCACCAAACACATTCTCACTTCAGAATACATAACGTAGTGAAGTAATTCAGTAGTAAAACAGTTTCTGTTCACTTGGCTACGAACTGAGATTTTAAGAAATATCTCCGAATGTAAAAGAGATAGCAAAGTTTTTGTCAAAAACTCTTTTGTAGCTTTCGTGTTATTTTACAAAAAAGGTTCTTAGAAAAATTCCTCTATCTCCTTAAAATTCTGCGAAATTCGTCGAAAACCAATCGCTGGACGAAAGTGATTTAAACCGTTTCACCACTCCACTACTAATTTACTTAATTTCATAGGTTCAAAAATGTTTGAAATCAACAATTTTACTTTTCGTGCACGAACATTGTGATGTAGTGATAATGCAAAGCTCAAGTGTTGTTTTGTGAACTCATCAAATGAACAAAAAATCATAACAACAAACTAAATAAAAATGAATTGACTGGAATGTTTGCAGCGAATAACATTGAAAAAAAAATATATAAAAAAAAAGAACAACTAAAAAAACCATGAATGCCAGCGCCGGCGTATGACTCACGTGTGATCACCATCAATGGAAATACTGAACCTGGGCAGCTTGTCACGTGCATGAACATGACGTTTCCTCTGTATCTGCGGGCTAATATCATCGGATTCAGTCTGTGAAGACTCAGGCGTACTCATTCCAACAATTCCCGCATCGCCCCCAGCATTTTTAATAGTTCCCCTCGACTCGACACTCATCAACGAGGCTGGACTATTACAAGACACATCCGATCCACTCTTATCAAGATTATCACTATGCGTAACATTTTTGGCAGTGAATAAAGCTCGACTTTTCTCCTGCCCGTCCTTCTCAAGAGCCCTGAGAGGTGGTGAGAACGAATTCGTTGAGTTTGGTGACAATTGGGAAGCATTTCTCTCAGTATCACTCTTGAACAATTGTTTCTTCGATGAATCCAGCTCACTCTCCTGCACCAAATTGGGTGGCCTAGTTTGAGATATTTTTCTCGACTGCGGTGAGTAAGACGAGAAACTTCCGAACAGTGGTGAGTCATCGGTGTCATCAGTATCCTCCCCAAGATCATGATTGTACCTGTCCATTCTCGTGTCGAAGTAACTGGTGTCCTCGTCGTGCGTCAATTGAGGGACAAACTCAGCCTTTTGCCTCAACAGAGTATTCCAGTTGACCCCGTAGAAGTAAGGATGCTCCTTGACTTCATGAGCCCCACCAGTGCCCAATCGTTCCCTGGGACTCTGCTGGAGAAGAGCTGTGATGATGTCCTTTGCCTCAATCTGCACAGGCCAGTCCTCCTCGTCGGGCCACTCAATATCATCATTAACAGTGTGGGCAAACAGCTCCTCCGGCGTGTCCCCGAAGAATGGAACACAACCGATGAGGAATTCATAGAGAATGATTCCCATGGACCACCAGTCCACAGGTTTCCCATATCCCTGTCTGAGGATCACCTCTGGGGCAATGTACTCAGGGGTCCCGAACACCTGTTTATCTGAGAACTGACGAGTGTCACGATCGATGTAACCCTCGTAGAGATTCGTAGCCAGGGACATTAGACCCATCTTGCTGAGTCCAAAGTCCGTCAATTTGATGTGGCCCAGGGCAGTGATCAGAAGGTTGTCTGGCTTGAGATCCCTGTGAACGATTCCATAGCTGTGCAGATACTCAACCGCGAGGACAGTTTCAGCGAAGTAGAATCTAGCCATGTCTGGGGGAAGTGGGCCAATATTCTTCAGTAGACTCGCACAATCACCACCCTCCACGTACTCCATGACTAGACAAAGATGTTTCTTGGTTTCAAAGCTGCAGTACATGGAGACGACAAAAGGATTGTCTGTGAAACTCATGATATCACGCTCAGCGAACACCTGGTCCACCTGATTCCTCAGCATCAGATTATTTTTGTTAATCTTCTTCATGGCGAAACGTTGACGAGTGCTTTTCTCTTTGACCAGGTAGACTGCACCGTAGGCACCATTGCTGACTAGTTTCAGGACCTCGTAGTCACTCTCACAGGGCACTTTCTGAGATTTTCCATCGTCTTCCTTGTTGGGACTTGAGGAGGACATCTGGACGTTATTGGAAGTGGAACTTGCAGAGTCTTCCAACTTATTTAAATCATCTTGAAGGTCTGATATAGGATCTCTGTTGAGAGAGAGTTTACTAATTATGTACTGAGGAATATCAGCTTTCAAGCCGCTGTTTATTTTTGCTTGGCCCTCTGCCTGCTCCAAGAGATGATAAAACTCCTCGGGGTCGAACTCCAGGCACTCGAGGAGACGAGCAGGTCGTGAAATTATTAGTAACAGCTTCTTTATTAGACCTGTCAGTCGAGTCGCTGCCTCCAGGGACTTGTCCTTGGTCTAGACACAAGGTGAATGTTACGAAATGGTTTATTGTTTTCGGCAGTCGCCATTCACTTCCTCTCATTTTTAATGTTTTTTTTCTGAATATCAATCACCAGTTGATGTAAAAATACTCACCTCCATCAGCAGATGCTCAAGACTTTCAGTCATTTCGTAGAAATAACGCGATGTTATCAATTTTTCCTGGGATTTTTGCAAACAATCACGAGCCATTTCGATGATTTGATGATGAACGAATCGGACAATTGGTAGGCAATCACCCACGAGGTGGGAGAGAATCTCGTACTCATCAATGTCCTTGTTTTCGTTTATGAAATTTGTCAGACGCTCTTCCATCTGTTGTGTTGCCTGTACAAAAAAATACAAGGACGGTGGTGAGTTGATTTTGAAAGAAGAATCATGAGATGATAAATTACGTGTCAATGTTTTTTTTCGAGGGGAGCGGTGAGGGGGACAAGATACATTATTGACGCTGGGTTCGCGGAACCAGGGGAATTTGGGTCAGACTTGTGACCTCGTGGTGGGAATAAGAGAATAAACGTCTCGTAGTAGAGTAAAAGCCACTCTTGTTTCTGATTCCGTTATTTTTGAATGAATCAAGACATTTGTCACTTGAATTGGCATTGTGCCAGTTTATGTATTACGTATGAGTTGAGAGCAATATTTGACCCTCTGATGGTTTTCAGTCTTTATGTGGAATATAAACACGAGAGTTAGTTTACATAAATTTACATACACAAATGATAATGTTTCATGAAATGAGTTTGGGTCGATGGCTCCGGGGCAATTAATTTTTTACGTGAGTTTTTTAAAATGAGATGGTGTTGTGGAGTTGACTGGGCGGTACTTACTTTGGGAAAACGTTCTTTGTAGAGAGTATTCATCATCACAATTTCATTGTCGAGAACTGGTGAACGACTTGGGCTACTGTAATTTAAATACGAAGAAAGGATTTAACCATCGAAAAATAGATTCTAAAGTTATATGGCAACACTGTTCAACATTGTCAATACTCATTTATAAAGTCAAGTAGTGAAAATTGATTGTAAATTTCTTTATGCTTCTTCTATTTCTATCATTTTTTACTTGCGCATGCATGTCGAAAATGAGTGATTTTATGGGAAAATGTCGAACAATACTTTTCATCACACTGTGCAAAAAAGTAACTTTTTAGGCACGCTTCGCGTGCCTAAAACGTCCCTTTTCCACACATTGTGATGAAAAATATTGTTCGATACTCGTGGGAAAAGTGTTTTTTGGGTCGTGGGAGGTTTATAGCGCGAGCCGAAGGCGAGTGATATAATCCCACGAGTCAAAAAACACTTTTCCGCACTCGTAACGAAATATACTATTTGATAACTGAGGATATTGGAAAAGAAAAGACTTTCTACATTTCATTTTTACATGTGAAAAATTGACTTGTCACGTTGCATCCCTTCACTACTGATATATCAATTGTATTTATTCTAAATAGGGGAAAAACAGAAAATTTTAATTTCTCTCAGAATAGTCATAAGTGAAAAACGAATTTACAAATAGAACCTAATCCTGACTCATTGGAAACGGAATGACCTTAACTCTGCGTGAAGAAACCATAATTCATTCAAAATTCGATGCGTCATCAATTTAAATAAAAAAACAGAAATGATTAGTCTCATCAGAACCGGTAAACTGCTATATTATACTTCCAACGCTGCAGAAAGGTTGTATCGGTTATCAGTATAACTAATACATGGCAAACTCAACACAAGAATAATAAATATTATTTTGTACCACAAATACAGGGGCTTTTTGAGGTTCAACTAACTAAGTGGTCTCGTTGTGAAACCAGGGTAATTCTGAAAGCTGATGGACACTGAATGTCTATCACTATAGATTATCTATCGGTTCTTCGATGAAGTGTGACTTTAAAAATAAAATAATACATTTTTTGAAATTTTCCTTATTTAATAGAATGTAGTAAGGCCCTGATGGATTATCTTTCGAACGTTATCTCAATTGTTTTTCCATCTTCATAATCTAAAACATATCACAATTTCCATTGAGTCCCTAAAAGTTATAATTGTACAATAAAAAAAATCTAGAAAAAACACTGAACATTGTCAACGAGCGATTTTAATAAAGATTGAGAAATACATCCGACAGAGATGAAATTGTAAATGGATAATTTATCATGGCAACTAACGATCTGACAACCATTAGATACAATAAATTATTCATTTGCAATTTCCTCCCTATCGGGTGTATTTCCCGATATTATTCAGAAACGCTTTTTGAAAATGTTCATTTTTTTTCAACGTTTTTTTGATTGTACAATCATAATTTTTGGAGACTCCAGAGGTATGCAAAACTGAATGGCAATTGGAGAACATTTCAGATTATCAATTAAAAAGAAACAATCAAGATCACGTTCAAAAGATAATACACGCTGACCTTATGGATATCCAAGTATCTTTTACAGTTTGGTATACACCACACTATAGATTCAACCATTTTCGCCATGAAATTAGTCAATTAAATTGCGTAAGAAAAATTTGAAAAAAAAAATCATGAATATTCAGCGTCATTCAAGCTACATTTTTCATCATTATTTCATCAATCTTCCTCCAAAAGTAAACTTTGTCATTTTTTTTTCAAATTAAAAAAAAATTTTCTGCCGGTTCAATATCGAGATTCAAATTCAGACCTGCAAAATTTAAATAATCAATTCATTGTAAAACTATCGGAAACTTAAGGACAAATGGGGCTCAAATAAAAGCTCTGCTGTTCGACTGCAAAAGTAGAAGAGCATTTTACTGGAGAAAAAATAGCCAAAGTACTTGGATATTCTTAATTTGTTTTTGGCAGAAAGAAGGCACAATGGAGGTTGAATAACAGCATCAATTGTTAGTATACATTACAATAAAAAAAAATGGTTAGTATACATCACAGCAATGTCACCAGAATCATGCAACAGCATTACTTAGGTTGTTAAACATCAGCCGGGCCCAATATCGTAGGAAATGTAGTCTGTCTTGGAAAGACTATATGTTGAATAGACATGTAACCATCGTATCTAATAATTTATTGATTCCATGGATTATAACAACTTGCCTCAAACTTCGTGACCTTGGACGATGTAACGGTGACCTCCGACCCTCCTCCTCAAGACTAAACGATATACTTCCAGGTATACTCGAGATACTGGAGCCTGGAAAACCCGGATGCGATGAGCACGGAGTGCCAGGTTTAGAAAAATGACAGGAGAGTATTCTGAGCTCGTCCTTAGTCGGAATGTTTGGCAACTGATGCAGTCGCTCTTGGCTCGAGCACTGCGATGAGACATTGCTGGAGCCGGGGGTTGTGCCATATCCACTCGAAGGAAGACTTGCTACCGACCAACGTCTTCCATCAGCAGTACCGGATGCTCCACCTCCGATTCTATCGATCCACGTGACGTACAAAGTTTTTCCATTAATTTCGATGAATTCGATGGGGGAATTAATTGCAAATAGACTAATTGGTTTTGTTATTGAGGGTTGAATCGAGTCTACGAACCTTTTTATTGGAGCAAAAGCGAAGTGAGGACTTGAGGGCATCCTTGGGCTCTCGAGTGGGCTTCCTACGATGGGCACAAACGCTGGAAAATTATTATTGATTGAGTAATTAGCTCCTCAATTTTCATTATGGAAATTGAACGATCAAGGCCACTTGGAGATACAGTATAACTCCCTAATGGTCGTTTGGAAATACTCTAACCCTGACAGATTTGATACTGACAGAAGTGAGTTGCGAGAGAAGAGGTTTTTTTTTCACAACCTTACATGACAGTAATATTAGATTAAGTGCAGCTGCCAAAATGAGATCTCTTTGCGCAATTTCTCATCACTCCTCGCCACTTCCCCCTCGAATAATCAACTACACGTGCCAAACTTTAGACTCTGATTGTTGGTTCTAAATGGGTTTTGTATTTGTGTTACGAGTATCGGTTGTATGCAATTGTGCGTCAATCGTTGATTGAATGGTGTAGGAAAAAAAAGGGAGGAAGTAGCTGAAGGTTTTACCTGACAATGGTGAGTGACATCGTGGCAATGTGGGTGATGTTGTGGCGATGAACGACTTGCGTTGAGCTGCCTTGGCTGCCCGACGAGGAATATTGAATTCACGCTGTTGAAATAATTAGAAATTAATTAAGTATAAGTCATTAATTTTTGAGGCATCGGCACAATGAACAAGGGCTCACATATTTCTCGGCGTATTTAATAGGGAACTTACATACTCAATTCTTTCTAATTTCCCTATTCACACATTCCTCATAACATATGGATGGCTAAATAGCGACAATTATTATTATTACATAAGATTAATCTGATGGAATTTGTACTCTCCAATTCTCAATTTCTGTCATTCATTCTATTCATTCTATCAAAAGACAAGGATTCGGAATCGAATTTATGGGTATTCTTTCATTATTAAGAAAAATTAATTTTCTTAGTTTCCTCGCACACTTTTCTGCATTTTTTGAATTTTTTCTCGCTGAAATATTGGTATCCCTCCAATACTTGAAGAAAAAAATTGATTCGAAGTTCCCGCCGACATGAAAGAAGAAAAAAAATTCATTTTCTAGCCGATTATCTCTTTCTGATTCTTTTTTCATTTCCTTTTCGTAATAACGATTGGAATCCAACCATAAGAATGAGGACTACCGATGTGCTTTTACCATATGAAAGGAAAAATATTTTTTTTTAATTTTCAGGAATACATGCAGAGATTTTTCTATTATCCGAATGAGATTTCGAATGACTTTTGTTTTGAGTGTTTCTTTTGATCACAAAAACAACACTTTATTGATCTTTAACATAATTCCTCTTCATTCAATGTTGTAACTTGTGAATTAAGGAAAAAAAATATATATGGAAAGAAAATAAAATAAAATAGTATAAATTATGATAATTAATTGAAAATCAGTCGTTTTCGAGACCAATTTTTCGGTCATGACGTCACGGACACGGTCAACTAACGCTTCATTGGTCGAGTGTGAAGTTGTCGTCCTCCATTGGGCAAGGCGCACCTCAAGATTGGGTTAGATGGGCTTGAGCCATTCTGTGATTGGCACAGCGCTCGACCGTCTGTGTGGCGTCATGAGTTCCAAGCACTCGAAATCTTCGACTTTTAACAATTAACTATTAATTAATGAGCAATATTTCGAAAGTTTTTGAATGAAAAATGAATTATTCAGGACCCAAACTTGAGATTAGAAAATTGAAAAAAATTAATAATCAAATTATTAAAATACGACGAAATCAATTAAAATTGATTTCAATTTGGAGACCAATAAACCATCATCATTGCTGTGATGTATTGCAGATATTGTTTCGTATTTATTTTAAAAATTAATAATGCAAGTTCCCTATTATGGAAATGTCTCACTGATGATGAGGGCATTCAGGAGAAATTCTGCAGAGTATTTTTTATTGAAAATTTTGAAAGCTATAAAACTTCTCCGTCTATTTCTTCCAAAATTATTGGTTGCGAAGATGAACCATGACTGACAAGTAGCTATTCGTTCTAATGAATGGGATTACTGCGATTCGCCAATAAATTAAGATTTTCTACGTGATGACCATGGAAATGAGAAAAATTGTAAATTAGTAAGTCTACATTACCATATGCATAGATAAGGACGGTGCAGACTTTCCAATAGAATTCCTCATCCTAACCAAGTTGGATAACTCATTGGTACCGCCTGTAAATATCAATAAAGATGTAACATAAAAATAATATGACCACTATTTATTTGAATATACTCCAAACCGCCGGACTGCATTTTCGTGTGAGAAAAAAATCAAGAACTCGTGCATTAAATAATCGTAAACAGTTGAAATTTATTTGGACCATCAATTTATCCGAGCATAAATTGGCTCCAACACAAACATTTCAAGCAAAATGAGTTCTAAATGTGTTTTCAGTGGATAAACAGAAAAAAGACATGATTTTTGCATGACAGCCGTTTGTAATGTCATCATAAAGTGATGATTGTGTTCAAATCGACGCATTTTGCTGAGTGTATTAAATGTCTCACCAGCACGGACCGGTGCCTCTTTGCTCTCGAGTCTTTCTGGCAATTGCCTCTTCTTTTCTCCATCACCATTGCCACTGCTATCCTCATTCTCAGTCTGATCAAATACAAGAACACGGGCCGAGTTGCCATGTGAACGAAGACGTGGCCTGCTCGGCCTATTTCTTCCAGGATCCATCGTGCAATCTTCTATCTTTTCGATATCACAGAAATACTGAACAAACAAGAGTGTCGATAGATTAAGAACAGACCTGGGTATCAGAGTGTCTTTTCCATGATTTTTTTACTTGACATTTTTCATTGTCGTCGTCTGTTATTTGTGTACACAACTGAATTGCTGTGCAGTTGTTGTTAATTATTGCTTGTTGTATTTTTAGATAATGTATTGATAGAACTATCGAGGTGCAGCACCCGGTGAGATATCCGAGACTGGAATTTTGTGTATTTTTCTCATTGAGAGTTGTTGATCTAATGTGTTCTGGTATTTTCGGAGGTGATAAGTGAAGCGAAAAAAATAGACGAGTCGCGGGGCAAGGGAAAATGTACACTCGTAGAGTAGTGGGGACCAATACTGGAATAATAATTCTTGGAATATTTGACAAAAAATTGTTTTGATGAAATTTTATTACATTTCGTTGCTGAAAAATCCGTGATAATTCAAGTTTAAATTTGATATAATGATGAAATGCTTGACAATTGAAAACATTCAGGTGACTGTTGCCTTCAATTCACAATTTACTCCATTTCCAGTGCGATGTTATGTTCATTTTGATGATTAATTCAGGAATTCATGCGCAATTTAAAGATTAGCATGTACGCCGTTGAGAATCTTTCGAAATAAAAATAAAAAAATAAAAATGAAGTTTCTCATTCGTCTTGAAAATTCAATAAAATTGACTTTTTACGCTGAACGATCATTTACATTTCAATAGCAGCGTAAATTTTCAAAATTATCTCGAAAATTGAACATTACATTCAATTGAATTTTCATCAGATCAAGAATTCAGAAAAGCAGTTGCCTGAATTTTAACGATTTTCAATAATTTTCATTGTTATATAGATATGAAAATCGTAATTCAATTGAATATCCAAGAAATTAATTGATTCATCAACAATAAAACACAGAAATTCCATAAAAATTTGTCATGAAAAATTTCAAAAATTTTTATTTGAAATTTCTAAGAAAATTGTCAAACAATATAACCGTGCATTGAGAATTTTTTTTTTAATAAGTATGTCTCCACTTGTATTAAGAAGCTCATGACTCGAAAATTGACTAGAAGAAGATATCTTCCACTGAAAAAGAAAATCTTTCGTTAAGAGATTTTGTAGTCCCAAAGATGAGGGTAATTAGTTTATGACAAGGAAGTGACTTTTCAAACCAAGTCCAGTTGAATCAATTTATTCACTCGTTTTCAAGTCTCAAATCCAAAATATTTTATTGCAAAAACCGTTTGACTTGATTCGAAAAATAGCTTCCTTGTTGTGAACAACAAATTGCCCCTCATCTTTCAGACAAGTGCAAAATCTCTTGGCGAAAGGTTTATTGTCTCAGTGTGAGATATTTTCTTGTCAATTTTCGAGCCATGAGTTTCTTGACACAAGTAAACACACACTTGTCAAAAACCTTTTTTTGTCTCAGGGTGAGTAAAATTTCAATGAGTTTACACAAAAAAAAAAAAGAGAAAACTGAGATTATTATCACTCCTAATTGTTCTAGATCCTGAGATGTGAAGTTGATGAAGATAAAGTATGAGATAGGCAACAGTTACTGATGCAACCGCAGATGACCCCCACTGAGTCACATCCAAAATATTCAACGAATGTTTTGACGATCTCACGTGCTCAATAAAACATGAGAATACCCCTCACTGTACGTTGAATCCAAAAATACTAGAATCCACTAGGAAATATTCTATTCTCGAAAATCAATTATTCGTCCAAAAACTTGACATAAATCATCTCCACCAAGTTCCCCCAGTACGTCACCACTCACGTGTTTCCCACAACCGAATGAATCAAGTTTCTCCGTAGTTTAGACAGCGAATAAATCCCAGAAGTCACCGATAAAAATCTCAACACACATCTCAATCCCATTGAAGATGTAAATTCAATAATTATCCTCCATTACAACCTGATACCTTCAACAAACATTTCTACCCGCTAAAAATCAATAAATCCTCGTAATCTTTCTCGCCGTATCACTGTCCGTGATAACAATCAACCCAAGAACAAAAAGATAACAAAACAAAAAAAAACTCGAAAAGGAAAAGTAAGTCAATAATTGCCTTCAAGTAGGAGCAGTACAGAGCAGGCCCTTCCCACAAAACCAACAAAAGCAGATACTGTCACTGTGGAGAAGGCATCACCAAAACCCCTCACTTCCCGGTGGTAACAATAATAACCTGAACCATGCAATTTACCTTTTAAATCCCCGGGAACAATCGGGAAACAATATCTTCGTGGAGTTTATTCACCGTCGGACCGAACCGATGCAATAAGCGCCAAAAAAAAACTAATCCACAATAATTGTGTAAGAGAAACGAACAACCGAGACGTTGTCGTTGAGCGTGTACGAAAAAAATAGTGTACTCGTGAGATTGTGTGAATGTGTACGAAAAATTTTCCCCGTACCGAATAATATGCAAGGGGGATAACACCGTGAAAAATACTCCTTACGACTGACGACAATGCTTGAACATGATCAGATCCATATTCGTTTATTCGGCGGATGTTTTCTGCACAACCGGTGAACCTCTGTCGTCGATATTTCATCCATTCTTGTTGCTCTTAGCTCGATAAAAACACAAAACTTTGAATGTTTTTTTTTATTATATTCTATCGAGAGGGAAAATTCATTACGAAACTCGTCGCGACCATGGGTTTTCTCTGACTCATGACGGACAACACCAAACGGGCCCCAGAGAGGCGGCGGCACGCGCGCATCCACAACCCAACACAGACACTGGGAGAATGAACATGAAGTAAGTTTACATGGACGTTCCGCGGACTGAGGGGGAGATCAGGGCTGGGAGTCGATACTCGGAGGCCCCTCGACATAAAATTTTGCAGGAATTGAATTTTACAAATCATCAAGGGGAAGTTTCGGTGTCATTGTTGGGAGGAAATATTGAGCGATTCAAATTTTGTGGGTGGATTTTTTTTTCATAGAGTTTGAAGAGAATTTTGAAGGGTTTTACAATTGGTGATAACTAGCGAAAGATGGGAAACGGCCTGGGAGGAAGAACTTCCGTTGGAGAATTCTTGGTATTATCAATTTTATAATTTATGAGATGAATGGTCTCCTGATAGTAAACAGTAACATGAATATGACACAACAATTGAGCATTATTATCGGGGGGGGGGGGGGGGGG